GACCCCGCAATATCCAAACACGCCCCCGCTGTGCTGCCAATCTTCTGTTTCTTCAGTCCACTTTGGAGGTGCATTGAACCACTCTTCTCCATTCGTTTCGCTCAACGGCATCTTGGATAACTTTATTCATTGGACTATGATCTTTCCATGCTCTCGGAAACCTGCTACACAGTCCACCTTCCTGATATGATGTTCAAACTACCCCAAATTCGAATGCAATGCTACGTATAGACATACAACAGACCATGATTAATTGTACACTTGAAATCGTACTCGACGAAGTGTCTCTGCATCTCCGCAATTCAATCTACTCTAACAAGATCATGGTGATTGAGGGCTAGAGGTATCAAATTAATCAACTGAGGAACGGAAAAGGCTGAAGACTCACTCCTCGTAGGAGTGTTGCCAGCGTGTCCCATGGGCCATGCGACTCAAATCCAGCTCTGGACCTCCGCTAGGTAACACTAATGCAGTTCAAGGATTATAGCTAAATTCCTCTCGTGAAGCGGGTGGTACCCAGAATAAGAGCCGACGATTGGGTCCCATCATCCATCCATCATCTCCAAGGAAAGTGAACGTCGACCTGCGGTCATCATGGGGAGTGCCTGCGAGTAGCTCAGCAGTATCGCGAAGTGCATGAGTCGAGTTTGATGAGAATGAAATGAAGTCATTGTTCACAGTGTAGGGTGTGGGGACGTCGCTGGATGTGTGGATGCAACTGCTATGTGGAGAGTATGCTGAACAGTCTTCTTCGGCGTGGTCCTGCAATGACTTCCCAATTGCTGCATACCAGATGCGGACAGTCTTATCATTTGATACAGATGCGATGCGAGTGCCATCCGGAGAGAACGAGACTGATCTGACCGAAGAAGTGTGCCCTTTCAAGGGCTCACCGACTGGCTGCCCCGTTCCTGCATCCCACAGCCGGACAGTCTTATCGTCCGAACCAGAAACGATGCGAGTGCCATCCAGCGAGAATGAGACTGAATTGACCTCATCAGCGTGTCCCTCCAAGGGCTCACCAACCTGGCTGGCCCGTTGCTACATCCCACAGCCGGAGAGTCTCATCTCTTGAACTAGATGCGATTGCGAGTCCCATCTGGAGAGAACGAGACTGATGTGACCGAATAAGTGTGCCCTTCAAAGGGCTCACCAACTGGCTGCCCTGTCCCTGAATCCCACAGCCGGACAGTCTCATCAGCCGAAACCAGATGCGATGCGAGTCCCATCGGGAGAGAACGAGACTGATCCGACCCAATCAGTGTGCCCTTCCAAGGGCTCACCAACTGGCTGCCCCCGTTCCTGCATCCCCACAGCCGGACAGTCTTATCGTTCGAGCCAGAAATGATGCGAGTGCCATCCGGCGAGAACGAGACTGACTGAACCGCATCAGTGTGCCCCCGTAAGGGCTCACCAATTGGCTGCCCGCATTGCTGCATTCCACAGCCGGATTGTCTTATCCGCAGAACAAGTTGCGATGCGAGTCCCCATCCGGAGAGAATGAGATTGAGTAAAACCGAATCAGTGTGCCCCAGCAAGGGCTCCCAACTGGCTGCCCTGTCACTGCATCCAACAGCCGGACAGTACCATCCGCCGAACCAGTCGCGATGCGGGTCTCATCCGGTGATAGCGAGAATGAAGATGATTGAATTAGTGTGCCCCTTGCAAGGGCTCACCAGCTGGCCTGCCCTGTAGCTGTGTTCCACAGTCGGACAGTGTTATCTCCAGAACCAGTCGCGATGCGAGGTCCCATCCCGGAGAGAACGAGACCGAGTAGACCCCACCCAGTGTGCCCCAGCCAGGGCTCACCGACTGGCTTCCCTGTAGCTGTATCCCACAGTCGGACAGTCTTATCGTCCGAACCTGTCAAGATGCGACTTCCGTCCGGCGAGAACGAAACTGACCTAACCCAATCAGTGGTGCCCCTCCAAGGGCTCACAGACAGGTTTCCCCATCGCTGCATCCCACAACCGGACAGTCTCATCAGCCGAACCAGAATGCGATGCGAGTCCATCCGGAGAGAACGAGACTGATGTGACGTAAGAAGTGTGCTCTTCCAAGGGCTCACCGCTGGCTTTCCCGTTGCTACTTCCCACAGCCGGACAGTCTTATCGTCTGAACCAGAAACGAATGCGAGTCCTCATCCGGTGAGAACGAGACTGAGGTAACTGAAGAAGTGTGCCCCCGTAAGGGTTTCACCAATTGGTTGCCTGCGTTGCTGCGTTCCACAGCCGACTGTCTGATCGCGCGAACCTGTCCTACGATGCGAGTTCCGTTCGGCGAGAACGAGACTGAGTTAATGAACTCAGTATGCCCCAGTAAGGGTCACCAACAGGCTGCCACGTTGCTACATCCCACAGCCGGACAGTTCCTTATCGACCGAGCCAGACACGATGCGTGTCCCATCCGGCGAGAATGAAACTGAGTAACTGCTTCAGTGTGCCCCAGCAAGGGCTTGCCCACTGGCTGCCCCGTTGCCCGCATCCCACAGCCGCACAGTGCAATCATCCGATCCAGTCGCAATGCGAGTCCCATCCGGCGGAGAACGACAATGAGTGAACGTCATCAGTGTGCCCGGTGATCACAGTCCTGAAACAGCCGTCCAGTTGATATCACGTCCAGATGCCACACGAAGAGTGTTCGGAAACCGTGCAGAAAACGTGCTGGATAGTGCAGAGTTGACGGGCGAGGAAACGGCAGAGCTGATACATAGAGATGAGGTGTGCTGTGCAAGATGAGGACGCCGAAGAGTTGGATAAATCTCTGCACGTCCATTGCAGCGGATGAGGCATCTTCGAATCCGGTGTGACCCTACAATTACGATTGCGCGTTAGTGAGCATGTGATCGACACTTCATAACCATGTGCTCACCTTTAACCACTTGGAAATAATCGGAAGGGCAGGGACTGCACCGCTGAGCGCATTCGTAAGGCCGAGGACCTCGAGCCAGAAGAACAGTCGTTCATTGCTCGAAGAATGATTTTATTTCTTTGGCGAGTTCTGAATCGAAGTGGGTTGGTTGTACGTGGACAGGCCAAAATCGGCAGGCATAGGATAGGTGTGGGGAAATCCATTTTTCAACTTCGTTCTCGCAGACCGGGATCTTCAGAGTTGGGGAGATACGATGAATTTTAGATCGCAGATATTGAAGGAAAGTCCATGCTCCATCACTCGAAGTGATGCGAAAGCAAGGTCGTGTTGTACTTTCGACACGTCGATGAAAAAGTCCTTACTGTGTGATTGGTCCGTAAGGAAAATCGCGGAAGGATGCATGAAGGGGACGGATGGGGGTAGATGAGTTTGTGGTGCCGCCGAGGAGAGATCCAATATGTTCGACTATGACTTGCACTTCGTAATGCTCGCTTTCATCTGGAAAATGGCGCCGCATGGCGTTTCAGGGAGGCCAAAGGGAGGGTTCAGATGCGCCGAGGATTTGTCCCATCACGGAACGAAATCTCGTTAGCTGTTTCTGCTGAGACATGGAATTCGTAGTTTTGTCTATTCGCATGATCTCTGTTAAACTGAACTGATACATATCATACAACAAGGTTCCCGCTCAGCGGGATTGCGGGACACCACAGCATCGAAGGACTCGATTGGAGATAAGCCAGGAGAGCGTGCTTTGATGGATTTACAAGCAAGACGTGCCCACTCGAAAAGGCCATCGGCTTTCTTAGCGAGCGCTGCGCACTCTCTATCCCCCAAATCCGAAAGCCCTTCCAGCTCGTTCGATATGTAAGCGTGGATGTCACGCTCTACGGTGGCTGGTGGGGTGTCGTCTATGGATATCCTTTCAACATGCTGACATCTGCAAGCTCTGCTTCTATGTCGTGGAGCGGGCGAGAAGTAACGATGGTCCGGAAGTTTTTCGGGAGTTTCGTGATCTGGGTGATAGTTGGGTCTCGAATTTTACCGGCAAGAATGCGTAGAAGGTTGCTGCGTGTTTCCAGTGCTTTGCCACTTTCGTCCAGTGCGTCGATAACGATCACGACAGGCCCCACAGGGGACTCGGAAAGCTTCCCTAGAGGTTCCATAAGAAGCTTCTGCCACTGCTGTACGACATCCGCTGTAGTCTTGAGCGCATTTGCGTTCTGGACTGCATCCGCTAACGCTCGTCTCATCTCCGGATGACGGTCGGCCAGGTCGCGCGCGATAGTGGAGAAAACCATTTTATGGCGATGGTCCGTGTTTCGGTCGAAGCAGTAACAAGAACCGAGCCCGCCCACCCCGATGAACGAGCTAGCGATTGTGTGAGCAATGGCTGATTTACCCGTCCCGGCAGGACCAGATAGCCATAGCACGCGTGGAGCATCATCGTTCTTGTCGTTGATCCATCCCATGATCTTGGAGAGAATGTCCGTGCGCGTCCCTGGCAGGCATCGCTTCCTAGTGTCCAGTCCTGCGCCCTCTGCATAAGCCATACCGCCGAGGTCGAGTATTTCGCCTGAAGAAGTATGAATAGATGTCGAGTCAGGAATACGTCCGAATTCTTACTTGTACGTTGGATGTAGACGGCTACGTCGCGAGTAACTTGGTCCCGGAAGTTTTGCATGAGCGCATCCAACACATTGTTATACCGTTTTATCGTGTCGTCTGTTTCCGAGACGACGTTCTTTCCGAGTCTCTTCCCTATGATAAGATTGAAAAACCGCTAAATGTAACAACTGGTTGGAGACTGACAAAAGTTTTTCTTCTCCGAATAATCCCTGATGAAATGGGCGCATTCAAGGGCTGCTGAGAGATCTGTCCCAAATAGTGCTCATCGACGAAATCTTGTGAAGTGTGTCGTCTTGCATCATGAAGTCGTACACTTCACCCAGCTTCTTGAGAAGGCCGAGTATCGCGTCGTCGCGATCCGCTTGAGCGAGAATTATCTGCAAGCAAAACAACTAAGCAGTAGATTTAAATAAGAGCGAAATAAAACGTACTGTAGATGCACAAGACAACACACCCAATGCCATCTTTGCATACGGATGTACCTGTGGAACGGTATTAGTTCAGTTCTGGTGAGGGAGACAGGTCGTACTTCTGTGAGTTTCCCGATCACAGTGTCGAATATCCTGAGGGGTTGAAGATATGTAGCCTCCACATTGGCCGCATCATCGAGAGCTGCTGGTGCATTTTTGCCTGCGGACGCTACTGATCTCGCGGGTCCAAAAAGTGGATTCATCTTATGTGCACCATCACGGGCATGCTGAAGTGCGGTGTCCACCGATTGAGGATTGGCACCTTGTGTCACGGAATTATTCAGGTTCGAGCGCTTGTGTACGATCTCAGCCTGAGCTCAATAAAACTCAGTATATCGACTTACAGAAATCTTCTTCTTTACACCATCCTTGACCTTCCTGAGAAAGCGACAAACTTTGTTTGACGGTTGGACCTAAAGAGATGGGGCATCAGGGTCAGCGTTTGAGGGACCGATATATAAGCAACGTACCGAGCGTCCGCGAGTAACTGGTGTGGTATCTGGAGGAACTGGGCTCAAGGCCCTCGATTGATTGCTGTTGTTCCGAGTCATGGCGGATAGTCAATGATCAGTTCGAGTAAAGTAAGCAACAAGAAGCGTGGGGGGCATGGTCGTTTAAATACAATTACAGGCCATACCCTTGACCGCAAGCCTCGAGGCAATACTTGTTTGCTGCTGTGTTGACCTCGAGGCTCAAGCACTGGGATTGGGCAGGCGTTATAGAGGCTTATGGAACCTTATGGAACTCCAGGAGATGGCAGGAAGTCGAAGGAACGGCTATCTTTATTCGTCTACAGATTGTGTATGGATACCAGCCACGATTGATACATGCACGCATTAAGACTCGAGTCAGTGGCAAGTACAAGCAGAATCTAAAACTCAACTAGATCTCCAATTGCAAGTGATTAACTACTCCCCTGCAGATCAAATTGTTGGATTCGTGCCAGACGCAAATAATGTCATACGTACCCCAGAAATCAGGAAGAAGGAAGGTGTTGCGTCATTGAATCATCTTCATAATTAGTATATACTCTAGTACCAGCCGCGGCCCCTCGGCATGCCGTTTTCAATATCACGGTCCACGAGGTGCCATATCCTCACTGGATTAATATTTGATGCAGTCAAGGTGTAAAGCGCGTTATAAAGGCTGAGCAGCGATCTGACGGTGGGATATCGATGCATTCGAGCTCAAATTTAGCGAACTCTCTGGTCGTTGACATCACGTGACATTGATTGTGTCTGTTCGATCATGTCTCTCTTCGAGTTTTTCGGCTAATCACTTTGGACAATTCTCTACGTCAGTGGCTTTTGCCTACACCGTCGCTTGCTGAAATCCTATCCCACACATCCAAAAGTAGTAACGTGCGGTAAAGCTGTTCGAAATGTCGTTAATATGATTTTCTCACCATGTATTGTCGACCAATTTAATATTTAACTATTTGATCTATCACACGAGGTGTGTGACACGCCTGTATTTAAAAGTTCCAGGGTATCATAGAAATACTGTAGGTACATTAGAAACCGGAGCTATTATGAGTATCACATTGATTTATCTTGAATATATTGCATGCCACACCTCGCATGGATATGTTGTCCCATCTTGTATAGATATCGAGCTCGTAGGTTGTATGTACCTCTGGTCGAGACCAGCCAGACATACTCATATACATCAGTAAATTCACACATTCCTTACCTTCCTTTTTCGTCACTTGTCGCGAAAATATCTGACATGACGCTAATTAGTTGTACTTAGTCACTTGTTATTATTTTTTCACAAGCACTTACAAGTGGCGTCAAGCAATTAAGTAGCGAAAGTGAGAAAAGTGCAAGTGCGTTGTATACAATTGAATTAAGTAGTTAAAATAAATAATAATACTAAGCTGCTCGCTGTGCTCGACAGCTAGCAGCGTGAGAAAACGTCTGCGGCTGAACAATTCGTTTGTCTTCAGCCCAATATCATTCACTAGCAAACACAACTCACTTTGATCAACAAACAATGAACCTAGCGGCAATGGTAAGTCTTCCAAGGCTGTGTCTCATGTGCGGATGGATTTGATCGCTGACGCGATCGTTCGTAGCACTTAGTCCAGTCCGCACATCAAGATCAGCGACGCGTTGTAGTAGAGACGCGTCTCTACTACACGCGAGGAAGGCGCAACCAAGCGAGGGGAGCAGAAGTCGAAGGGAGAGGGGTTATGAGGAGTGTGGGGGTTGGTATTTGGAGGGCATTGAAGGTTCTTTGCGGGTGCCTGGATCAAGATGCTCGAACGCGTTCACGACATGGCGTAAGCTGCATGCTGGCGGACTGGAGGTGAGTCAATGTATTTTGCTAAACGAACGGCTGACTTACTTTGATATTAGAATCATTGGAACGAGTTCAGGGAGAAGAACGCAGGGAAGACGGCCTAGGCGAGGTATCAACATATGATTTTATGTCGACCGAATTATTGTACAACACATACCATAGCAGCTCCAAAGAACGCCACCCACTTGAGATCAACCAAAGTCCCTGCAGCAAGATGAGGGAAAGCAGCATAGTTCGCGTAAATGAGGTTCGGCGTGCTTGATTCATCATGGTCGTTCTCCGTTCCAAGCACGTCTTTGGAGACAATGTTCTTCCCCAGCGAACCAGCAAAAGTCTACTTGCCCTCATGTGGCTCGCCCTGCAAGATAAAGTTCAGCCAGGACGTCTTGGGAGGATAGGTGTGCCATGATGGGTGTGTCAGGTAGTGGACCATCAAAGGAGGGTTGACAGCATGCAGGGGAACATGGGGTGTCTGAAGGCTGCCGCGGTGGGCACATACCACTGGGCACGAACTGCGGATATGGAGTAGCGAGGGTTGCTGGGGCTGTTGTGACGAAGATGACGGGGTGGAAGGAGACCATTGGATTTTGACCTTGAGAGCGATTTAGAGTGAGAGACAACTCTGGTGACATTGAGTCAGGAATTGTGCCGGGGATATAAGACATCCAGCGTCTCTGGGAGTCGACGTTGTTGGAGTCGAGTGAATCGGTAAAGTCGTCTTGCGGACATGTTTTGATTTGAGGCGGGTGGAGGACAAGGGTTGCGATCGAGCGCTGGCACATACATGAGTGAAAATGAACAAACAAAAATTGAGAACTCACCAGTCAAACCCGGTCCCTGCAATGAGCTCGGCTCTCTGGATCTTGTTGCTGAGATCGCAGTCATTAGTACGTCTTGGTGTATTCGTCGTAACGCATGACAACGTCGTTTCGTGTCGTCGGGTTGTGTGATGGGGAGTGTCGTCTTCGTCTCCGTCTCCTCAAAGTTTGGTGATCACGACGCGATCTCAAATGCATGGTGATCAGCAAATTTATTAATATAGAATGAGCGAAAAGCATCATAGGAGTGAAAATACTCGATGTTGTCAGCAATGAAGTCGGGACCATAGACAGGGATCAAGTGGGCTGCGCGGTAAATTGTGTCAATATGGATGACGGCGAAGTTTGGGGTGCCATCGTCATGAACAGTTGGACGTACTATCCACATGCCGGTATCCTCGTCCGCACAGTCGCCAACCTTGTCGAACCCACTGAACGAGGGCACATGGATATGTGACCCAATTAAACTTGAAAAGAAAGAAACATTTGACTCTTGCGACTTCGAGCCCCTCTCATCCCTTCAAGGTCGGATTGGCATTGACAAACACACAATCATTACGGGCAGCGACATTCCGCCAGAGTGGACAAGCTCGTATCTGTTCACGTCGCATGCCGCCAATGCCACTTGGGATCGCTCGGGGCATAGAAAAGTCGCAGCTGCAGAATTAAAGACATAAAGCGTGCCATCATTGCCGAGGACAAGCTAGCAGCGGGGGACATCCTCGGGGCCTGAGGGGATCGTTAGGGTGGAGTTGAGAGAACAGAAAGTAACGGATAAGGCGTCGCAGGTGGAGGTACATTGACCTCATCTGCTAGCTCCATTACAGTCCGTGCCCGTTTTCGTTCTATGAAAACCTTAGTGAGTATTCCAAGATGGACACATGAGAGCATCACTTACGAGGTGTCCGCGCGAGCTTGCACAAAAGCGAGCACAGTTGGGCCCATCAACAGCTTCACCATCGTCAACCTCACCCTCGACTTCTGGTGCGATCACTGGGGCATTTGGCTCATCTTCAGGGCCGACAGCTGCACATCGAGTTAGTAAAATGACATGATTAAATATGAAAACTTACTGAGAGCGGCCACAGCTCTTGATAACACAGAGCCGACAAGCATCCCACGAGCAGCAAAGTCCAGGCGAGATGCTGCAAGTTTATCAAGCCGTTGATTGGTCAATAGCATTTGACCCAGGGCGTTGTGCTTGTTAGACCACCGCCAAGGTTCCTTGACCGCCTTGATGTGCTTGGATTCCGTGATCGACGAACATAATCCGTTTGGGGCACCAAACAGTCGGATCATGGTCCACATAGTGAGTCATCGAGTGTTGACGAGGTAACGAGAAGTGAGGGACTGTGCCTGTGGTTCGAATATCTTGCGGTAGTGGTGGAAACCGAGTGAGCGCATCATTGAGTTGAACCAGAGAGGCTTCGGTAATTACATCGCGTCGTGCAATATAACAAAACTCTAAAAGAGCGCGAAATGCGCGCACCATGTCTTGAGGTACATGGCCTTCAATAGCCGGAAGGAAAACCTTCATGAGGGCCTTGGAATCGTTACCCCGTCCACTGTTTGAAGCCACGGCCCGTCGGGAAATCGCCGTAGCCCAGTGAATGATGCCACAGCAGCAATTCTGACTGATTGTTAGAAAATGCCGAATGGATGAGTGAGGTTTCACGTACCTGCGATCTATGTCACTCATGATCTCTTCTCCTCGTTTGGTCCCATGCGTGAGTTTGAGATACTTTAAGACCCAGTCCCACAAGATGATCCTTGAAAGCGCCTTTGACTAGCTGGTGGAGGAGATCGAAAGGATATCAATTTATTGAATGTCGGCTCGGGGGGAAATCATTTGTGAATGGCTGTACAAAATAAATAAGTACATAATACGAGAGTGGGTAGTATCACTCACGCGAGAACGCTAACGATACCAAATTCATGCCACAATGTATCTGAGTCTATATGTTCAGATACGAGGAGATCTGTATGCTCTCGAGTGCGTGGGAGATTACCGCCGCCATCCAGGTCACCACGATGTGCAAGACATCTACAAACATTGTCAGTAAAAGTTAGGTAGAATTAAGAAAGAGCTCACTTCGGGCACCAGTTTTTGACGGTGCAAGATAGCACCAGTTGCTCCTCATAGTCAGCTATGTAAGGTCCTAGGCCAAATATGATGCGTCGAAAATGACCGTCTGCGCAATGCAGGACCTCATACTCGGTCATCGCAGGCTTCAGGGTGGATAGAATCGCGGATAGCGAGCAGTGAAAAAGCTGGCGGCGAAAATAGACGAAACGAATCGTCGTGAGCATATTTCCTAGTAGCTGCGCAATAGGTCAGATGAAGGGCACAATATTAAACGTTGATACACGTACTTTTTGGTATAGAGAGGAAACCAATGATAACGAGAGCATCGCGATGAGCGCGTCGCACATTGTTGTGCTACATTGCCGATCGAGGCATACAAGGGGTAATATTCGTTATTACCCGTGCCCACAGATACGGTGGTCTTGTCACTCCCAAGGATTATTGGGACGAACATTGATCCATGCGTGTTCGGATCCTTCGATATCTCGTCCTGATAAAATGTTAGTGTGCCCCCGAATTATAAGAAATGTATTGAATACGTACGGCTTGTTGCCATGCCCAATCTCCAGACATAAAGTCTTTCCATCGGCGTGTATTGTCCGACGAATCATACTCTCGAAATGGCGCATAGTCAATCTCACCCTTGTAGGTGGTATTGGCCAACATGTTGTGTGCCATCACGCGGGGGTCTCTGTACCAAACTTCATATTCTTTGCCCATCCACGGAGGAGTATCGTGCTCAGGGTGTTCCCCCGCGTATTGAACCGAGAGACATTGCCAAGGGACATTGCCAAGCTGTGTAGCGTCAATGACCTTGTGCAAATCCTTGTGGTCCGCGAATGGAGGGGAGTCGTTGTGTTTTAATAGCTGCGCAGCCATCAAGTCGAATAGTATGTCCGAAGCTTTGTTAGACATATGGCATTGCTTGAAGGTAAACTCTGCCGTTGCAAACTCAACATCACTGCGATATGGACTCCAGTCATGAGGAGACTTCAGTGGAGCAGGAGTTGGTGGTGTACCAGGCGGTAGAAATACACCATCAGCTGTGCATGGCAGTCCTAAGAGCGTGTCTGAGTCACAATTCATGAAAGGGCACTGATTGAAAGGAACTTACCATTGAGGAGCGAATGATACGTACGATAGTAACGCCCACTCGCGTCCGTGAATTCTGACTCTGGATCCTCATCGACATCAGGTGGGGGTGGTGAGACATCAGGTGGGGGTGGCGAGAAATCAGGAGGAGGTGGCGAGAAATCAGGAGGAGGTGGCGAGAAACCAGGAGGAGGTGGCGAGAAACCAGGAGGAGGTGGCGAGAAACCAGGAGGAGGTGGCGACTGAGGCGGTGTTGGTAGAAAATCTTGAGCAAGTGCAACTGGATGGCACGCATGCATGTGTTGAGTGCGGCCTGAGGCGTTTCGAAACCAGCGCATACAGCCTGGAGATAAACATGGAAACCGAAGGGAATGATGAGTAGGGCGAGTTCCAGGCATGGTATGAGGAGTGCGGGTTGATACAGTGTATGGCTAGCGAAGCAGAGACTAGGGAAAAATTCAGGGTTCAACAACGGCCTCTAATATCGGGTCCAGACTCTGCTTGTTTTGGCGCCACATCGGGATGAAAATGGGCGGCAAAGTTTCTGGTTACATGGACAGTTATGTAACCATACCACCAGAAACTTTTGGTGAACTTTATGTTCCCGGGCCACCGGAAAGGTTTTGGTGAACATCCGCGAATGACACCCCACCATCGGAAAGGTTTTGGTGAGTATTGTCACCTCACCACCAGAACTGAAATATCCCCAGTGCACGTCAATATACCGACGGACAGGTTTTAGTAAATGTTGATACTCACCAGATACCGACGGACAAGTTTTAGTAAATGTTGATACCTGAAATATCCCCAGTGCAGGTCAATATACCGATGGACAGGTTCTAGTAAATGTTGATACTCACCAGACTAAGGTATTTCAATTTGGTGTGGGTCCTGTTATTCTGCCGAAAAAGCGCTGGCATATATGCTCCGGAGGTTTATGGCAGTCGCAGTAGACTCACAGTAGTTAGACAAGTACGTCAGACTATTAAGCAGGGTCCGTGAATTATTCAGAGTCAGCTATCAACTATAAAATTTAAAATGTAATGAAACTCGCCTTGAACTCCCGGTAACCCGCCGCCGCCAACTTTCTTCAGCCTCCAAATCCCTCCCTTGACACAATGTCTCAGCCCAAGACAGTTGCGCAGCGCATGGCAACTCGGCCTAAGAATGCAACTCAACATCCGGGACGCATCGTGATTGAAAGTCAGGGAAAGAGACGTACCGCTGTTCAGAAGGCCGCTGACGACCAGCGCGAAAAGGAGGCAAAGGAGGCAAGTCATAAAGCTGTGCAGGAAAGTTATCAGCGTATTGCAACTATGCAAGCACAGATGCAGGCTGATCAAGAGAATGCCCGTGTTGACGCACCTAAGCCTAAGCCTCCTCGTGCACGCCCAGTGGGGAAGGCTGCAAAAACCTCGAAGACCCCCGACTCGACTATGGATGGTAGGCAAGCAGGAGCAGAAATTGTCGCCACTGATAAGCCTGTTGTCGCCAAAGGCAAGGGTCAAAAGGGTAGAGCCAGACAGTTAGCAGCTGGTGTTAATGTTGAACATCCTGCGACTGATGAAGACTTGGAGGAGGAGCCAGTAGCAGCAAAACCCCAGAGAAAAAAGGCCACCAAACCGCTGGTGAGAGATGCGATTGAAGCGTTAAACGCTGGCGTCGTTATCGATGGATCAACAAAGGCACGTGACGCAAACGTCAAGACGATTGATATGTAAGTCTTTCTCTTACCTAGTAACTATGAGTCTCCTTTTGACTGAAACTGCCCTTTTTTTCTTCGATGTCGCAATAAATAATTCTGATACTGCAAGTCCCAAAAAATTTTCGTTTGCTGGACGTGTTCCGGGGTGGATATCGACTGTTCCCACGAACGCCTCAAAGCCATCCTCCAAGGCTGCTACTACGCACTCACGCAGTGCTAGTACTAGCTCCGCTTTCTCTAAGCTCACAAGAGGGAGCACTATCAGCAGCAATGTTCCACCCCCGTCCACACCCATCAGTATTCCCGATGCTGGGTCTGCTTTCTCGGGCCTGTATGCGTCTGATGCTGACAAGGACGAGTACGACTCGGAGGAGCTGTTCACCAAACCTCTTTCTGGTTTCAAAGGCAAAAAGGCTTTAACTGTGAGTCTGATCATATTTAGATTCAAATTTGATGTAGTTTCAACGAAAACTGCAGATCGCGTCCAAAGCACTTGACAATGTTTTCCCTCGCGGTGCAACCTCAGAACCTGAGCAGCCTGATCCAGTTGAGGATGCCAAGCGCGCAGAAGTCCTCAGCGATATCCGCGACCAAATTATCTTCATGAATTCGGGTATTGGCGACATCCCCCCTCCTCCACAGCTTGCCTCCCTGGGGGACTATAAGTCCGATTCCGATGCCAGTCACAAGCTACAGGCCGCGGATTATGACTCTGACCTTGTACCTCCACCCCTCGCCCAAAAACCCTCTTCCCGCTCCGCCTTCCCAGTGGATTATGAGTCACTGGCTGCAAGCCAGAAGCGGAAACAGCCACCTCTTCTGAGCGAGGACGACTTATTGTCGCTATCATCCGATGATGAAATTGTGGAGAGCACTAATGACCGTATGATCGCAATTAAGGCTGAACCTGCTTTTGAACCAGTGTCCACGCACCGGTTGACATCTACGGTTTGTGTTGTTTGCTTGATTCTATGTTTAACTGATTGCGAGTTGTCAGACCAACATTGCTACCACTCTCAAAGCCCCTCCGGCGAAACGGCTGAAGTCCGAATCGTCCACTACCACTATAACTGGTTCCCATCGCGCTATCGCCACTGCTATCGCCACTCCCTCCAAGGCAATTGCGCGTTCTGCATTCAGGAAGAAGCATCTTCCAAAGGGTTGTCAGATGGCAAACAAGTGGGCAAGGGAGTTCATTCCTACTGCCATTCGCTGTGTTGGCGATTTATCTGAAGTATGGACGCTATTAGATGACATTCTCTGTCCTATCTTGCAGTCAGCCTGGGACGCGGTCTACAAAGACAAGATTCCACACACGGTTACAGCAGACGGGCCTGTCATCGCCCTCGTATGTTTTTTTTTCGCACATGATGTAAATTTGATCATTTTATTTGTAGACCCTCCAGCGGTTGTCAGAGTGGCGCAATAGCATTAGCAATGTGGCTCTCGTTGTACTCGCTAACTTCATGATCTCGCAGGAGGACCTCAACACCGATCAGGACCATCAAGATTTCGCATCGGGCTTGCTCGAAAGGCTCTGCTTTTTGTTTGGGGACATCTCAGAGGACGGAGAGATGTCCAGACCATTCCAGTCTGACCTCCTTGTGCAGGTCCTTGTGCAGCACAAGTGCGCCACGTCTGGCGCTGTCAACATGCCAGGAACAAACAACACATTGCCAGGACACTCGAAGGGCGCTCTCGCTCTCGTTACAGCAGCGGCATGTATTTTTTTCCTCCTCATACAGCTGACTCACCCTGTGTTTTAGATGGAACGTGCCATCAAACTTTTTGCCAATGGGCAGATGCTTCTGAGCGACATCGACACCGCTGGCAACGGCCGAAACAACAAGACCCTGCTGCACATCAATCCGTCAACGGGTAAAGAGAGTAGTGTTCCATTGGGCGTTTTCAGATGCCAATTGGGGCGTGCAGACCAGGGCTTACACCACGTCTATCAGCCGCTTGCCAGACTCGGTCGTTTACCGCAACTCGGAGCTCGCGCAGAGCCTTGCCATGAAGAGGCGTGGCACACGGATGGAGGTGGATGACGAAACTGAGGATGAGCGAGCCCTCATTTTCTAGAGGTAATGTTCTTCGCTCTTGTTTTCATCCAATACTATCTCGAATCTGACTACTACTAGTAGCTGGTACTACCTGGGTTGTTTTCTCGCTGTCGCCGTCTTATTTTTAGTTTCACACTTATTCTACTTACTACTACTTATTTCTCTCGCTACCTACTTAGTCGTCTTGTTTGGTTGAAATGCAAATGTTTTTTTCCTCGTAACAAGAGTGATTAAGCACAAATAAGTCGAAAATAAGTGCGAAAAAGGGGATATAAATTAAACCTATCAAGATTGCAATGCAATACATTCTCAAATAAGTGCACAAAAAGTGGAAAAAAAGCGAAGAAAAGCTAAATACAAGAGGAAGGGATCTGCTTTTGAACTTGTTGAAGCTTGTGACAAGGAGATGATATGGTTCTTGTGCGCTCTTGTGTGAGAAAATAAGTGACGAAAAAGGAAGGTAAGGAATGTGTGAATTTACTGATGTTGATCTTTTTCGTCTTCGCTACACCAAGTTGATCAGCAGCATACACCTGCAATGCTTTTACCGCAACCTGCCCAATTATCAATGTTAGACTGATAGACAAACAACACTGCAAACAAACTTTGACTGATCCCCAATTGATGTGAAAGGTACATTTCCAGATCTCCCCAAACCCGCCACGAGCAACAGGATAGTCACCGTCCTTTGTGATATATTTTGACAGGTTTTGGAGCATCATCTCAGGAAGATTGTCGGGCCTGTCATTATGAATGGGGAGAACCGTGTCCGTATGGGAAGAAGAGGGAAGGAGATCGTGGGGGTCGGAGCGTAACTGGGGTGGCCATGAAGCTACTGTAGAAGAAGGTATCCGCAGTAGAGGGAGATGATTCATGACGGGCGATATCGTTGTACTTGGGAGATCTATCATGGGTCCTCCGTCGGAACTCAGTGGGTCCTTGCGCAGCCTGAGTGGCTGGAATCTTGGTTCGGTAGGCTGCACGCGAGAGGTTCCGGGTTGTCTGTCAGTCCAGGATTTGGACCCTACGCGATGACGGGCGAAACTAATAGGGGTAAATTGTAGAGAGTGGGAAGGGAGGTTCTGTTGCGCATTCAGTGGGGCCTCACTAGTGGATCGATTCGCGGTGGAAGAGAGTGCGCCAGACTGCAAAAATGGTATTAATGGAGTTGTGTAAATGATCAAAAGACAGGGATGAATACATCAGCAAGGGGTGGGTTTCTAGGAACACCATACCGATCTGCAAGAAAATGTTAGCGTGTGAATAATAGTAGTATTCGGGGTTTTTTTTTTTTTTTTGGATCCTTGTTTATTGTCCTGTGGGCGGGGCCCTATGGTGGACACTACCTACAATATCGTACTTTGCTATATATGTGTCGTGGCTCTGGTGTGTCAATACTAAACAATGGTCCGTGCGAGGGCAGGGACGGTGACGCCGTCTTAAGGCGTTAAAATATTGTGTTACAATCTTGGATGCGCTTCTCCTCCCCTCTGGCTTCTCCCTCTGTCTTTCCTCCTCATTCCTTCTCCTTTGGGGGGGTGACGTCTCCGAAGACCTGTTCCATCCTTCTTGTGCACGCAATGTATTTGAGTGTCGCTCTAATTCCTTTGCTCTCGTTTAGAAGATACTTGATGTGGAGCTGGCGCGGTCCCTACTTCCGCGCTGAGTGCGTTGCGTTGTCTGGCGAAGTTGGGGCATACTAGCAAGAAGTGGTGGACGGATTCTTCGTGGGCGTGGCATTCCTGGCATGTTGTGGACGGCGCTCTGGCTATGCAGTGAAGGTGTTTGTTGAGGGCAATGTGGCCGGTGCGTAGTTGGAAGAGCAGTGTCCCGTGCTTTCTTGGTAAGTCTGCGATTTTGCTGGCGAATTTCTTGGATGGGGCTGTATCGTCAATGGATTGAAGTCGGGGGGTAGCGGGGTGATTCTTTCATGATTCCAGCGGCCTCGTCTTTGATCTTGCCATAGAACTGCTGTTTGAGTGCGGATTTGCTTTGTGGGAGAGTTCTAATCGCGCCGTTTCTGGTCAGGAGTGACTTGGGGAGTTCGTGCGCATCTGAAGAGTCTCCTGATGCGGTTTTCTTTGCTTCTTCGTCCGCTGCCTCGTTGCCTGGTATGCCTTTGTGGCCCGGCGACCACCGGATGACTAGTTTTTCTGCCGTCTTTGTTGGGTAGCAGGTTGCGCAGGTTGTCATGGAACGTGTCTGCTATGTGGTGACCTGGTCTTGATTGGAATGCTGTCATGGCGAGTATCGCTGCTTGGTTGTCTACTCTCAAGCGCCATTGTCCCCCCCCCCCCCCCCCCCCCCCCCCGTTGCCTCCTTCCTCTTTCAGCAGCTGGATTGCCAGGATCATCCCTACCAGCTCGGCCTCATATACGGTGGTGTTCTTTGTTGCTTCCTCCCAAGTACAGTCGCTTCCTTCTCAACACCTCCTCTCCCCTCATCAGTATTGCTGCACCTCCTACTCCCCATCTACTGAAGATCCGTCCGAATATACCCTTAGGTTCCTCCATGGCGAGTGTGTCATCTTCTATGGCTTGCTGTGTTGACTCTGCGATCCACGTGTCGACATCCGGTTCCCACTTGGGGTAATGTCTGACCGGTTCGATCTTCTCGATCTTGACGGATTAATCTGAAATTCGTTCATCAGTCTATGTAAAGGTAAGGGTGCCGTTTTCTCCCCTGGAACTCTCGCCTTTCGCTGTATTCATATGCTTTCTTGCTTTCCTTGGCTAGTATTCGGGTTAGCTACACACTCTAACTTGTGGTACAGGCTGAATGCTAGCGAGGATCTCATGGGGATGTTGCATAAGCAGATGTTGTTTTTGCGCATGGTGATGTAAACTAGTTGACGCGAATCGGGTGAGAGGATAAGGTGGCAGGCGGTAGACCGAACATCGAACGAGGGTGAGGAGCTGGCGGGATTCGAATGCCCAGAGCTTGATGGTCTTGTCATAAGAAGTACTAACGAGGAGATGCAATCAAGTGAAAGTGCTAAACCACTGATGGTTTGGGTGTGTCCTTCGAAGGGAGCTCCGACAGTAACCAGCGTAGATGCATCGAACTCATAGATTGTATCTGGGATGTGCCAGTATGTGACGCTGAATGCGATTATGATGTTTTTGTCTTTGGTAGTCCAAAACACTGGCGCGGATGCCATACCCACACCACCACCATATTGAACGTCCAATTTCCGTGATTGGACATCCCAAACCTCAAGACAATTCCTCAGCCGCCACGATTTGACTGCGAGCTTGTTGGAGTTTTGTGAGAATCGCACTGTTCCCACCTCGTCGGCACTTTTGAATGGATTAGCCAGTTTGCCAGTGTCCAAGCTCCATATCGCTGTGTAATCTCTCCTGCCCCGCTCGCCAGTAGTGTGTTGTCTGCCGAGATATCAATGCAGGTGATCCTCTCAGGCTGTGAGTGACCTTCAAATGTTCTCACGATCCGCGTCTCAATCTCACGGACTTTGAGCCACCTGGCCTTCCCAATAAGTAAGCCTTATTAAGCTTGGTGCTTACGCGTACCGGCAAGCTTAATTAGGCTTGGTTACAGTAAACCTCCAACACCAGCGTTAAATATCGCCCCAAATACCTTTTTACCTTACAGCTACTACTACCTACCCGCTCAAAAGGGTAAGGACCGCCCCCTGCCCTCCCCATGTATACGGCACTTCCCGCGACCTCCCCGATTTACCTGAACTTTGATCAACGGTGGCTTCCCACGCCCTTTCTGCTCTTACCCTACACCGTCGACGTCACTGGGCAGTTACAGCCAACAATCCAGGCATCTGGCTAGTGTCCTAGGCACTGCACTGTCCCCTCAAGGTACCTGTGCTCCCGCCATCCTACTAGACCTGCTCTGTACCCACCTGCGTGTCATCCTCCTCATTCCCGCCACCCTGTGCTGCCACCATCTTCCTAGTTCCTGCCCTGTACCTACCTGTACGCCATCCTCATCTTTTTCAGCACCCTGTGCTGCCACCATCTTCCTAGTTCCTGCCCTGTACCCACCTGCACGCCACACCTGCACGCCATCCTCGTCTTTTTCAGCACCCTGTGCTGCCACCATCTTCCTAGTTCTTGCCCTGGACCTACCTGCACGCCATCCTCATCTTTTTCAGCACCCTGCGCTACCACCATCTTCCTAGTTCGTGTCTTATACCTACCTGCACCCCACCCTTCTCATTCTCGCCACCCTTAGATCACGCTGTCCATCATGCCGCGCGGGACGGGGACTTCCAGGCTGAAAGGCCTTTCTAAATCTATCATCTCACACAGCTTCAGAGGGTGGCATCGCCAGTCACACGTGTTGACAGCTGGCAAGCAATCTCAGCGCCGCGAGGCAGCTGCAATGAGTCGTCTGGCTCTAGTTCAAGGTATGTAGTATTTTTCTTACTTTCTATGACCGCCATACCAATTTTTCCCATAGAGATGTCATCTGAGGACCGCGAGATGGTCGAGAACATGATCGTTGACCATGGTATTGATGTCGAGCCACAACTGTACACAGCCCCCCCAGGTGAGGAAGGGTTAGACATGAGCCATGCTGGAGGTGAATTTGAGGCATTCGAGGGACTTGCCCATGAAATCGCTGGGATCAGTGGATGGTGAGTGCTTTTTTTTTCACTACCTGCGCTATCTCAAACACACATGGATATGGAGCCGCTATGTAGACCCACGCACTTGTACTGATCGCATCGAAAATGAAACGAACCACTGGAGCATTCAAATGGGCTGCCTGGTAGAGGCCTATTTAGACTATCGCCACCGCGACTTGGGGGATGGCATGCCCAACTGCAATGGGATACCTGCAGCATCACCCTCTGATGATACTCAGCGTGTTTCACTGAGTGAAATTGAACTTATCAATATCTTTAGTACATATATTGACTGCGTTCTTCTTGTCAGTACTAATTTAAACAGGTCGAAAGCGCTCTTCACTTCAATCACAACCCTTCCACATGTGTCCTAACGAGACTTTAATTTATCACGGCTACATTGGATGTGCACCGGTGTATCCAACTGTTGCTATATCTCTCCGTACCCTTGCTGCTTACCAACAAACACATCGTGTGTGCCCTTCATTTGGTTTTCAAGCGCAGTGCAAAGCTCTCTGCTTTCTTCACAGTGTAAGCACTCTGTTTGTTTGGGCATATACATAAATTATAACGAGATTTGACTTGACAGATCCCTTATAGGCCTTACCCTCACCGCACAACTATCTTCCGCCTTCGACATCTATTTGGAAATTCTCCATTGTGTGGACCAATGCCTTCACATGGCCCTGAAACGTGATACTCCAAATTGGCGCCTTCTAAACTCCTGTCCTGCATGCTTTTACAAGCTCGAGGATGAGCCTAATCTGGAATTTGAGTGGCTCGTATCAATTGACGGCAACAACAGCCTGAAGAGATGGGATTCCACGACATACGGGACGAATGCATGACTCGATTCTCAAAAGGCTCGCTCTGACTTTTGGGTTGATGCAGAGTCTGTGGACAAATTCAGCGGCGAATTGAGAGCACGGGCAGTGAGTGTCGACTTATTGCACAATTATGCCCTCATCAGCTGTATAGGCGGAAGACAACGATGTTGAGAATACAGCAGCTGAGACCAACCCTGCCCCATTCAGTTGTGCCGATCGGTGGAAAAATGCAGGTCCGGAAACTCGCAAGAAGATGTTTTCGGTGTTTGATGAATCGGGAATCTTCATTGCAGCATGTCATCATCGGTTCGTGCTTATTGCTTGTGATATGATCCGAAGCGGAGAATTGTGAGTTCGTGTTTGCTCATCAGTTAAGTTTCATCTAATATATTAGGGCAAAATACCCACTTGCCATCATTGACAAACTGCTTACGGTCTACGGCAAGAACGGTGCATGTGCATATGATATAGGCTGTGCCTTTACCAAGACATTAGGTACCAGCGCTCTAGGGCCACAAGCGCGAGAGCTTGGGTTTCGTCTTATGGTTGGGGCATTCCATGGGCACGCTCACAATCGCATGTGTCAACTTGATTGGCATCCAATGTACATTACAGGAACTGGACACAGTGAAGGAGAGGGCTGTGAACATGTATTTTCTGCATCTAATGCTCTTGCACGTGGCACCCGACATGCAAGCAAATTCCACCAGCATCAGACAATTGAGCAACACTTCGCATTTTGGAATGATGACAAATATGCTAACCTTAGTAAGTTCTTGTCTAACTGTGTATAAATGAATGATGACGTTAATGTACCTCAGGCAACTTTTTGTGGAATCACTACCTCGAGGCCCTAAAATCAATTGAGACCCTTACTGTTGAGCTATCCGCTATCAAATCGGAGCTGAACATTACCGATGATGACTTCCTGCGCTACTTCGAGCAAGAACGTGCTTATCTACATAGCTTGAAAGAGCCGCCTGCAAGAGACCAGCTTTGTATCCGTTATGTTGAAGCACTTGATGAACTAACTGAACAAAGGTAAGTTGTTTTTATATGTAGATATGTCTGACGTTAACAATCTCAGAACTGATTGGCATGCAGCACGTGAAGCTGCTAATAATTCCCTTACAGGGATTGCAGCTAGCAGCTTGCAGAAGATTAATGAAGCGCTCACACAAGCTCGGATCCGAGTCGATTCATCATATGCGAAGTTACAGCACGCAGAAGCGCTAGTGGCGCATGTCGAAATTCAGCTCACTGTGGAAGCACGATGGGAGGTAGGTGGCCCAGAATACAATGAATTCAAAATGGAGGCACGTATAGGCAAGTATCGTGCTGCACTTGATGAGCTGGAGCGCCTCGTAGTCATGCGTTTATTTGAGCTTTCCAAACTTTCGTTGTCAGGGACAGGTGAGTTCTGCATTAGTACCCATATAGATTCTCTCTGCTAATTAAAATCTTAGGCTACAAACTACATCAGCAGATCAGCAAGGCTTTACAACGGCGTTCCGAGGCTATCCGAAATGCGATAAATCGGTATAACATGCAGGCTGTCGCCCTAACTCCCCCGCGCCCAAAGATTTCGTGGAAAGACATCACGGACTATAGTTTTCTTGGCGAATTTGATTTGTTGTGCCATTCACGTGCCGACATTCGCAGCAATGATTGGGCCAAACTGGCCCATCGAGAAGCAACTAATAAATTTTTCAAGTTACGCCGCGCTCATGAAGAAGTCAAGCGACTTAACGTTGAAGTTCGCCGCTTACGCACTGCAATTCACACTGAGGAACTCCAAACCTCTGCCGTCATCAATGACTTGCTTCTGTCGGACCCAAGACTGGCTGCAGAGCTGCAGCGCCAATGCCGTCCACGTGCTGCTATCAATGCCGTCCATGTGCTGCTATCAATGCCGTCCATTGCTATCGCTTAGATCGTATTGAGCACCTGGCTGGATTCTCGGGCATCAGGGGCATCGGTGTCCACATGCAGTATCCTTTATCGACTCCCAACATCCCTCCCGCCTCGCATCCTTCAACATCTCCTGACGTTCATACAAATTCAGGTAGGCCTCCTCGCATACTTTCTGTGCCGATTTAATCTCTTTCATAGGTGCACTGCAGAATGTTGACGACGTTGATGCAATTATCACATCTGACTATACTGACATAGAAGCGATTGATCGTGAGGAGCACAGCACAGTGGTAGAGGATATGGCCGACTTTTTCATTCGATCACTGACTAGTTTACTTGTGTCGTTTTGTGTTATTAAACTTATTCCAATGCATCATAGGTTTTGAGAATTCTCGTCTGCTGCAGCATCCATTCACTGGCCTTCACACCGGCATCAGAAAGAACCTTGTCACACAGGTCTATGGTACACTTGAGAAGAGGTTCCACGAGATTCTCCAGCTGCACACGTCCAAGCCTTATGTTGATGTGCTTGGGACTGTCGACGGTAAGCTCGATAAGAGGTTCCACAAGATTCTCCAGGTGCACACGTCCAAGCCTTATGTTGATGTGCTTGGGACCAGATGCATCAGCAGTGATATATGAGAGGTTGATTTCCATCTGCGTTGTTGTGGGTCAACGGTACACTTGATAAGAGGTTCCATGAGATTCTCCAGCTGCACACGTCCAAGCCTATATATGTTGATGTCCTTGGGACCAGATGCATCGGCGGTGATATATGGGAGGTTGATTTCCGTCTGCATTGTTCAAGTTGTGGGTCAACGGTGTGGGTATCACAACCTGGCAGGCACATATAAGAAAAGTGCTCAGCCAGTATAAGTGAGTCTCAGCTCTGCCTAGCTGCTATACTCGCAGAATGCAAGAACGTTCGACCCTAAAGGGGAAGCAAGGAAAGCAAGGATCCACGGAATGATGCTGAACAACCCTGGTGAATGGCAGTGAAATGCGCTGAAGGCGCGCACGGGAAAGCGAAGTGCGAAGGTGCACGGAGCGCGGGAAGGTAGTGCAAGCAGTGCACAAGTGTAGATGATGGATACTGAGACTGATAAGAGGAAAAGCGCGGATCTAGACGGATACTGACAGTGCCACTAGCTATAGACTGATGCTAGGGCCTCAAAATGATGATGGACACATGCATTGCATGGAACTAACTTGTGATAGATACTGAGTGGTAGGAAGGTGGTGGTATGAAGCTAAGGTGGAATAAGTGGGGTGTAAAACGAACATGAGTGTATGTAAGTTCTACCTAAGCGCTCTCCCAGGGCTCGGAGCCGAATAGGGAGCGCTCTAAGTATGTAAGTGATGTAAAGTGATGTAAAGTAAGGGTCCATGACGAAATGGGAAGTGTAATATGCCAAATATGGTCAGATAACGAAAAGGGACATACCAAGGGACTGGTTGGACGATGGATGGATGCTCCTGGATGATGCGCGACGCAGGGCGCTTAAGCGCGAGAAAGTGCGCAAGGCGCGCACGCGGGAATACTGCGCATTGTGCGGGAAAGTGTCGCGCCTATGGCGCATTCCGCGGGAAAGTGATGCGCTCTATAGGGAATGACTAGAGGGTGATGGTGCGAGTTGTGCCGTGAAGGCCAATCATCAGAATTCGTAATATGAGCCCATATGAGCCTGCAGAAACGCGAGTCTCTACAACAGTACATTTGATAAGAGGTTCCACGAGATTCTCCAGCTGCACATGTCCAAGCCTATATATGTTGATGTGCTTGGGACCAGATGCATCGGCAGTGATATATGGGAGGTTGATTTCTGATCTTTCTTGAACTTCGCCAAGATGTGGTTGAGCAGGATGATGTCGAAGTACTGATTGGAAACGTGATTGATGCAATGATTCACAATGAAAGTCGACTCAACTTGAAGTACTTGATCGCAACAATTGAACTAGGAGTTAGGAAACAGCTTTATGATATCACAGTACTTGAATCTGAAATCATGAACGGTTTGTTCATGAAATTCAAGTTTATTTGATCTAACATCTCAAATCGGCAGCACTGTGCTGCATCTTGTCCGAGTCAATCACACATCTGATTGCACGCTTACTAGTAGTAGTAGCCTCACACAACCTTAGATCATCCATTTCGAATGCTACAAGCTCTTCAAATACTCTCGTCCAACTCAAATGGATTGATCCTGGTCAACACTCTTACATTACATTCACAAAAGAATTGGCCGCTGGCAAATATCAAGGTAGAGCCCATGGCAGAATTTGACTTTTGCACTTTGTGTTATCTAATGCTTTAGCCCATTTATGTTCAAGTACAGCGAATACTCGCTACCTCTACAACCACTCTCATATTGTCTTCAATGACCATGCAGTCTCAAACTGAAACACAGGGTTCACACTATTTCACAATGTCTGGACTCGCTGCGCTACATTGCTCGACGTTTGCACAAGGCTTCAGCAACAATCAACGCCAGGCTGCTGCCAGGGCACTACTTAGGCACGACGCTCACATTGACGGCACGCATTATCATACCAAGACACTTTGTGGCCTTCATCCCTCCTACATAGCCTTTCACTCTAATAGTCAAGAACTGGAATCAGGGAGAGCGCTATCTCCCAAAGAACTTGTGGAAGTGACACTCCAAGACATCTTTGACGCAGCAAGCAAATTTCTTCGTTTTTTTATAGCTAAATCTGACACTCTTTAGATTGCTATGCAGGACCGTCTCGACAGTGGTATATCTCTGCTTGTTCGATGTGCAGGTTCTGGAGTAGGACCGACTATGTCACCCAAGAAAATTCCTCTTGACCTGTATATCACGCCACACGAGCTGCAAGAAGTTCCTCAACAGATTGGAGGAGATGTCACGGTGCTTGTACAAGCATTCGCTCAAGAGTTTGCGATACCACATCTCCAACGTTTTGCTAAGCGCTGTGCCATTGAAAATATCAAACCACCTCAGTCTTGTAAGTCAAACTGAACTCTCCCTTTTTTCACAACACATCGCTAACAAATCCGTGAAGTCCCTGCTACTCATATCAGTACAAATGGACCACAGCACCTCCCAGGGTCTATCGTGGCTACTGGGGCTCGCATTGCGTGCTCTGCACAAGCACCAAAAACCTTCGAGAAGAATCTGCAAACCTCATCCGTTCCTGCTGCAGATCCAAAGAAACCGGCATCTGCAGCAATTTCTGAAGGAATCCAACTGGGGGCAAGTGTTGCAAAAGACATGTTAACTCCATGTTCACAGATTCGCTGGCGCCGAGCTGCTGAAGTCTTTGTTGCTGATAGAGTCCCTGGCCCAATCTTTTCGGTTCGGCCTGAATTCGGTTGCGATGCCATAAACTTTAGTCCTCCGCTCATTAGTATCGGTCCTAATACCGATGCTGCTCTTGATCGGTTCAAACTGGGAGATGAGCTCTTGCCCAAGCTCCGTGTGCTTGTTGGAACTGTGCGAAGCAGTCGTTGGGAGTTGGTTCTCAGGTCCCAGAAGTGGGATCTGAACTATGAGCAAGCCTCTATCTTGGCGAACGCCCTTCTTGCAGACCTTCAAGGGGTGCCGTTCAGCCCTGAAATTGTGAAGGTTTGTAATTTGATTGCGGCTGCACACCTGTCAAGCTAATAATTTGCTAGCGCAAATCTTCTGTGCTATCCGTCATTCTGGAGTGTCTTGGCATTCTAGTATTTTATGTGCGCTTTACCTCTTTGGATTGTTTATCATCTTGTAGATTGTGAATAATTATCTTGCAGTTTTTCACCGTGGCATTATGTCTAAGCGCAAATGTTTTTAATGTCTCCGAACTTTGTGTACCGACGCTAACTTGCTTTCTCTCTCTTTTCATAGACATGGTATCTCCCTCCACCCACAAGAGCAGCGCCAGGCGCCGCATGCAGCAACCTCGCATCCGTCCAAAGGTTGTCATAAGCAAAGAGGCCCGTGCTCTACTCACAGCCAACCGACGCACCAAGTCTCGTCAGTTCAAAATCGCCCTTGATGAGGCTTGGGGCCAGATCGACGAGGCCACGAAGACTATCGCTTCAGCTCACCATAAAAGCATTCGCCGTGTGCAGAATGAACTGTACATTGGCCAAGGGATCCTGCGTTCTAAGCGCTCCAAGCTGAACGCATGGAATGCGTTCTGCTGGAAAAAAAACCAGGCCAGCGAAAATCGTAAGTTTTTGTTTTTCCTTCTCACTGTGTATTGCACCTGACGTATCTCCTACAGGCAACCAAGGCAAAGGCGCACTTCAACAGCTCGTTCATGAGCATAAGGACGAGTACCACAACCTTTCAAAGGACGAGCGGGCAGATCTACTTAAAGAGTATGCCGACTGGTCATTAACAAAGGCTACTGGTGTGCGCACCTCCACCAAATCGAAGGTCAACGATATCACTCAAACACTCAAGGCTGTCGAAATTGAGGTTTGTGTCCCCCCCTCTGAATTTCTTTGGCTCATACATGTGTTTAAAATAGCTTAAAAGTCTGCAATGTCGTACAGGCGCAGAAAGCGTATTCTATACCACGCGCGGGTTGACTGATCTTCCCCTTCGAAGCATAGCCTTTGCGACTGAAGGCGTTCAGGACTTCATGCCATCTGTGATGGGCGTCGACAATCAAGATCTACTTGGTAAGATGGAAGGCTTTGCGGTTCAAGGTGTGAAAGGTGCGAGTTGCTGCTTTTTTTCGGTAGAACTCTAACTTATTTACAACAAAACCAGGTGCTGCACAAAATCACCAAGAGCGTGTGTCTCAAGCACGCGCAGCCATCCGCAATATTATCAACAGTACTCTTCATAAGTCCCTCCTCCCACTCTGTATGATGTATAACTAATTTACTGCTATACAGGTCAGATCACTGGCAACCCTGATGCCAACATGCAATGGGCACTTTATTTCTGGAACATTGTCCAACGCTACCAAGTCATGATAGAGGGTGGCCTGACAATATTCCGTTCGCCAACCTTAGCCAAGTGTCTAGCGCCCTCCCAAAGCTCGACAGGCTCTTCCGAAGGTGGAAGTCGGGTGCAACGCACTGGAAGACTTTAACAGACGAGGAATTCGAGAAAGTTCTCCAGGAGCACAATGATAAACTCGACCATGGCGAGATCGACGACCATAGACGACGGACTCGATCTGACAAGGGTAAGAAATGAAAGAAGCCCACAGCCATGGATTCTAGCTTGTGCGGCCGCAAGAAGTATAAGAGTGCAGCTCCTGTCGAAGACAGTGATAAGGAGAATGACGCTGAGGAAGAAGACAATGACGAGCATGAGGCTCGTGGCCAGTCCTCCGCACCCTCTGGCGCACCCTCTTGTCATGCTTCCAACGCCACTCCAGCACCCTCTGGCGCACCCTCTGGCGCACCCTCTCGTCAGCTGTCTGACGCTACTTCCAACGCCACTCCCGCACCTCATGTGTCTCGTGATACTCGCTTCTCCACACCCTCTCCTCACTTCAGCAATGATTCTGACACTAATAGTGCTCTCCTGGACTGTGATGCTATGTTGGATAGGTTAGGCGAAATCTTTGGATCTACACATCAAGATGAAACAACGATGTCTATGATTGCACCATGATCTACTAGACTCGACTCCTCTACTCCACACAACTTCACCAATTTCAACATTTTTGGTACTTCATTCTGACCCTTTGAACCTTCTACTAGACTCGACTCCTCTACTCCACAAAATTTTCGAATCTTTCACTTCTAGATGTTTGGTTCTATGTTCTGACTCTTACATTTTGTCTTCCAGAAATCAAACATTGTTCAGGCATGTGATAGGGAGGGAAGATGCTTCACTTGATGCTATTGACTTTGTGGAACTATACAAGTTTATGATAACAGCAACTCCAGTAGGCTACTCGAACTTGCAAATGTCCACTACACCATGTTGTCTCGACCGTCTTGCAGTACTAAGCTGACACTGGGGAGACGAAGATTTAAGAGCAAGCAATGGTGATATAATTTTCTACGCACAAGGCCTTTCAGCCTGGAAGTCCCTGTCCTGCACGGCATGATGGACAGCGTGATCTAAGGGTGGCGAGAATGAGAAGGGTGGTGTGCAGGTAGGTATAAGACACGAACTAGGAAGATGGCGGGAGCACAGTGTGCTGAAAAAGACGAGGATGGCATGCAGGTGGGTCCAGGGCAAGAACTAGGAAGATGGTGGCAGCGCAGGGTGCTGAAAAAGATGAGGATGGTGTGCAGGTAGGTACAGGGCAGGAACTAGGAAGATGGTGGCAGCACAGGGTGCTGAAAAAGACAAGGATGGCGGGCAGGTGGGTCCAGGGCAGGAACTAGGAAGATGGTGGCAGCACAGGGTGCTAAAAAAGATGAGGATGGCGTACAGGTGGGTACAGGGCAGGAACTAGGAAGATGGTGGCAGCACAGGGTGCTGAAAAAGACGAGGATGGCGTGCAGGTAGGTATGCAGCAGGAAATAGGAAGATGGTGGGAGCGCAGGGTGCTGAAAAAGACGAGGATGACATGCAGGTAGGTACAGGGCAGGAACTAGGAAGATGGCGGGAGCGCAGGGTGGCAGGAATGAGGAGGATAGCGCGCAGGTGGGTACAGAGGAGGTCTAGTAGGATGGCGGTGTGGGTATCACAACCTGGCAGGCACATATAAGAAAAGTGCTCAGCCAGTATAAGTGAGTCTCAGCTCTGCCTAGCTGCTATACTCGCAGAATGCAAGAACGTTCGACCCTAAAGGGGAAGCAAGGAAAGCAAGGATCCACGGAATGATGCTGAACAACCCTGGTGAATGGCAGTGAAATGCGCTGAAGGCGCGCACGGGAAAGCGAAGTGCGAAGGTGCACGGAGCGCGGGAAGGTAGTGCAAGCAGTGCACAAGTGTAGAAGACGGATACTGAGACTGATAAGAGGAAAAGTGCGGATCTAGATGGATACTGAAGGTTGCCACTAGCTATAGACTGATGCTAGGGCCTCAAAATGATGATGGACACATGCATTGCATGGAACTAACTGATGATAGATACTGAGTGGTAGGAAGGTGAGGTGGAAATTGTTGGGTGTAAAACGAACATGAGTGTATGTAAGTTCTACCTAAGCGCTCTCCCCAGGGCTCGGAGCCGAATAGGGAGCGCTCTAAGTATTGTAAATGAGGTAAGGTGATGTAAAGTAAGGGTGCATAACGAAATGGGAAGTGTAATATGCTAAATATGGTCAGATAATGAAAAGGGACATACCGAGGGACTGGTTGGGACGATGGATGGATGCTCCTGGATGCTGTGCGACATAGTGTGCTTAAGCGCGAGAAAGCGCGCAAGGCGCGCACGCGGGAATACTGCGCGTTGTGCGGGAAAGTGTCGCGCCTATGGCGCGTTCCGCGGGAAGTGGTGCGCTCCATGGTGGAAGTCATGGTGGATGATGGTGCGAGTTGTGCCATGAAGGCCAGTTGTCAGAATTCGTAAAATGAGCCCATATGAGCCTGCAGAAACACAAGTCTCTACAGCGGGAGCACAGGTACCTTGAGGGGACAGTGCAGTGCCTAGGACACTAGCCAGATGCCTGGATTGTTGGCTGTAACTGCCCAGTGACGTCGACGGTGTAGGGTAAGAGCAGAAAGGGCGTGGGAAGCCGCCGTTGATCAAAGTTCAGGTAAATCGGGGAGGTCGCAGGAAGTGCCGTATACGTGGGGAGGGCGGGGGGCGGGTCCTTACCCTTTGAGCGGGTAGGTAGTAGTAGCTGTAAGGTAAAAAGGTATTTGGGGCGATATTTAACGCTGGTGTTGGAGGTTTACTGTAACCAAGCCTAATTAAGCTTGCCGGTACGCGTAAGCACCAAGCTTAATAAGGCTTACTTATTGGGAAGGCCAGGTGCTTTGAGCTCCTTGGTGGTGACAGCGGTGACAGCCCATCGACCATTGGGTGTTAAAACCGATTTCTCGATGGCACAACGGGCTGCGTTAATCTCAAAGTCATGACCAGTCCACCAGAGAACCGAGCAAGTAGCACGGGTAAGATTTCGTTTGGAAGGTTTCGAAGGACCGTCAGTATAGGCTAAGGCTTTCTCGTGTCGTGTCGTGTGGTCTGACGTGGACAGTGATTTCGATAGATGCCTGACTCGTTTGAAGGTGCCGGTACACTTTGTCTGCTGAAGCTGATCGTCAATTCGTTAATGCTGAATGTCCAGATTACCTAGAGGCTAGCAACTTGAGAGAAGAGCAAGCAAATCAGCTAATTGAATGTGCGTGCGTCTCACCACCCCTTCCTGTACTTCCTAACACCCCCTTCGGCATGGCGGCTGTGCATTGCACAGCGTTTATTTTTACCCGCTGCCTCATGTCCATCAAATCTACTTGCTCAGGCACCAATTATTCATGGACTTTCAACGCAACAAATGAACGAGTTCGACCGGTGTGGACCACCAAATCAACAATTTTGCAGGTTGACCTCCTTATGATTCAGAATATGATGGGACCTCCATTTAGTACGAACGTGTTCACAACCGTGTATCGTGTATGGTCTTCCGTATGCTGTTATTGAGTACCCTTGCTGTTCTGGAACATCCTTCCTTGACTCACAAAAGTCTCTACAGCGTGGTCCATTTTATACTTGCGTGGTCTGTTCAAGTCATCACGATCGCAACCACCAGTGGCGGAAGCAGTGTCGTGACTTTTTTTCGCTATAGGTCGAGTCGATGTTCAATACGTTGTCAATGATTTGTTTGCATGCACAGACAAATCATGGACACCGTATTGAACATGTTATTTCAGGAGATGTCTTGGGGTGAGCCTGCGTTTACAATTCAGGTAACAGTATCACATTGCTATGCCTCGTTGGTTGTACGTTGGGGAGTTTGAAAGCGATTTTTTGAATCTAGAAAGGGGGTCCTACTCTCTCCCGAGGAATCGTCACGACATTCGGGACATTTTTGTCAACAGGGAATGAGGCAAAAGATACAGCAAATGTCGTTTATTCTTCTGTAGACAAGAAATGAATATGAACAATACTTCTTCGTCTGCAGGCGAGCGGATTTCTTGTACGTGTATAACTTCAGGATATGGAGATCAGAAAGTATCGTTACAAACATGCATTGGACCAAGGACAACAAACCACAAGCCCTACTCCCAAGTATACCTAAAATAAAAAGACTATTCTTGTTACGTGAACGTCCAAGTATTTTGTGGTAAAGTATCTGAGGATGAGTGAAGATGAGGATGAACGAATCAAATGAATGGTGTATGTCTATGTATGATGGTTAGCGCATGCTGTGGTTTCTCGTGGTGCTTGAGACCGTGTAAAGCGTGTCGATCATTGCGATCCCCCACTGTCTCCTGAGTCTACCGCTGCCGGTGGAGGTGTCGGCGTGGGCTTGGCCGCACGTTGATCCACAGCAGCGGACGACTCGCTTGTCTCCATTATCGTCGGAGCAGCGAGTGCCCGCCACTGCTCCAAAAGTTGTTGACCCACCCCTGGTTCAACCTCCGTACCATCCCGCGAGACCTTGATCTCCCGGTCCTGGTTCCAAGAATTTCGAAGGTGTCGAGTGGAATAGAAAGGAAGACGGTCAGTACAGAGCCATTCCACCTTGAACGGCTGTCCCCAAGCCTGTTGTTCATCGCTCCCAGCGTCCTTTGTCATCGATGGCATCACATCATCCTTCAGTTGTTCTTTCCCAGCATCGCCATCATCGCTACTTATACTGTTATTCTCTTCCTCCACAGCTTGCAAGGCAGATACCACCGACTTCGTGCCATCCGTGCTCCCCTTATTCCGTACCGCTCGGACCGGTGCATTCTTGTCGAGCACAATGTCGGCAGTCGCACTTACAAAATCCTTGGATATCAATCCAGCGGCTGACCTAGCCTTTCCGCTTTCATGGGGGCTACTAAACTTCTTAGCTGGAGGCTCTGACGAAAATTCCCGTCGTGGGCGAGGCCCGAGTGCAGCTGGTGCAGATGATCGATGAGGTTCCATAGGAGAAGGCTTGCTGCTCAGGGTCCCTCCAGAATGTGGAGTGAAAGGCATTGGCGACTCCTCGACGAGACGGTTCTCTGATGGTGTAAAGAAAGACTGATTGGTGGAAACAAGTGGGCTAGGACTGCCAGGCTGGCGCCGAGACGGGGACACAGAGGTCGCCGAGGCATCCGCATGCGGCGCCCACGGAACTCTGTGCTCGCCCTTCAGTATCCGACCGGTCATCCTTGTGTGTCAAAAAGATCAGTACTGGAAAAAAAAAACATGGAACTTTACATACCGTGCATATCCATAGAACTCTCCGCTCTTGTTCACGCTAAATATCAAGATAACTTCGCTGCTAGTGCGGTAAGCCTGATCAAGAATGGCCTCGTTATGCTTTTGAGTTGCCCCACAATCCGTTTTCGACACTCAAATCTAGGTCGAACTACAAGGTCAAAGCATCAAAACCAAATCAAAATTAGTGATCCTCCAAAACACAAACCTGCGTCAAAGACTTGAGAATGAAAAAGCGTTTCGGAAAATGCCGAGACAAGAAACTGGAGTTCGTCGATGCATAGGAGCTACTTGATTGAGTCTTGACAGTGTCTCCGGGTTGCGAACCTTGGCGAGCTCTGGTAGCCTCCTCATCACTCGACTGTAATGATGTAGCCACAGCCAGTGGATGCCCTGACTCACTCGATAGACTCGAATGGCGACCGGTAGATGATGACTGATCGTCTTCACTTGGAGCAACCTGGTTATCCATCTGTCCCTGCTGAAATTTCTCACGGACATAGCGAGTGTGCACGCCCACTCCCCGTTGCCCACCTACCCCAGCACGCAGATCATCCTCTTTGCGACGTACTCGACAAACAAGTCGCGGACCCCGCCGTTCATGTGGATGGAGCTGTTGCCCATTGAACTGCACGATTGCACGCCGTAAGTGCTCTTCTGTGTCAAAGTTGACAAATGCGCAGTTTGACCGGGAGATTAAGAAAATCGATAAAACACCATCGGCCTCAGACTCAAACGAGCCATTGTCCATAGGAGGGCGTTTCAGGAATCTCCAGAGTTCGTCGTGGGTGGTCCCACCTGGAACATTCCCTATCCACATCACCCATTCGGATCTGTGGGAGGGGGGATTTGGATGATAAGCTCGACGTACAATGGGACGTTCAGAATGAGGGCGGGATGGAGAAGTATGTGTTGACGGGGGCGAGGCATGATGTTCGGGGCGGGCGAATATTAAGGGAGAAATTGATACCGGAGCCGATGATGATGGGGGAGCTGGTAATACAACCTGAGGTGGGTGCCTTGCAGGCAGAGCCGCCGGTGGAGCAGTCGACTGCACAGGTGAAGTAGGACCACCATGAATGGAGACTTGAGAAAAATGTGTCTCCAAGTCAGGAGAAGGAGAATCATGCAAGGGTGGGAAGTTTATTGGGTACCGAGGTTGATAATGCATGGGGATCCCCTCGTTAAATCCAGGCGGGACAGGCGGACTGTAGTACCACTGGTATGGGTTTGGCTCATATGCATGGTCGTAACGGTAAGGAGTGTATGGACTGGGATAGCGCACAGGCTGATATTGTAATGTGGTATGTGAACCAGATACGCCCAGGGGAGGCTGCTGTATAGGTAGCGGAGATTGAGTTGCGGGACTATTTGCAGTGGAGTGCATTCCCGAATTACCGCCCAACGGGTAAGGAAGCCCGCCCGCATTATGTGGTGAGCGCGCCTGCATCATGGGTCGGAATCCCAGCGGATTTTGTTGATACAGGCCAGATTCTAGAGGAAAGTGTGGTACATATCCATGGGCGTGTGTGTATGGATAGGTTGGTGGGTGCGTGGTTGGAAATGGCGGGGGCTGCTGGGATAATGTGTATTGTCCTGAATAGTTATTCAGCTGGAATGACGATGGGGGGGTAGTATCGCAGCGGACTTCCTATGGATGACGATGGTGACATGTTGCTTCCTTGCGACACATTTGGGTGAGGAATATTGGCAACACATGTCCCGGACGCGTCATGCGGAGTCTGGACTGCACTAGAGCTTGAAGGGAGGAATTGGACAAGACCAGCCTGAACGGATGCCAGCAGTGGACGGCGTGATGTACCGGGAGGGGGGCGTACCTGATTTTGCAGGTGTTGCTGCTGTGTAGACGTCCCCACACGATTGGTACTATCGAGAATATCGTCAGTACCCATGGAAGTCCTATAGCACGTTACACCGATATTGGAACTAGCTATGTACAAAGCCCCTTGAATTATGAGATTTGTAGCGAAAAGGAAGCTACTCACAGGGGATTGAAGCTGAAGTTCGTGTTTCTGCTTTATGGGCGGTATGAACTGTTCAAATGGGATGATACAGGCACCTTGCTATCATGCCTTAAGAACTTTTACAATCGGGAATAGCATACGCCGTGAGAACATGATGTCATACCAACTCTCCAACCTTCTCGTCGCTCCTGTAGGAGTCCTGACACCCAGAGATTGGTGAGCATCTCCTAAGGACCTTGTAAAGTACTGCCTCCGCTTCAAGTCGCCGATACGTGCAGCCGATTCGCAGGCCTACTCGGACGAGCCAAGGGTATTTGACATTCGATTTCAACTTCCCCCATTTTGTTTGGGGTCTAATTGACCGTATTTCAAAGTGGGACGGTCAAAGTACTGCCATGGACATTGCCGAGGAGGGCAGGAAGGTATAGTTCAGCCGTTCTAATCCGGCCGTGCCGGGTCACCCAAAAATAAATCAGTCACAAGCGCAGCATCGTCACAGCCCTTAAGAACTCAGTCATTCATCCGAGTCTCCACTCAGGACGACGCATGGATTGCATCAGCTTGTTGGAGCCGCTTCGGTATCGCTCATTCAACGAGGCCATGGACATCTGCAGTCCCGCACTGGGAACAAGAGAGCAACGCGCCACGCCACAGTATACTATCACTTGCCACGACAGCCTGCTTGCCCCTGCAGGAAAATGATTAGTAGGCTGCTTGATCATTGAACCTTTGACAATTTTCCTAGTAAATTCACTGGGTGCTGCACAGTGGAAGTACTATCTAATTATTCAATATGTACTACATACTCACTTCAAAGTCAGCCGCGTTCAAAATTCAATTCATGCCGTTGGCCTGTGACAGTGACAACCAATATTTTTGTAGTCTCCCTATAAATCTCCCATAATTATTGAGTGTACCTAGTTGTGTATCTCATGAGTTCGCAACTCACACCGAAGTTGACTTCGTATCTCTCACCAACCTGACCGCTCGTTATCCTGAATATTTAATGGGTCGACCCCGCCTTCATGCAACGGCGCAAGAAAGAGTTGCTGCCGCACGAAAATATAGACAGGACTACTATGAAAGGTCAGTTTGCAGGGATCAGTCTCGTATCGCATTCAATTAATATTCGTTGCAGGAATAAGAAAACAATAAGCGTGAAAATGGCAGCCAAATACAAAGCACGACGTGCAGGCAAGCCGAGCAGAATAAACCATGAGCCTGCGAAGACCACACAGCTGTGAGTTGCACACTTTTTTTATACTTATATGTTCTCTTATCAATACCAAGCTCCGGACATTCTCCACAGCTTGAGAGGCATGTGACCGAACAAGAGACATCCATATCCGATAGCGAGAGTGAGCACGAGTCACTACCTGATAGTTATCTCCGTCGCATCGGTTTACAGTATGTGTTCGAGCTCCTGCTGGTTCCCTATTCCAGAATTGATGGATTCAACCTTAGACAACGCATCCAAGACGTTCAAACAGCAGTAGCAGAGACAACTGCTCTTCATGCTGAGGACTACTTCGAGCATCTCTATTCTAGCCTGACGAAGAACTCGAATGATTATCAACTCCGGCTATCAATCATTTCGGATGCCCTGAAACTTTTAGAAAAACATAGTTTGCAAACCCGCATGTTGGAGGCAGAACTTGTGCAAGAGAACGGGACCGGGAAATTGTTATCCCAAGCACAAGAGCTCACACAGACACTACGGGATATGACGGGAGCTGCTGAAGAGCTCTGGTGCTTCATCGTAGACGACCCGGATGCTACGAAGCTCATACAACAATACTCTCGAGGTGAATTGCGATTTCAACGGCCAAATGTAGACAAATGATCACGGATTCTTGACATTAATGATATACATTGACGGCTGTTGAGAGGCAGTATAGTCCTGCTCTGACATCCTAATTTCCCCACACTTCTTAGACTCTCGCACACAGTTTGGCCACGAGAATCGCGAGTCGCTGTATTCGTAACTAGCAAGAGCGGTGATTCTACACAATGTGCACACGCTTCGAATAGCCAGATCCAGTCCAGACTCGACCTCTTCAAGTGGATATCGTATGGACCTCGTCTAGTCTCATTCGTCAATGTCGTTCCCAAGTCCAGGCTGCTGTTTCAAATGTGGTTCTCGAATCTTGACAGGCTCCAAGATGTTCTATATCCGTATCGGACGAACTGTCGCTGATAAATTGCTCCACGGCCACACCGTATACCGGCCGGCCTGGAGGATAAAAACCCGCACGGGGCCTGGACCACGGTGACGGGCAAGCGGATTGCGCTTCCTGTTCGTATCGAACGATTGGAACTCAAGGTGTATTTCGCAAACGAGTGTATGTTCTTGGTATATACCGCTTTTATTTCATTTTGCAGTGGATTCGTTCGTTTATCTAACGTGCTAAAAGCGGCTTAGCTTTGCTACCGTGACCTCATCAGATACACCTGTTACGGCGATGAACTTCATGCAGGTGCTCCCCTGGCACGGGGCCTGTTCTGCGCTGCGCTACTCACCATCGCCTACTCAGCTATGATCTTCGTGTACCGAGCACTCTGTCTGCAGGCGCAATCAGCGAAGGACTGTATCATAACAAGGACAACCTGACGATTCTTTGCTTTGTGTTGTTTGCTGTGCTAGGCACCAACGTTGGCTTCAGGGTGGCGGAGGCGTGATGGCATGTATCAGGGAAATCTGGGGGAGATGCCGTATTTATTGAGCCTTGGCCTGTACATGGGGTTCATGGTACCCTGTTATCATTCGGTGTCTGGTACCCTGTTATCATTGTTATCATTCGGATCTTTCTCGGTTCCTTCGAACGACTTCAAACCCTGAGCAAACAAAGTCCGGACGCCCTCACGTCATTCACAATGAAAAGACCCCAGACTCTGTTCAACATCTTCGCTTCAGCTTAATGTTGTGGCCGTCACCAAGCAGTATCTAACGGTCTCAACATACCCTCATTTCCCCGCATGCTTACTAGTGTATTAGCTCCTTTATTAACACTTTGTAATAAATGCAGACTTATTTAGTAATACGCACACAACATTCAACTCTCCGAGCAGACTGGGATGTGGGCCCGCAACGCGCTCGCTGTAAACATCCGTCGACAGCTTCCGCATGACTCCAGCACCCCAATACCGCTATACTGGGTGATACCTCTGCCCTCTGCGAGTAAGTGCAGTATCTCCTGCTCTGTCAGAGACAGACTCACTATTCGTCAGCGAGGATGCTGGTAGAACCACTGGCGACGCGCACATCAGCAGATACGCGGTGGAGCGGACTTTGTTTGCTCAGGGTTTGAATTCGTTCGAAGGAACCGAGAAATGCCCGAATGATAACAGGGGTACCAGACACCGCCTTACATGCATGCTTTGATCCCCGTCAATTGCAATTCAGTCGTCTCGTTTGGGGGTTAAAGTTTATGATACGAACACGCAAATGCAGGATAGTGACTCCTGGGAAGCACAGATTTGATGCACGTGTACCGCGCGGTCAGATGGATGATGGCAGGGATCACTCAGGGAAGCCTAGTGGTTGCAGAACTGAACGTTGTTTCTTCTAAGCAATCGCCAACAAGACCACACACATCGAACTATAAAGGACTCGCGTTTGTTAGCAGGAGACGACAATCCCTAGAGACCTTTAACACATCAACCCCACCCACTACAATATGAACACTGTAAGCCTGGCTTCTTGCCGCACACGCGTATTTCGTATCTGATCTCAATATTCCAGGTCACCCAAGTCCCTGTTTCTGCTAACTCGTGTGGCTCGAGCAGCTGCAATTGTGGTGATTCGTGAGTGGCATTGTCTTTTATTCTTGTACACGAAGCCTGATTCGCAATGCGCAGGTGCGGATGCAAGGCGGGAGAGTGCAAATGCTGAAAGGTGCAACGTCTGCCATGTATTAATCTTTGACCGGAGTCGAGTGTATGATTGTTGGACGAATGATCATGAAGAAGTGGTGTAAAGTTTGAATATTGTCCTGGTATGAAGCTGCAAGTTGAAGTAGCGAGGATCTCAATTAAAACTGCTCAGCTCAAATGATAGGAAATGAGTAATGATTGATCAGCATTCCTCGCTAGCGTCACTGAGCAAGGTTATGACGTGTAGACACGATGAATGTGACCTCGGATGATTTACCCATCACGATGCAAGGCAGGTATCGGGGGCTCGTGGTGCGGGGAAACTAAAGAAGCTGGTAGCATGCCTGTTACAAGTGGCGACATACACGGAGAATATCAGAAAATAAGTGCACATCATAATTGAAGAATCACACAGTAGTGCTAATCAATGATGTTAGCTTCTCTATGTCCATGTCACGTCGTCGAGGGATGATCCGACACGGGAAGTTCACAGGACGCCTGCGAGTCGTCAGCACTACACACGCCAGTACTTGTAAGAGCTACATACGATGTAATTCCAGGGGTCCACCGAGGTTCAAAATCGATATCTTTCCCGCTTGCGTCCGTAGCTTTCAAGAAATCGAAGACAGCGAGCATGGAAGCGATCGCAGACCATAGACTCGCGTCTGCAATGTAACGCCCCACACATATGCGTCGGCCCCATCCCCAAACGGGAGTGACATGGTCGTCATTCAGATCGCCAGAGGATGTGAAGAATCGTTCGGGCTTGAATTCGAATGGAGCGGGGTATCTTGTTGCGTCGTGTGTCATCGCCCTGTGAACACAGTAATTGTGAGAGGGGGAAAACTAAATATTATAATTGTTCGTACCATATATTCGTTAGGATAGAGGTTCCTGATCGAGACTATGTAAGGCAAGGCATTGTCACTCGGGCTCCCTACTCACCTTTCGGGATAAAGTATCCCTCATACATGTCGTCATTCACAGCAGAGTGAGGTACACCTAAGGGAATGCTCATAAACGGATCGGGGACCATGCATTTGCAACGAGTGCCTTACCAAGAGGTACAATCGGATAGAACCTCATTGTTTCGCGCAGGACAGCTTCAACATATGGCATAGAAACGCGATCACCAAAGTCAGGGAGTTTGTCAGATCCTACGACACGATCAATTTCGGCTTGAGCACGTTTCTGGACTTCCGGATTAAGAACCATCGCTTGTATGAAGACGAGTAGGACCGAATGAGTCTGTAGGGCAAGTTAATCGAAGGTTGCTCCCAAGCAATTGTTTGCGGGCTTACAGTCTCGGATCCAGCTAACAGTACAGTCAGTCAACGTTACATGAGGAGTATAAGTGAAACCAACCCCCGAATGCAGTTGCGCTGGACTCTTTAATTGCCAATTCAAACGATGCGTCGCCCTGAAATCGTGCGAGTCCTTCTGAGACCATGGAAGGGCCAGACAACCCAGAGGACTAACGCCTAAGCAGAGCGTCACGTGCTCCAGAAGATATGTACTTACGATTCTGTCAAGTGCATATTGAAATGGTTTCTCAACCATATCCTTGAGTACGCTCTTCAGTTCCAAAGCATGACGTTTGAATGATGCCCCGGGGAACCAGGCGGGGATCAAGGTCACTACGTTTGCGTTCTAATAAGCTATTCTCGCACGGTAAACATCACCTACGGGCAGGATAGGAATCAATGATAGCCGCCTTATCTGGAGTCTCAGCATGAAGAATTATATCCATTGCCCCCCGAATCATGGAAACAAGGGGATCATTGGGCTTCGTTTCGTAGTCATAAACAGCGGACATGATGATGGATGCTGAGTGCGTCTCCAGATGCAGTTCATAATTAGCGGGTTCTTGGAGGAGCCCGACCAAGAGCTGATGCGCCTTGCGAAGCTGCATAGGTCTGTAGATCACAGCGGCTTCAGGGCGAAAGGCTTGATGATATATTCGTCTAAAATATGTGATGCGTGAGCAATGCCAAGGAGTGTAGAACACATGCTTACCTGTGCCTGCGCCAAGTATCACCGTAGCTTCGCATGACCGTCCTAAATGCAATACCTAACCTTGAAGAGCAGCAGTATGAGTAGGTCTCAAAGCGCAAAATCGTATTACTTGCAGTTCCATTGTAGCAAAACGAGGTCTGTCAGAATAATTGCTTGAGCGCTTCTCAAGTATCGCTCGTGCTACGTCTACAGAGTTCAAGATGATGACGTCCTGGTTGAGCATACGAGAGTATATAATGTCGCCTAGAGCTCTGTTAGATATGATGGATGTCGAACAGGAGCAAAAGAAAAGGCAAGACCATAGATATCACTCCATTCTTTGTATGTGATCCAAGGAAAGTCGGTGTTCATGCGATGCGAGTTGCCAATTATAGGCAGGGGCTTTGGACCTGGAGGTAAAGGGAGTTTGTCTTCGTGCTTTCTTCTTGGCAAACTTGACGTTACACCGATCATCGTAAGGAGAATCGCGACCAAAGCTCCGTGTGCTAGGTCCATGGTGAAGTTCGAGGGAAACGTGAGAGAACGTCAAGTATGATAACCTCTCGATCTTTATCAGTCACGGTTCGGATATCTAAATATTTCATTTCCAGTAGCGACGGCGCCCCCTCATACCATCTAAATGTGTATCAGCATGTCATGAGACTTGGTGGAGAAAAATTCCGGGTTAACGATCTGCAAGAACGGCGGAAGGTCCGAAGGCAGCTCACCGAGACTATGGGGTCGGCAGACTTATTGACACATTGTAACCACACCATAGTTGTGTGTCTGTTATTTCGTGTATGCTGGTGGAAAGTACGCTAACACGATCAGGGTGTGGTTGGACTGGGCTGAGCGTGGCTCGGGGTAGAACGTGAGCAGGTGGAGTCGCTGGGCCATGGTATGAACGATGATGCAATTACTAGTAGTAGTAATGTGCGGGGATGGTGTAACTAGTGGGTTTTTGAGCTAATAATTGAGTGGACATATGATCGAGGTAAATTGATGAATGTGTATTCCAAACTAAAAGGAGTGGCGGGCGATGAGTGCAAAGTTCAAACGAAAGGATGTGAGGATGTAAGCCCGCTGGCAGCTGGCTGGCTGAGTTCCCACAATCAGCATAAATACTGTCTGCGGCGTGAGTTTTGATTATCCCTGCCTTTTGGCCTAACGGTTATTCGGCGTAACGGTTAAGGAACGACAGTCTTGACTACTTAAGTACAGAGGAGTAAGGATGCTTTGTAGAAACTTGAACGAGTTTGAGCTCATCGTCGAGAACAGTGTGGTGCCGGAAACTTCCGGCAGGGCCTATATATAGAAGTTGGCAACGCAAATCCTGACCCACCCAGAGCAGAGGTTTTCATTCACAAGTTCGACCATCATCATACGCACAGCTCTGCATTTTGAGCGCTGGCCTGTATATATATGTATATACGAAATTCTACACACGAACTGCTTCCCATAAAGCGCTGTCGAGAGTTAGAGCCAGCGGTACAGGTTCTACATTCACATCCTGTTTGCACGTCACAAGTTCACGGGTGGCGTTTTGAAAATATTATCCGAATATGCGTGACTGTTTCTCTCGAATTGGCTCAGGATCCTGAACGCCAGGGATACGAACGTGGAAATCTACATCGGCACAGGACCGTGCCACTGACTCCAGAGCCCATTTTTCGGCGACCTCAAGGCCTCATGATCATGCGCAACTCCTCGGTCTCCCCAAAATTCCCATACCTACTGCAGGCGACTCTAGCTCCTTCCGGTATTAATCACGCATTCCACTGTATTTCCCATGTTAGCATCCCGAGTCCTCCGCTGTACTGCGCGTAGGATCTCGTTTGGGAGACTGAGTCGGCGAGTTCTGTTCTGTCTAGTGAGAACGGTATGATTGGCCTTCTTCGTATGACCGCTTTCCTCAACTCCCCCTCGCCCACCTTCTTTGTATGGCTGACTAGGAATTGGAAACGGCGCATTCTTGTGATTTGGTCGCAAATTAGCGTGTGCATGAATCAGACAGGTCGGATTTTCACTCCCGTCCGTGGATGGCGACTGCGACTACGAAGTGCCAAACAATTCAATGCCTCCGATAGCCTCAAATACGATGCATCATCGCAAACAGGTCCCTGACAGACGTCTCAAGGTCTTGCATTGGCCAGTGTACATGAACATGAGTTCTTGCCGTCTCATCTTTTAGAGTATAGCGGTGCAACTGTAGTGGAGGAGACAAAAACTTGCCTTGCCTCGCTTTTTCTAGATACAAAAACATCTATTACGCCCTCTCAGATGGGACAACAACAACAAAATATGCGATTTCTATTCTTGCCAAGATCATGCAAGATTCGAAATTCGCACCGCACCGAAGGAAATCAAGAGGCACTTTAATTTTTTTTTGACAGCCTGATGTCTGAGCACGGTGATACTATATGGTGCTACGCTGAACAATGGACCCGTCACAGCCAGGCGAAATTGCGCAAGATGGAAGAATGTGTTTGGACCAGCACTATCCTCGATGGTATTGGCGGATGGAGCTTCTTGTAAGTGGCGTCAATCTGTTCATCTATGAGAATAACTGCTAATTTGTTCACTCAAGCATGCATATCGTCACCTCAAGTCTCTTCTTTCCATCGCAACTTGTTTTCATCGACTCTGTCACGGCCACGTGGGCGTGTTGGGGAACTTGTCATCAATCCACATCAGACTGATCGGTGATCCACTATATTTGCAACACAACATGCGTCCGACATTGTACGTAAGTGATTGCATTTTTTATTCCAAGGTCAAACTAAATCGGCTGCAGTTCTATCTTCCGGCCTTACTGCTGCACAGCCTTCCCAGGGCAGGTTCACCTCCAAGCGCAACGCTGCTGACACTTTGGAATCCGCCGCAGAAAAATCCAAGATGAACCCCGACGACGCGAACATTGATCTAGGTGTCACCGTCCAGACGGGTCTATATGTTGCTGAAATGTTTGCGCTGCTTCACACTAGCCACGGCGAAAGAGTGACTCACTACGGACTACAAGGACGCACCACCAATGCGGTCCCTGTCATTAGCGAAGCGCTCGCTCAGAGATACACAAACATCCAGGATGGGATGGTAGCCAAGATCTTTTGGGGAGAGGTGAATTGCACTAGCGAGCCGAAAATCTCGGACAAGGTCAAGGAGATCGCTAAGGTGCACGCCACCGTAAAAGACCATGTTCCTGAGTTGCTTTGGCACCATGCGTTTACAAATCCCCACGTCTGCAGTTCGAGACGTTCCAGACCCCACCACAGGCAGTCGCATGCTCTACATCCTCCTCTTCCTCAAGCTCCACCCCATCACGAAGCTTCAAGACAAAGAGCTTTTCGACGTGTGGGTTCAATGTATTCTATGTACGTGTTTCATCGCATTTGTGTGACTCCTCGTTGACATAGCGTGCAGACCACGTCACTCTGTGGAAGGAAGGGGTCTATCATCGAGATGTCAGCCCTAGAAACATGATGTGGTACGAGATAGACGGGGAACTGATGGGTGTCTTGAACGACTACGATCTATCCTCGTTGGCGAATGACGCGGGTCCTCGGGGCAACGAGCGCACGGGCATGGTGCCGTTCATGGCGCTCGATCTTCTCACAGAAGAGGGTCAGCGGGGTGAAGTCAAACACCTGTATCGTCATGATCTGGAGTCGTTTGTGTGGTGCTTGGTTTGGATTTCCTTGCGCTACGAGAACGGAGCTCTTCTACCAGCGGAATCGCGCTCCTTCGATGAATGGGCGACTTTAGACGCCGTGACATGTGGCGTGAAGAAGTACTATTTCCAGGGTCATCTCAAAGCTCCCGAAAGCTCGCACATAGACCCCCTCCTATGGAGTCTTATTGTGGAGTGTTTCGATTTGCTTGACACGGACACCTTCAATCGACGTAAACAACTCCTACGATCGATAAAGAGGAGAGAAAAGCCTACCAACACCGAGGAAACGGAATCAGATATCGATGGTTTTCTACAGCGATTCAAGGATACCGAGAGCTGGGTTGCGCTCAGCACACCTCCCCGCGAGCCTTCAGATGGGCCCCCTTGTCGTCAGATCCGTGAAATCATGCTTTGAAGATTGGCACCCCAATTGGAGCCTAAATGGTAACTAGGCCGCAGGCACGATGTACCAGTACCCCAGGAAGCGGAAACCAATTTGTGGCAACATACCATCTAAAACAGGAAGACACCCTGCTCGCATCAACGGCTAGTTAGCATTTATTTTACTCATTACAGAGCTGTGTGCCTCCACCCATCGTCCTTCACATATGTCGTATGTCCCCTTTTGACATTTCTCCCAGAGCTAAGCTGTTACACAAGCCGCATCTGTATATTACGATACTGGGCCATGTGATGTTTACTTTGCATATGATAGTTATTTTCTTCATCGAACGCTGTTTGCGTCTTGGTTTAGCTCGATGTATTTTTTCATTCGCTTCTTCTTGCACTTGCTGACAGCTTTGTATCATTCTTTATGATATTTTGATTGCCAATCTGTATCGCTACAAGGCAAGAATTATGGCCAAAGTGGGTCGACTCCCCCTGATAGACTAGTCTGGAGGCGAGTGCTCAAGATCCGTTCATACATTGTACAAGCTTCGTACCGAACCAGTATTTGCACCCTCCACGTGCGTTCGAAGTTTGATTGTCTTCGAAGTAGCGGAAGGATTGCGGAGGAAATGGTTAATTCTGACTCGGGAACCGCCGACTTGCGCGGGCTAAGCCTAAACCTTCCTGCCGCACATACTTATTGCGAGCCCCATTTGCTAGTAGCAGCTTGTGCGGCATCGGCGGATTTCTGGGAAATACGATCGAGTAAGCACGGAATTAATGGATGATGGTCCGTAGCTTAGTTCCGACATCATCACGATCATTTCGAGGTGCCATGTGATGTTTCTTGAGATATGAAATAGCTCTGAGCCAGATCATCAGAAGATGATGCCATCCATTGGCCACTTGATGCGAAGATCTATCAGCAAGTTCAAGTTCTCTATGTATGCTTAAGTCGACCGATGATTCCTGGACCCGGCTACGCCACCAGTGCGCCACCCCAAGGTTGAGGCTTGATCAAAGTTTTTCTCAGGGAGGTGAATTCACTCACAGTGCCGGGAATGTCAAGATGTCATAGCCCCGAGTGCGTTTTGATGGTTAGCATGTAACTCCTTTCTGTCCGTGCGATTCAGCTTGTGACTATTACTACTAGTAATTATGGCCAGTGGTGAGTTCCTTTCCAATTTCAATATGTCCGAACAGCCATACCACATTCTTTTCATCAGGCCGAGTCCCTCTCCAAGGCCAACGGTCCACTCGGTACCAGTGTGATTGTCAGCGGTGATACTGAGACGGCTGGAGACAAACATGTATATAATGTTGACTAAAGCAGCAACCACGCTGGGAAAGTCTTCCAGGCGTATTTTCAGCACTTCTGTAGGCAGTGCAGGCGAGCCACTAAGATGACGCACGGTGTAGCGCGTTCAGAGTCGAATTCTTGAGAATTTTGAATAATCTCCCTAGAGTGAGAGGTGCCATGATTGGTTGACAAGCCGCGGGTGCATGGTGGTGAAGATAAATAGTAGGATCTGTCTTATTCATAGGTCATCCGCAGACACTGCAGAGAACGAAATTGGAACTCTCGATATTCGAAAATGTTGCTCCATCCTGAATCAGATTCCCGATGATCGTCGACGTGCCAATCAAGTGGAATCTGAATAGAAGATTCTGTCCTTTTCACAGGCCGACTGCAAGCACCACAGGAGCGAGATTGCACTAGGGTGGAAGAACTTAGAGCATATACCCAGTGACAGTAGTGCGTGGAGCCGTTGACTGGACAAAACGCGTAAAGAATGCACGTGACCGAATAGTGACTAACTTGGGATCATGATTGTCCTTAGGCTTCGATCAATTGCGTACTGAACCTAGTATCAAACGGTAGTACTACGTAGTACATCTAGCCACCAAGTGCTTCTCCAGTCTACACCGCTTGACTCGTAATGTCTTTCGGCGAGGTTGTACACTACGTGACCCAGCCTACAGACTGGCCTGAACCAGTGCGCAGTATTGTTTCCTTGTTGTCACCCTTCCACTGTCCCGACAGGCCAAGTAACGAGCATTTTACGAGCGCGTCGTCCTCGACGTTCTCAGAGCCACTCGTTTCCAATGAAGCACCTGCACCGGGATCATATACTGCAAAGGATTTTCAGGTCTTGATTCACTCCACAGCTGCAGGGTTAAGCGCACTTGCTGAGCTTCCTCACTACGGTGGCGAGAGATCTACCGTTCCCCTTTGGTCTCAGCTTCTCCATGCACTAGCAAACACGCTGTCTCCAGATGTTCTAATTTTGTAAGTACTGAGTGACATGTTCACCACGCATTGAACCAAGATCTGAATATACCTACAGCGAAGATGCACCGTTCATCATGCCACGGGCTCAGAACGTGACGAGTCAGCCGTCAAATCTCATCGAAGGACATGCGACCCTTCTTGCTGCACATGCCATCTTTTCTACGCCTAGAACTCATTCAGACAGATCCACCACCAGCTCACAATATGAGGACTCGGAAGACATGGATGAATCGATATATTCCGCAGACTCTGACTCGTGCGATGGTTCAATTGGCTCACTCGACCTTCCCTTGCAAGCGCACATGCTTCCGGGTCGAGGCAGACGCCTTTCCGCTGTGGTGCCAGTCTTACTAGTCGCCGACTCCCGTAATATCGTTCCCCTACTTTGCAGTGCTCTTTACCAGAGACATGTGTGGGGGATCCGTCAGCCTGTGGTCGGTCTGTGCTGTTCCAGCACAGGTACGATTGCAACGGCCATCTTCGGGTGGCTCGACTCCGATCAGTCAGAAGAAGGCCACATGGCAAGTCCGAAATCAATGCATATTTTTCCACGCTGACCCTTCCTGAAGCCTACAGCCCACCTCGCTTTAGCAGCAGATATCCGCCTAGATCCCTCGATGGGGGTGTTTGACTTCACCGACACCCGTTCTGCCATCAGCCTCGCGCAATTCGTTTTGGGGTTGCGGACTCATTCTCAAGATATCAAGGGTGCCATATCGATAGAAGCAGTCGATTCTCTGACTCCGTTGCACTGGAGATCCGATTTACCCGACTTTGAAACTCAGTTTTGGGGACAATCGAACGAACGAGTGGCGTCCTGGACCCACCAGATACACGTGCAGACGAGTTCTAGGCACGGATTTTTATTATGAATGGCATGTCAGAATATTAATGGTTGTTTAGCGAGGCATCATCCTCATCTAGTCCTCGTACACCGTCCCCGACCTTGGATACTGCGGTTGTATCATATGAAACGATGAGCTCTCCCTTGCTTCGTACCATCGTGGAGGATGAACAAGTTGATGGCGCCAATATCCGGTCAATAATTCAGCCTATGTCACGCTTGTCAATACACAACTAACTCGAAGCTTTAGGCTGCCCCAGGAGACCCGCGCGACGAACGTGAAAGGACGGTGAGTTCGCTGTAGTTACTCCATTCGTGATCTTATTTCTCCAGCAGAGGAAGAAGATCACGATCATCTTCCTTAAACATCTCTTCAAAGAGGACCAGTCCATCGCCACGGCCGCCACCGGAGGTTAGGACTTCGACCTCATCGCGTGCACCCAGTCCATACCCAAACTCTCAGTATGGAGTTCGCTTCTTGGCTGACTAGCGTTCAATGACCGTTTCTCATCTCCAGATTTGCCGCTTTGTCTGATACCGGCCTGGAGGACAGTGTGTCAATATCTAATTGGCTGTTTGAACGCCATGCGTTCACAGTCGGTCGGATCCCAGTTAGCTCTGAAGAACTGGCGAATAAGACCGGAATTAACGCAATGATCAAAATATACGATCAAATGACGGCGTTTACTTGGTCTGACGACATTAAAACCATAGTGAGTCTGCAGTATTACCTTTACTACTGCTCCTCATCACGTCGCGCGCAGCTCTCGAATGCCGAGGCAGATAGCTTTGTATCAACCACGAGATCAGAACTGTGCGACAGGAATGGCGATCCCAACTGTCAGTCCAGCACAATCGATGCTCCCTCGTCGGAGGATATCGAGTTTATTTCATGCCGTATTTCGGCACTGTTGCACGCTGTAAAAGGTGCTCGCCGGTGTGATGATGTCGCAAAGTTGCACGGCGCCAACGAAGCCGATCGGCGTCACGAATGGGATGCTCTGCTTCTCAACTTCTTCCAACCTGTTCTCGGCCAACGGGATGTGTTGTGCGTGGTTCATATGCTAGGCCATCTTCATTCTAACTATTCGTCTAGGCTAGAGCGACAACTAAACTTCACTCGTAATCTCGCTGCCGATGACTCCTCCTTCGCGACACGAGCCGTCAAGGTCGCTCTCGAATACCGGAACCTCTGTCTTGAACAAGACGAGTGTGTCCCTCTCACCACAGAGACCATTGGCAGTTGGAACCAGGCTATGGCAGCGCGAGATCAAGCAATGCAATTTTATGACGATATTAAGCGTCGCACCCTGAATGGGAATTCTGTTGAAGTGATTGCATGTCACTCCTCTGAGGATCCGATCACTGGACAATGTGATGCCATCCTCGTCATTCCATGTTCCGGCGTCGCTAATGCGATGCTCCGGCGCATATCTAATATCGACGAGCAAGAAAAACTTATGAAATCCTTCATACTAGTCCAGGGTCCAAAGCCGGAGAAGCTTGGCGCAAGTACGGGGGAAACCTCATACCAGATCGCAAAGACCGTCGGTCACAGCCGAAGGACCACATCCGGCAAATCACTTCAGGTCCCCTCCTCTTCTCGCGTATCGGAATCCAGAAAAATCGATCGAAAACAGTTGCACAACCCGTTTCTTTATCATCCCGATTGCCATCAAGCTACGCAGAAAAAAAGAAACAATACCTTCCAAGGGTACATCCTGTGACGAACCCAGTGGACAGGACCTACTACTACCAGTGTTGTTGGTCGAGTACAAGAAGAGGGACGAGTCCACAATTTCGACGGCCATGAACCAGATGAAGACGTACCTGGTTTCGGCGGTTACCTTCCTTTCTGAGTTCGGTATCACAGACCAGCCCGTCTTTGGACTGGTTGTTAATGGCCCGCTTGGTGCAATTACGATGGCATGGAAGAGAAACAATGTATGTGCTGCCTCTGTTCACCATTTCCGAAGGAGCTCATCAGTGATGTAGCGAATCTACGTGATGGAACGCAATGTCCGACACTATGACATCAGGGACCCTCTTCAGGCACTGCAGTTTGTGTCAATTCTACCGCGCCTCGCGCGTCACGGCCTGGGCCTCCGCCGTCTACTAGAGAAGCAGCTCGCGACCATAGATGTGAACCAACTTCAATCCAAACTGTGGTCCAAGTTGGCTCAACGGCAGGAAGATAAGGCGGCTAAGCAGACAGAATCGGAGAAAGCGGTCGCACAAGATTGCAGAATTGAAGGCGGTGCAGAGAGGAAATAGAAATTGGAGTATTGTTGAAATATGTACGACACAAGTGGAACGTGATAGTCTTTTTTTTTGTACTCATTTACAATACTATACGTTTTGCTTCGCACTTGGAATATCACCTGGCTAGTGCAAGTACTGTTTGTCAGCGCTCTGCTACACTCATAGTCGAGTCCTGTACAGGATCAATCGACTTGTTTATCAGGCGCTGCTCGGTCAAGCTCAAAATCCATCCGGAAGTAGTTATATGGTCTTCGAATTCTGATTTGAACCCTCCCTCGAAACTCAGGATTCTCAAATGATGGCCGCCGTCGCTAAATCCCCCGCTAATGCAGCCTGAGTCTGAAAATCGACAGATACAACAAAGATAGTACATAGGTGGTGTATAGATCTCATGACTGACGGCCTTCACAAGCAGGTGGGATTCGAACTAGTCTACTACACCGTGACATTCTCGGCCGGTGACTAAAATTAAAAACACATCTTCGAATACTCTTGTCAGTTCTGTGAGCCGTGCTGCTGGAGGCATGCTGCATGGCGGCATGGGCTGTCCAGCACTGTCTTGATAATCCGAACGACCCCACATCGCGCGGATGTGCGTTCATTCATGGAAAAATCAGATGATGGAACGGAAAACCATCGATTAGGCCCCCGGAAGCTCCTGCCAAGGTACACCCGCCCGACCAGCTAAAATCGGCCTCAAAAATGCAATTCCGGGCAGAGGTCAAAAATCACGTGGTGTGACATACCGTGACCTCCCGCCAATGCGTGACAGATGTTGCGTCTGACTCAGCACTGAGCAAACGCACCTTGCGTCTAACAATGTGGCCAGAGAAAGTGCAGCGACAGTTCGACATCGCTCAAGCAGCAGGAAATGATGCCCTCGAGAATGTTATGCATGCACCTTACAATAAGCTCTTGAACACGCTACACGCTGTTCGAAATTTTCTTGGAAAATCGGCCTGTCTTTGTGCTGCAGCTCAAACGGGAGAAGGAATTTTTGGTGAGGTCCAAACGCACGGGTGCCGATGATCAGCTGCGTGGACGCCTAGGTGACCTTATTGGTGATGCCTTGCTCCCTCTTTTTATATATATCTAATTTATTTAGTTATAGATACTTGTCCTCTACCCGTCTTGCACGGTGTCAGCGCTTTCGGGACGAAGCTCTGTTTCTACTCTCCTTACGCAGGCAGGATTGATCTCGCCAGAGCCCATTCCTGCCTCCACGCAGTACGTGATCGACACCGCACCGGTTGACCGCTGGAACTACGATATCCTTACGGCTGAAGGAGAAGCTGAATTGCGTCGCATTGTTCAGGTCATTACCACTGAGTGCGCCCAACTTCCACAGTAGCAAAGCTCATGGGTTTTGGAGTCGAAACTGTCCACGGAATTGCGAGCACAGGATGGCAGTCTAACTGCATGCGGAGCTTCAACCCCAGTGAAAACTGGGCCTTACCGGAGAGGCTCGTAGATGTCGTGGTATGTTATTTTTTATATCGGAGAGAAAAACATGTACGATGACCTCAGAACATACGACACACGAGCATGAGAAAAATGTAAAAGTGACGGGGCAGTCAATGTGATGTTCTCGTATGTTTTTAACGCTAACTTGTGTAAAACATATTGACGCACATTAGCACACACTTTCCCAACCTTACAGAATATGCTCGTAGCGTGTCGATTGTGATAACATTGCAAAACAATGTAGTAGTACAAATTGCAGTAATTCTATAGCGACGGTATGGAAAGCGGGATAATGATAGCACGGAAACGGGAACATAATGACAGGAAAAGATTGTCGCGATGAATGCGAGACTCTGATGAAGAGAACAGACAGGGGTGATTGGAATAGAGAGACTCGGAGATTAAGTAGTAGAGTTGGCCGTCGCAAGCTGTTTTGCCCCCGAGGTCCAGGACGTCAAACTTTGTATTGTTGGCAACCTGTCGCGAGTGAATGGTTACAACAGCGTCAACCAACAAAAAAAAAGTCACGCACCGATAGAGTAGCCTCGGTTCCATATTTCTAGTGTATAAATAAGAGGAGCGGCGTCTTACCTTGTGCTGAATCTGATGCTAGGTTTCTGTTAAAAACAGTGTTCTACTACATCTCCTCGTCCAATATATGCGCGTGAAGATGACATTATGACATACCGCGGCCTCTCCCACTGTTCTAAACTGAGCGTAATCATACCTTCAGATAAACTTCACATGAGACACTCATGTGAAGATGTGATGCAATGCGAACTTTGCAAAGGTTACTTCGAAGAGATAAGAAAGAAACACAGGACAGATAAAGGTAATTCACACCAGAACCTCTCCGGTATGGTCCAGTTTTCAACAGTGCTTCAACGTTCAACTCCCCCTCTGCAGGGCCAAGCTTAGTAATGTGGCCTAGAGCTCTGTCAGATCATGGGGGTCGGGCCTGGGCTCATAGTACTGTTCGGCACATAACCGGCCGAATCGGTTTAGTTCACACGCTAATTCGGGAAACTGCCACCACTTGAGTTTATTTTTCGCTGAGCACTAGTAGAGAGGCGCTGAGGCTCTGACTGAGCTCGTATAACTTATTGAAGAATATAGTCGAATAGTCAAAGTTGCGATTAATCTGAGTCTTTTGACAGGAGCGAAATGAAATTTGATATAGCCATGCGGTGGTAGCCTACTAGCATACGTACGTACCAGTACTTTAACCCCATCACTCCCGATATGGTTCCGGTCCAAGGTCGGATGACCTACAGTCTGCTTTTTGCTTCCTTGCACCAGTACCACCACCACCACGTTCACTAACTCTTTCAAGATCTATGACTTCTCCATCAAGGCCAGTTAATATTGGCAGTCCACGACAGGACAATGTCTTTCATTCAGGAACACCAACACCAATTGGCACACCCGATCTCCGCGCTTGGCGCGCGCAGTATACTGGAACACCTCCAGTGCCTAATATTCCTGCCCGTTTTACACCAGAAAGCTTCACTAGTGGCTCTCTAGGTCAGAACCTCCTTCCACAAAGCGAATTTCTAGGCAGGGCCTATCGTTTGCCTCCCACTGGAATCAGCCCACGGCCCTCAAGCACCATTACACCTGGAATCGGTCTTGATTCTGGTGCTCTTGACTTGGACACTCCCCTGGATGATCACAAGGCCAAGGTTATTAGGCGTCATCTTTTGATGCGAGAGGAGAGGCAGAACCGGGGAGATGTGAACTCAGCATCTGGCTCAGAGTTAGATGGTCGCGTCTCCAACGATGATACCCCATCTCCAGGTTCCTATACTCCACCTCCAGCAACTTTCAGAGAGGAAACAGAGGCATTTCCTATACCCTATGAAGCTCCGGGCGCAGATATTACGTGAGTCCGTTCTAATTTCGTAAAGGTATGGCGTTCGTTCCTAACAACTACGCCCAAGCCATGACATTTACAAGTGGCACAGCGATCAACGCCGTCAGGCTGGACGGCCTCGTGCCTCTTCTTTCTCAGGTTCTGTGGCACCATTAAATCCTGCCTTCGAGCACATACACGAGCCTGGAGGTTTCAGACGAAATTATGTTTTGATGCACGCGAATGAGCATGGAGAGGAGCGACGTCCGACCAACAACTTCATCGATTTTCTGTACATATATGGTCAATTCGTAAGTTTCTATCCTCACGTAGCGCGTCAATGCTCATCATCAACCAACAGGCTGGAGAAGATCTCGAGGAAGAGGAGGAAGACAGGACTGATGATGAAGAAGCCACCATTCGTGCTGGTCCTTCTGAGTTCGACGCCCACATTGTAGTTGATGAAAACCAACCTTTGCTCAAGCCTCGCTCAACGTCGCGCTCCAGACGGAGAGCTGCTTCTGTCGGTCCTCATGGAGATGCAACAGTCACACAAGCTGTTCTGATGGCAAGTCTCATTCATTCTCTATCAGGGATGTAGTTTATTTAGCTTGTTTATAGCTTTTGAAAGCGTTCGTTGGTACCGGGATCCTATTTCTTGGGAAAGCGTATGTGTTCTCATACGAATATTTTCCTTTCATGCGCTGATAATAGTTCTTTAGCTTCGCCAATGGTGGTCTCTTGTTCTCGATTATCATGATTTCTGTGGTTGCACTCGTTTCCTTATACTCGTTCCTACTCCTAGTCAGGACCAAGTTTGTCGTCTCCGGATCTTTCGGAGGTCAGCTAAATTTTGTTTGAATTGACTGTGTCTAACTCTGCGATGAAGATATCGGCGGTGCTTTGTATGGTCCCTGGATGCGTTATTTGATATTATCTTCGATTGTAGTTTCCCAGATTGGGTTCGTCTCTGCATACACGATCTTTGTAGCTGAGAATCTAAAGGTGAGGATAGCACATTTTATCGATTGTCGTCACTGAACTCGACTTTGTCCAGGCGTTCGTGCTTGCAATCACCAAATGCGAGACGGATTGGCCTGTGCAATATTTCATCCTCATGCAACTCTTACTTTTCCTCCCTCTGGCCCTTATCCGTAATCTCGCGAAGCTCAGCGCATCTGCTCTCATTGCAGATGCGTTTATCCTTGCTGGGCTGGTTTACATATTTGGAAGTGAGATGTCATTCATTGGAGAAAAGGGTATCGCCAAAGTGCAGATGTTCAACCCCAAGGACTTCCCCTTGTTTGTTGGGTGAGTTTCGCTCTTAGAGTGTTGATTGGGGTCTGAAGAATGGTCATAGAACTGCCGTATTTTCTTTCGAGGGCATTGGTTTAGTGAGTTATCCTGTTCCATTCTGGAACGGAGAGATGTTGATGGTCTGGGTTAGGTTATTCCCATTACTGACGCCATGCGTGAGCCACGCAAGTTCCCCAAGGTACTGACAGGCGTCATGATCTTCTTGCTTTGTGAGCACCTTTTCAATATTTTGTTATCTTTTGAGCTTCACCGTGCATTCTCAGTCCTGTTCGGTGGTGGTGGTGCATTGTCATACCTAACTTTCGGTCCGGATGTGAACACCGTGGTGTTGGTCAACCTTGACCAAACGAGCAAGCTCACGCAATCCGTAAGCCTATCACAGTGATTTCATCAATGAAATCTCACGCCTGTTCTCTCGATTTCAAGGTCCAATTCCTGTACTCGCTCGCCATCCTCCTTTCTATACCCCTCCAGTTCTTCCCTGCCGTGCGAATTCTCGAGAATGGGCTCTTCGTGCGGAGCGGAAAGCAAGATCCTCGTGTGAAATGGCTCAAGAACCTATTTCGCTTCGGGCTTGTCGCGATTTCCACTATCATTAGCTGGGTTGGTGCCGCGGACCTGGACAAATTTGTCTCTCTGATCGGTAGTTTTGCTTGGTAAGTGCCACAACGATACTCACTTGAGAGTGATGACGGATTAACGATGGTTACAGCGTTCCTTTGTGTTTCGTATACCCAGCGATGTTACACTACAAGGCAGTTGCCAAGACGCGCACGGAGAAGATCGGGGATATCATTCTTGGCGTATTTGGTATGGCCGCAATGATGTATACCACTGCGTTGACCATCAAGGTATCAAGACCTCCCTTGTTCATGTGGTAATTCCGTACTAATCTGATGTACACAGCTGATGGCAGAGCCTGAACCATCTGCTGGCCTTCCTAGCTCGTGTTGAATGTCGAAAGATAAAGACCGTGTGCGGTGCTGTCATCAGTAGTTAAGTGAAGCGCATCCAGGGACACCCATGCCTTACCAGGGGATAACTTAATAGATCTCAGACCTTTCTAATAACACGATGTTCTGCGTTATGCCAGATGTCATTTAACATGTCTACATTTTTACACGACTGTGGGAAGATGATCAGGGCTCGTTGCAGTCGTGAACCATGTCATCATTATCACTACTCTACGTGAAAGTTCTGTTGATCCACGACTTTGTTGCGGGTTGGACTCACTTCCTCGCTGTCAATATAGCTAATGACAGCTAATAACTGGTATCGCACTTGCCACTGGAACGTTGGTGTGGAAGTATCTATCTTGAGAATCGATCGCATTTGACGAGTACTAATCCCGTACTTAGATCGCCCTTGTTCACCTGTTGACAGTGCGGAGAGCAGTTAGGCATGGGCGATAAGGAGGTGCTATTGTCAAGCGACGGAAGTGAGGCTACCGCGCCGCAGATGGCGGCCTTCTCCAGAGTCCCTCAACATGCGCTGCACACGTGTTGACACCCATTTTCTGATCATTGTTCCATAAGTTCTACCGATCCTGAAGCCCTCATCGAAAACACGCTGATCACCACATAAATGCCCTTCGCAAAGAGCTGACATTCTTTGCTTTCCCCTCCAGCTGGAGCTCGCCAGCCGTGTATCTAGCCCCCCTCTTTCATTCGAGCCCACGATCATCTTTTAACATTATATTGTTCCCTTTGTTCCATTATGCCTGTAGCAACTAATGTAACTAGTTCCGTTCCCCAGCCACGCTCCATGGTCCGACGAAAGCCAGCGCCAAGTATTGTGCTAGATGCACGCTATCCCTGTCCTGACCCCGACGACCCATTCGCTCCCCTCTCAGTACTTCGCACCAGAACTGCCAGCACGCTCGGTCTCCTCACCTTCACTGGTGACTCAACGTCACAACTCCCAACTCTTCCGTACACCGGTGGCGGTCCGTTCCCTCCTGATCCATATCAAGCTACACCGCCAGCGAGCCCCGCTGTCACGGCTTCTCCTAGCCAAAATCTAGAGTTCCTTACGACACTCAGCACTAGAAGCAGCATTGATATCTCACAAAACCTCCATGAAACTACCGAGTCAGGACGATGGCCGCCGCAATTTTCACGATGTGATTCGCCAAGCATCCGTACTTTGCCGACTCCCCAGCGTAGGCGCTCGCGATCAGCCGTGTCGCGAAAAGAAGCACGAACTAATACGTGTTCCGTATCGCCCGGGACGTCACCGTATGGCCATACAAATCTGCAGGCATATGTATTGGCTAGCTCCAGAATTCCCTCTCCTGCGCATTCTGCACAACCTTTTCGGATGCAGCACGTCGGCCACGGCAGCGAGAGCTTGCTCCCCCTTGTTATTCCAATAACTCGCCATGATTCAGCCCCTGTGCTATCCCTCATGTCTGAACCTGCTAGTAGTAGTAAGGGGTCAACGTTTTCATCTGAGCCGATGAACACTTCGCGTTCTCGTGTTGGGAAGTTTGCGCGGTTCCTTCCTAGGAAAAGCCGTAGCGGTCTCAGTCTCGCTGAATTTCCAAGTGAGACTGGGAACGTGAAACACCATCACAACCATCGCTCGTTCCCCTCGATGACCGTTGCCCTCGGGGCAAGTTCGGAGCGCACGTCCAAGGAGAAACACGTTCCGGAAGAGAACACATTCCGCCCACGCCGCAAATCATCAATGTCAATGCTATTTCCGGCGCTCGTTGCTGCAAACATGCAATCCATTGATGTGTCTTATCCCTCCACAGGAACGTCTATTTATGACTCTCCTATAAGTGCTGAGCCTGGGAACATGTCTGAACCCAGTAGCACTACCTTGTATTCCCCCTCCACTTTCGTGTCTGGCATCTCTGAGCCATCTCCTGTCACTCCGAAGAAACCTAGGCCTCAGACGATGCAACCTCAGCAGCGACTTGTCGATTTGACTGAGCAGCCGCCACGCAAAAGACGGTCGTCGCGTCCTTCTACCGCTCCTTCTAGCTTCGCACATGTTTTCGACGAGAACGCCCTTCCGACAAAGAGGCAGCTGCTAGATGCAGCGTCTTGTGTTGTCGTGGCTGAAAACGGCATTAGAGTTCCATTTGGCGACCTCTTCCGGGATCAGAAGACGGTCGTTATATTTATCAGACACTTCTGGTGAGATTCCAAGTCGATCTTGAACGCGCTTGAGCTTATTGCGTCATGCCAGGTGTCCGATGTGTCAAGACTATATGTTTTCTATCGCCAATACTGTAGATCCACAAGTACTCAAGCAGTCAGGAATAAACCTTGTAATCATCAGCAATGGCTCGTACAACATGATCAAATCTTACCGACGTAAGCATGCCACTCTTCGTTTTATTCAACCCATGCTCATTTTCCCAAGAGATCTTCCGGACGCCCTACGCGGTGTATACCGATCCTTCTTCTCGCCTCTATGGCATTCTGGGAATGACTTTGAGGTCGGTCGAGCCAAAATCAGAACGTCGCGGTAGCTACGTCCGACATGGTCGTGCGGGGGGCATTGCAATGGTCATCGCGAATGCTCTGCGTGTCGGCATGCCGCTCTGGGAGAAAGCCGGCGATGTCACTCAGCTTGGTGGCGAGTTTGTCCTCGGACCCGGGTTAGTTTATTATCTAGATGTTCTGCTAACACAAACTTATCCATGTCACAGAATGACGGCATCGTACGCGCACCGCATGCGAAGTCGCAGCTCGCATGCGCCTATCGTTCGGGTGCTCACGGCTGCAGGTGTGCATGTTTATCTCCGTAGCGAGAAGCCGAAACCTGTTGTCTCATCTGATCCGGCCGGCCGGGCCTCTCTCGTTCTTGAGGTGGATGAAGAACAATGGATGGAGGAGCGACGCCGGAGTCTTGCCAGAATCCGCGAGCGGAAACGGGCCCGGAGATTAGGCGTCAGCGTACCTCCCAGCAGCGACTCCAGCTCTGAGCAAGATGCGGGACGTCGAATCAGACATGTTGCAAGTCATATGACTCGAACTGACAGCATAGCGGAAGAAGATGAAGAGTATGTTATTCCGATCCTGGGGCCAAAGGCTGCAGCGACCATCAACAGCCCTCTGCGAGGCGCTGATGTTGACGAGTCGAGCGATTCTGCTGAAGACGACACCGACGATTCATCTGTAGATACGCGGTCAATAACAGGCTCGGACGTTGGATCTGAGAAAGCTCATGTCGGGCTGAGCAACAAACCTGGTGTTGTCGAATTTATTCATGACCTTTCTCCACCCATACCGCTCCTTATCTAATACAAACTCGCATTTTTGAATATCTTCTAATCTTACCGGAACATAACACGTACATCCACTCACCAGTAGGTCCAGGAGCTGAACGACGAGATGGTGATCTGCCGATTTTCTGAAGGATTGTCGAACTTATCAAAGTTAAAATCACTCGCCCAAGCTTATATGTGCTTTGTTGTGGTTATCATCAAGCGTTAGTGGTGTACCGGTAACATTGGGTCTTCCCATGGCCTAGCACCGGGTTCGACTCCCGGCTGACGCAGAACTTGAAATTGATAATACAATTCAAAAACTTTTTGCATTCCTCACACATGAATATGCCCAGTTCGGGTGATCAGTGCTTCTTCGTCCCCATTTTCAGTGGGCTGTGTTTTACGGATCTTCGGACTGACTTTGCGCTCGGCAGACTTTGACATGTTTTGCCAGACCCACGATTAGTAGGCTTAGACTTTCCGTTCAACAGTGAACACTGTTCACTGTTCACCACTACCATTGAGTGAGGATGCCCCGGACACGCTGAACTTGATCTCCACAGATAAACGATCGATTAACAACGCATAGATACTACTGGCGTTGCGACTACACCGAGCATAAATATATACGATGCTAAGTAGTGAATATGCCTACTTCAAATTATCGTAATGACCTCAGTACTAGGTGTATCCAGCCATGATTTTATATCGCAGTAAGGGGCTTCATCATCTTCATAGAACCTCCCATCGACATGGAATATGCCCACGCGGCGGAACTCTCCTGCGCTCCCAGCAGGAACGACGATCAAGCCCGTTAAGTGGCCGGGGTTCTCCCCTTTATCTGAGCCAACTACGACAGCCTTGCCCTTGTCAGCGCCAATTCCTGCACTGTCATAGTCAAAATACCCATAACCAATATGTCGTTCCCGCCCCTTTGAAGGCACGGTAACTTCATTGGATTGGCACCTTTTTGCATGGTTGTTTGAACCTATGTCATCAGACTCTCCCCCGCATCCTATTTCGATAGCCTCTGTCGATGCCACAACCATCTCCGTGTTCGTTGAATGGTCCTGCGGTGTCATCGCTTCCGCCCGAATGTCATTGCCATTAGTGTCGTTACTAGTGATCTGGCGGGAGGTAGCAGGTCGTCTTGTGGGTGCAGTTTCTGTGGTATGCGCGTTTTTCCGATGCACAAGACATGGCACCAACTTCAACAAGTTTGTTATGAAGGAATGACCTATATTTATTAGCTTCGATCCCTTTTTGCCTTGTTCGCCATTGCACATTCGAATATCGACATGTTCTACCGGAGAAGCAGAAGTGGGCTTGGCATTCGGCCCGGGAAGGGTGGTAATTTTGATTTGGTCTGAGTCCTTGACCGCTAGCTCCGTATCAACAGTGGTATCAACGACTTGAGCAGCTGAAGCTGGCAAGCTTCGGACGCTGCAAGCTCCGTCGCGTTCTTCAGGCTCATCACCTGTCTCCGCCACCGAAACACAAGGTCGCTTTAGCTCAAACAACTTGGGCTCTGCGGGATCCCAGGTCACATCTCTCACGATAGCTCTAACAATCAATCTCCCGCCTTTCACCTGGCCAAGAGGATGATTGCCGGAGACTGGCATTGCGTCACATGATTGCACGTCCCATATGATGTTTCCGACTTTTTTGTCCCATCCGGCAACGACGCATCCAATCGTGGCAGCCCAAGACCACGATGGTGCAAGAAATCGCTCTGTAACAAGACTTCCGTCAGATGGGCAATCTCTGTACCACAGGAGGTCAGAGGACAAATTGCGTTCCCATAACCCAGCGATGTAACGATTGCTACTTCCCCACCAACGCTGGAAAAGCTGAGCGATCCCTGAGATCGCCATGAGCCTGTCAGAGGGATCCGAAACAGCGCGTTGCGTGTAGTCGTGTAGAACATTCCGCCAGGCTGTCAGCAACACCTCTACGTCATTGCTCGAAAGCGTCCTACACGGTGTGCGTGAGATCATCATACATGGCAAGCGCAATTCACCAAGTTCTGTCGAGGGAATGTAATTCCAGATGTCTCCGATTTCGTTCATTGCTGTCTGGCACTGATACTGGAGAGTGTGCGAAGCGTACACCAAGGTCCTAGGGGAGAGAAGGCGCTCTTGGAAACACCAAGCTCGGCGATTCACTGGCTCTTGGGATGACCTGGCATCCCCATCACTTTCATCAACTGAAATGGTACCGAGCTTCCCATCCGGGCACCAGAATGGCAGTAGTGTTTCAACTGGTTTTCTGCGGTTATGGAGAAATCCTTCGCTGACTTTCTGCGAGCTGGCTGCGATGATTGTTACGTATGCACATCGGTATATATCGCACATCTGCGGAATCTCGCGCTGCTTGTCTTCGTCCGAATCTTGCAAAATGCACAAGGTATCGGCCCAAAGATAACGGAGATTGAGACTGTGGGTACAAAATATGGCATCTCTGATGGTTTTCGGAAGGAGGAGTATGTCGATTGATTCCAGGTACGTAGAGAGTTTTGTGGTGCAGACGCTGTGCGGTTGCGGTTCACCCCAGACGTAACTAAGCGCTGCATAAAAGCCTTGCGTGCCTTCAGTGAGAACAAGTCTTGGCCGTTCTGGATCCGAACAGTCTATTACACGGGTTGGGAGGCTTGCTTCCTGACATTTGGGACAATCATGACGAAGCGTGCATTGTGCAAGGCAGTCCAATGCAAGCTTGAAGGCTCGAGGAGATGCAACCTGCCACACCAGCTTTCTGCCAGGGACAAAGGCAGCCGCATTTTCATCTAGCAAAAATAGAGGTTCGTCATATCGCACGAGAAAAAAAGAAACTCTGTACCTGGATCGCACCGCACTTGATACCTGGGCGACCAGTCGTCTTCAATCATGACTTTTAGGACAATATCATCTTCTGAATTTCGTTTTTCGAACCGTACAGTTATTTTGAAAGTCTCCTCTGGCATAGGCGATTCCTTTTTCTTGCGGTGCTGATACCAGAAAGGAATCTCTCCCCAAAGAATATCACACCAATTGCATCCTTTATTTTCCCCATCATCAATCTCCTGCCAAGTTTGAGTGGTGTATGAGAAGCCTGCTTTAGGATCTGACGAGTCCTTTGCAGTCCATGCGATCTGAAACGGCTCGAATGTAAAAATTGTGCTCGAGCAGTAATCGCAGACGAGGGAACCATTGCGCAATCCCATGATGACTATGAGCGTCAATGTTTGAATCTCAGTATTGATGAAGAATTTAGAAGAGTCCCGGTACGTACATTATTTCACAACCTCAAGAACAGACCACGTACGATTGCTAGTCCAAGCTTACGTTGACGAGCAAATGGACTTGGAATGAACACACGACTCCTAGGCCTGGCTCCTGAACACGTGGTACTAGCAAGGCTGAGGCAAAGGTGTAGCGAAATCTGTAAATATAAAACTCTATCAAACAGCGAATTAGTGATCATTCTGAAAACCGGCGTCCACGGGCTGAATCGGAAAAACGTCCAGCCCAGCATCACTATATGCTACAAGAACAGTGGAGCACAGTCCAAGACTAATACTTACGGTGAATCTCCAAGTCCTGAGCATCATCGTGCAGAGCATCCCACTGTTGCACGACGACCGTCTGTATTTGCTCGAGTGCAAAATCGAACTGAGAAAAGAGTTTTATGACAGCATCGACAGGGAATCATTAATTACAAGTGGTACTACCCCTAATAGTAATTGTCTTCGTTTTTTCATGTCTATGGTCTGGACGTAGCCTTACGTGGGATGATTGATCTTGAAAGTTATACTCCATGGTAACAAGCTTGAACTTACCTAGTCTCCCATAGTTGGATCTTCAGACTTTGATCGAAAGATGATGGTATCCTCGACCGATGATCTCCATAAGTACCTAGCTAATCATTAACTAGCTGGCTCTGCTCTAGACATCAATGACCTCAAGCTTGCCAATAGGCCGCTTTACGAAAACCGGATCGCCACGGAACGTTGTGGGTTCCAAATCTGCATTAAGCATATAAATTCTATCCTCGTCGATCCATATGTCCTCTAGCTCTGACTCGGCGGAATCGAACTTTCTGTCCGAAAATACGACCTGGACATAAGGCAAGGATGTCGTCAAGCTCCCTCCAGATCTACCAGTGGAATCGCTGATGTATATCGTGGATGGTTCCTTCACCACTCGTCCTAAACCCCGCCTGTTTGTCACAGCTAGCGGGCTAAAGTCCATCAAATGCAACATAAATTCCGAATTTCGTGTGCCGACAGGGAGTGCCTGCAATACTCGATTCCCGCTAATGTGAACTTTGAAATGATATGGGTGCCGAAAAATACGAGTATTTGAAGGGCCCCAATGTTGCCATGGTATTGGCGTTGCTGCCATTCCGTCAAGGTCGAAGAAAATCCTCGTGGAAATGATGATGACCTGAGTACTAGAAAAGGAATCGGTACGAGAAGAGGACGCTATGAGGCATAGGAGTCGATGTGTAGGGTCTGAAGTGTACATCGTCCGCTGGGCTTGCGTCTGCGGTTGCGAGCTATGGCCAACATCATCTATCGGAAGGCCCGGGAGGCACCATAGCATCAATGAGACAGGCATCAGGAAACACGCCAGCAATTCCGGTGCCTGGGACATATCCTCGATTGAATAGAGCTTCAAGTTATCGGTTATAACCAGCAATCGATTGTTTCCGAGGAAACAAAAATCGATTGTGGTGTTGGGTACTACGCCGCTGAGGATGCTCTAAATTCAGAATCAACTGTCAAGTCTTTCAACTATTTCAGAATAAAGCTCACATTGGAAGTCGTCGAGTGTTGCCAATCCCAAATCTGCAGCTGCCACTTCTCGTCCGATGAAGTCCAATTTTCATCGTCCAAGCGACGCCACAAAGCGATATGCCTCCCCAAACCTTTGAGCTTTGCACTTATCGTTTTATGGTGGTTGTCCGAGTCGTCCAACAAAAACAGTCTCTCTCCAGTAGCCTGAGGGTGAATATCATCTCCATCTAGGACTCCGAGGTTAATATAGACTGTCTTGTAATCAACAACATAGACAACGGCGATCAGGTTTTGTGCTGGGTCCATAAACACATCGAGGTTGTATGAGTGGGGAACTGAACACAAGGTCCCTGGGAGCCAATTGCGTTGAATTGATTGTTGTGAGGGCTTTGGAAGTATTGGAAAGATCGTGGCCGTATCTTCATGTGCGTTCCACGAGTAGAGATGCCCACCAGCAAATCTTTTCCCCCGATATGGATGTGGTACCCTTGTTATGGGGACCGTTTCGAAAGAGTGGATGTCAACCTTGAACCATGCGTGAGCTTTATCTCTCAAAAGTTGCAGGCGCTTGGAAACAGTAATGCTATTGTCCGTGTTGGGGACAGGAAGCAACCGTTGTCCACTCAGTTCAACGATGTACTGAAGCTCGGAGGAGGACATGTACATCTCACGAAGGGCCTTACATACCTGCAAGAGGATCGTAAGAATAGGAGTGACAAGTCCATCTAGGACAACAATGACACGAGTTGCGACTCACGGATGCACAGTGAAGAATATCTCGGCAAGAAAGGAAGCTCATAATGTAAATCAGGAGTTCTTCAGCAAGAGACAAGAACCCTATTTGGGGATTCATTTTGCAAGTTGTCCACTCTCTTCACCACTTGAAGGTGAGAGAAGCAACTAATCTCGACCAGGTATGAGTGGGAACGTGAGCGCTTGGCAAGCGCCCACAACTTTTACAAGCATAATTTAACGAGTCGGAGTCAGAGTGTGAAGTCTCCGTTCACTTTAATGTTAACGTTCAGGAGTCGCGACTAGTCAGCGCTAGCGACGACAATGAACGAGCGTGTTACCCAACGTGTGACGAAATATCTCAACATCGGGCTCATCCACTAGCCTGCCTACGAGAAACTACGGTTTGAAGAAAATTATATGAAGTACAAATGACCGGACATCAAAGACATCTCGAGTAGGAAGACTGGCTCGAGATTCCGATCCAGCTGTCCAGCTCAACATCATCACATGCTGCGAAAAACAGCGGAGATCTCGACAATTAGTACGCTGGAGTTACTGGAGAGTAAATGGCTGATCGTCTGGTGAATCAAACTGCATGAGAGCGGTTGGGGAATGCTGGACAAGCACAGATCAAGACTGATACTTACGGTGACTCGCCAAGTCCTGAGCAACTTGAACACCGTTCGGAGTATCCCGCTGTTGCACGACGACCGTCTGTATTTGCTCGAGTGAAAAATCGAACCGAGAAGAGTTCTACAGCCAGATGACGAGAGTTAGCATCGACAGGGAATCATTAATTATAAGTGGTACTGCCCGTAATATGTCTTCGTTTTGTAATGTCTATGGTCTGGACATACGTAGGATTGGCCTCGAGAGTTATACTCTATGGTAACACATGCTGAAAGCCTAGTATCTCGTAGTCAGATCTTTAGGCCTTGATCGAATGAAGATGGTATCCTCGACCGATGATCTCCACGAGTACCTAGCTAATCATCAACTAGCTGGCTCTACTCTAGACGTCAATGACCTCAAGCTTGACAATAGGCCGCTTTACGAAAACTCTATCGCCAGGGAACGTTTCGGGTTGCAAATCTAGGTTGAGGATGTAAATTCTGTCCTTGTCGATCCACATGTCCCTCAACTCTGACCTGGCGGAATCGAACTTTCTGTCTAAAAATGCGACCTGGACGTAAGGCAAGGATGTCGTCAAGCTCTCTCCAGATCTACCGGTGGAATCACCGATGTATATTGTGGATGGTTCTTTCACTACTTGTCCTAAACCGCGCCTGTTTGTCGCAGCTAGCGGGCTAAAGTCCATCAAATGTAATATAAACTCCGAGTTTCGTGTGCCGACAGGGAGTGCCTGCAAGACTCGATTCCCGCTAATGTGAACTTGAGATTGATATGGGTGCTGGAAAACACGAGTATTTGAAGGGCCCCAATGTTGCCATGGTATTGGCGTTGCTGCCATTCCGTCAAGGTCGAAGAAAATCCTCGTGGAAATGATGAAGACCTGAATACTAGAAGAGGAATCGGTACTAGAAGAGGACGTGGTAAGGCATATGAGTCGATGTGTGGGGTCTGAGGTGTACATCGTCCGTTGGGCTTGGATCTGCGGTTGTGAGCTATGCCCAATATCATCTGTCGGAAGGAGGCTCCGTAGCATTGATGACATCAATGGGACGGGCATTAGGAAACACGCCAGCAATTCTGGCATCTGGGACATGTCCTCGATTAAATAAATATCCAAGTTATCGGTTATAACCAACAATTGATTGTTCCCGAGGAAACGAATATCCAAGGGGCTGTCGGATGTGCCACTGAGGATGCTCTAAATTCAGAATCAGCTGTCAAGTCTTTCAACCATTCCAAACCAAAGCTCACACCGGATGTCGTCGAGTGTTGCCAGTCCCAAATCTGCAGCTGCCACTGTTCGTCCAAAGAAGAGTTGTCCAAGGTGCGCCACAGAGCGATGTGCCTCCCCAAACCTATGAGTTTTGCAGCTATCGTTTCAGGGGGGTTTTCTGAATTGTCCGACAGAATCAATCTCTCCCCAGCAGCCTGAGGGTGAACGCCATCACTATCCAGGGCTCCAAGGGAAATATAGACTGTATCATCAAAAAAATAGGCGACGGCAATCAGGTTTTGTACTGGGTCCATAAACACATCGAGGTTGCATGAGTCGGGAACTGAACACAACGTTCCTGGGAGCCACTTGCGCTGGATTGATTGTTGTGAGGGCTTTGGAAGTATTGGAAAAATCGTGGCCGTGTCTTCCAGTTCGCTCCACAAGTAGAAATGCCCATCAGCAATAACTGCTTCCCAATATCGCAGAGCCCTTGCTATGAGGACCGTTTCGGAAGAGTGGATGTCAACACTGAACCATGCGTGAGCTTTGTCTCTCAAAAGTTGCAGGCGCTTGGCAACAGGAATGCTATTGCCCGTGTTTGGGACAGGAAGCAACCGTTGTCCACTCATTTCAACGATGTACTGAAGCTCGGAGGAGGACATGTACGTCTGGCGAAGGGCCTTACATACCTGCGAGAGGATCATCAGAATAGAAGTTCATCTAGGACAACAATAACATGAATTGTCACCCACGGATGCACATCGAAGAATATCTCGGCAACAAAGGAAGCTCATAATATAAAACAGGAGTTCTTCAGCAAGAGACAGGATCCCTGTTTTGGGCTTCATTTCGTTGTCCATTCTCTTCACTACTTGAAGGTGAGAGAAGCAACTAGCCTCGACCAGGTGTGAGTGAGAATGTGAGCGCTTGAGCGCCCACAATTACATGAAATAATGAATTCAACGAGTTCGAGTCGGAGCGTAAAATTTCCGTTCACTTTGTTAACCATGACGTTCAGCGGCGACCATGAATTCAGAACGAGCATGCCAATATTATTACCCAACGTGTGATCAATGGCAGGCTCATCTACTAGTCTGCCTACGAGAAATTACAGTTTCAAGAAAATTAGATGAAGTACAAATGATTCATGACCAAACATTTGTTAAAGACATCTCGAGTAGAAAGACTGGTTCGAGATAAGCCTGAGAGGGTTGCACACAGATATGATTCAGTTACTTTACAAAGAATCATATGAAACAGCAGAAACGCAGGCGTTGGTCAGCACGTGAAGTCCGAGAATGCTGTGGTAATTTCAAGATAATCAGCAACATCTCTGCTAGTGATACATTCACCGTATTCGTCTGGGAATGGGACAAAGGGAAGACTCGGATAATCTTCTCGTACGAACCTAGAACGAAAATTTTGGTTTAGCTGCACGTAGTGGTAGGCAACCCCCTGGGGGTGTTCGTCTCCAGTGACTCGTATCGAAAACGCCACGTATCACCTATGATGCCAAGTCCCTCCATGACGAGTGTAGAGATACCTAGGTTCTCCAGACGGGCAGCGACAGACCTGCGCCTGCAACGACGACAGAGCGGCGTATGTCCGGCACCAATTACGCCGAAGACCAAGCCTTCAATCCGAAGTCTTTGCTTTGAGCCAAAATGAAGACGCTAGTGCAATCGAAATGCGAGAGCCGCACCTGTCTCCTGGAAAGAGACGCCATGATACTTGCGCTGGCTCCTGCGAGAAGTTGAACTTCGAGGCTGCGGGGGTTTCTACGATTTCGTCATTCAAGGGCAAAGGAATGAGTGAATGGCGAGGTCGATCGAACGTGATAGGTTTCAATAACTGCACCAGTGGCATAGCGTAGCGCGTGAATGGCTTGAGAATAAGGTGTGCCGAAGAAGACGTGGTATTACACATACAAGGGTCTCTGTGGGCCCGATCGTGCTGCATGCGCCTATCATGATGCAGAGTCTAGATTTCGGTATCTGACGAGAGTCTAGAGTGATGTGCGCACCACCGCAGCTGCCTACTGAGAGCATCATGGAACGTCTGCCTCGGCTACATCGCAGGCAGTAGTGGCCGCTTGGGATCTGAGCGATGGAATGCATCTGACTCATCAGCGTAAAGGGCTTTGGGAATGAGGGATCTCAACCAGACTACTAGACTTCTTAAGCTTGCGCCTGCATTGGCAAGCAGCTTAGAAAACCAAGGAGACGTTCTATCAAAATGTCAAATTTAACCTAACGAGCGTGTTGCCGAGCGTGGCCTTAGTGATCTGGGTATAATCATATCACCGAGACTGACCACACAAACATTGATGCCATGCCAGGCGTGTTGTGGTAGACGGCAGTGAGTATACTGTGTCTGCCACACCACGTCTGACTACGGGACACTGCAATTTAGGATCATAGTAAGTGAAATCAGCGCGTGGTCACTTAACTGGAGACGTCACTTGAGCACAAGTTCAAGCGGAGATTCGCAACTTAATAGCGTCCGTAAACCATCCAGCCGTCGTACGCACCCCTCGTTTTCGTCAAGCTTGGATTCATGGTACATTGTTCTTGCGCGAGCTTGACTTTGTTGAGTAGATCCTGGACAACGTTACATGAGTCACAAAAAAGAAAATAAGCAACGAGTTCCATCGATCGCCCTTGATCAAAAGTTATGACAAGAGTGGGATTTGAACCCACGCCCTCTTACGAGGATGAGAAACCTGAACCTATCAGGCAAGCTTTCGCTTGAGTCACACGCCATAGACCGCTCGGCCATCTTGCCATATTCCCTTAAACCGTGACTTGTCAGCAACACTAGTCCAACACGAGTACTCACTTATACGTGAGACTAGTCTCTCATTCTTCTCGACTGTGGACGAAGAAGGGGGGACGATTTACTGCAAGCTGGAGCAGCACGAGTAGTTAGGACAGGACTCGACATTTAAATAAATATTGGTGCAGAACTCACAGCGTCACATTCGTCAAAATTGTATTGACAAAGAACATCATGGTCGGCGTGCATTTGAGGAGCTGAAGTGGGCTGTACTTGAAAGTTGCACGAGTTACGTCAATCGGTATCATGCATCGTTGCGATCGTCATTGGAGGCGTAGATCCTTGGAAGGAGAATGTCTAACCGAAACAAACGCCGGTAAGTCCGGGTGCCGTCACTTGGACAGGCAGACAGGGCCAGACTTTCGATATGATCAAGCGTGATGGTGGAGAGGCTATGTGTATTCGGCCACGTCTATCTGAATAAATCAGCTACATTGTAGCATACACACGGCTCTACAACTCAAGGGGATGTGAAAGAGTACAGTGAAATGAATGATTACGGAGGAATATAATGTCAGGAGCAACAAAAGGGAAGCAGGAGACTACAGACGTCAGTAAGCACAATGGCGTGAAAGAAGAAGTAAACATACATGGTGCACTAGTCGTCGCTGGCCTCGCCGGTATTCTCGGCATCGCTTGATGGTGGCGGGGTGCTGCTTCTTCTTGCGGCTAGCTTTAGGTGCGCCAGCTGCAGCCTTTGGCTTCCTGGGCTTTGGCTCCTTGCCGCGATTTGGGTTCTCGGGAGCATCCCGCCACATTGCTGCAATCTTGGAGGTGTGTCAGACATGAAAGGGACGCATATATGCGCATATACGGACCTCGGACATGGCTTCTTTGATGGGTGCGCCGGGATGTGCCTCCTTCCACTCTTTCATGTGAGCTTGTACGAAGAGGTTGTATGCGCTTGGTGCGCGCTTTGGTTTGTCCTCCTTGTCTGTGATGAAGTGAGTAGGATGAAGAAGAAATATAAAGGGACGACGAACCAGCTTTAGCGGTCTTGGCATTAGCGCGTTTTGTTGCGGCCTTTGTCGTTGATTCTTTACGACGGTGAGTGGATGTTTATAGAAAAAGACGCGTTAAACTGACCTGTTGCTGATTTTGCCATGATGGTTTAGGATGAGGGTGAATTTTTGTTGATTGAGGTTATCGATCTTTAAACGTAGTCGCGTCGGGGTTTAAACGCGACGTGTTATTTGTCACGTGGGGTGGTCAGTGCACCTTGAGCTAATAACGGGAATAGCCGAAACCTATTTGAAGACGGAATCATTTGACATTGATCGCATCAACCTTTGTTTTCGTAGCGCTCGTCGTTCCAAATTAATCCTTTGACCCTGTTAGACTCTAGAGACCATGTCTCCGTCCGCTCTTTCATCTGCACTCCTCGCTGTTGCAGCGATTACGCTTGTTCACGCTCAGCCCGACCCTGCTGACCCCACTCCTCTCGTTGACAAGCACTATGCCTATCCGTCTGGTATCGTAAGTGTGCTTCAGCGCTTAATAGAATTGTACTCATAGTATATTATCAGCCTTACCAAGTCGACTATAATACTGCTGCCCTTCGCGGTCCCCAAGTCGGTTACAATATCTGCAACTCCACAACCGAGAATCAGAGCTCCATGTGTCAAACTTCGTTCGTGAACCACATAGACGGTTAGTTTCGCCGTCTTTTAATTCATTCACCGTTTCTAAAATCATGCAGACTTCTGCCTCTGGGCTCCCCCACAGCCCAACTCCACCATTGGTGACACCGAAGGTCAGGAAGTCGCCTGGTGTACGAAGCCGGGACATGGTACTCGTCTCATTCCCGCCGGTGCTCTCCAAGGTGTACAGCTTATCAAGACCCCCAACTACATTCAAATTGCCGGTTTTATTGATCAGACCCAGATCAACATTGCTGCTAGTGACTATGGAGGCGAGTTGGATCCTCACGGTGCTGATCTTGTGAGCAAAAATTTATTTTGAGATATCTCCGGTGGGTGAGCCTTGACGTGGCTTATAGCGCGGTAACCCTCTCGGCGGTCTCATGTACTCTAACGCGTTCCCCAGCAACGGCGGTAACAATGACTCGTACCAACAGGTCATTGACTGGACAAAGTAGGTTCTTTCCTGCCTCTTATCCACCTGTCTCATCTCCCTTTCAGCTTCATGGGTGGCAACGGCTTCTGCATGAAAGTCTGCGACCCCGCCGGCCAGAACCAACAGGCCCTCTGCCAAAACATCTATGACCGTCTCGGGTGCGCATACAACGCACCCAACAACGCACAGAAGGGTGTTTTCGAGGTTTGCGATGGTGACGACATGTCCCCCGTCGGTGTCTACACCACCGGCGGTGCTACGTCGACCTACTTCCAACCCCCTGAATCTCTTGGTCCCATCACCACCGTGCCATATACCGCTACACCTGCTCCAAGCTCGAACTGCGTGACGTACTCGAGCACGTCACTGTACACTGGTCAGCCAACGCCATCAGGCGCGACCGCGAGTTCAGGTGCAAGTGGAGCAAAGTCAACAGCAAGCAGCACCAATTCTGGCGCATCACCAGCTAAAACTGGTGGTGCTGCTACTATGGGTGTATCACTTGGCGCTGGACTTGTTGGTGTGGTGTTCGCGATGGCATTCTTGTCGTAAGACAGTGCGGGTGTTATTGGGTTGATAGGGAGAGGTGTCGTTGCATTCGCATACTGCATTTTTCCTAATGATCATTTTGTTCTATCACAGTTCATAACGCCACACGCATGCATTTTGGTAGAGTTAGACAGACTGGTAGCTTATCATTCATTGCATCGAGACTAGAGTAATATCCACGTTTTTAATGTCATTGATATGCGTACAAAGCCCTCCATTAATTTGGTGGTCCAATAGCAGGCTTACATAAGTTAGCAAGTCGGTCTCGAACATGGAGCCATCATTCATGTAAATCAACATGACTGGATGGTATGGCGTACGCATAATATATCGTCACGGTGATTGTCCTCTTTTCTAGGGGAGACTACATACGGTGCATGCTCCTTGTCGTTGCAACTCAACTGAAAGTTTGAAATTGAATAATCTGTTTGCATGCTCGGTGGTACGTAGGTCTACGTAAATACTCAAAACTTCCAAATGATAAATTTCTCACTCATCCAACAGCTATATCTCGAGATTCCTAGTTATGTAATAATATCGCAACTCAAGCTTTCGAGTAAGTACTGCCACTCGTGCTCACGGCGTCACGAGAGTGACGAGACTACGTTCTAATACGCGATCACCTGATACGCAGTTGATCTCACCTTGCGACTACGAAAATTTAAACGGAATGAAGTCTGACGTAGGATTCCTCTCTCTCGCTGAAGAACTCCAGCTGTACATTCTGCGTTTCCTTCCCTACCGAGATATTCTTCGCTGCACATCTGTGAGCCGCAATCCAGTTTCTATATTGACGGTCCAAGATATTCTATTCTGACAATTCTCTTGCAGGTGTGTAAGGCCCTTCGCCAGGCATATGTGTCCTCCTCCGAACTTCAGTACATCGTTGAACTCGGCGGCCAACATTTGATTCCCATCTCCAATACGGACTCAGACAACCACACACCTGTTTCCGAGCACCTACAACACTTGAGGGACAGAGCTCACGCTTGGTTCAGGGTTGACATCCACTCTGCCAAAACAGTTCCTATACCAGAGCTTTTTCTCTATGAGGAGAGTTTCATAGCCAATGGACATCTTTACTCGTGGGACTCAGACGATGACACGGCCACGATCATTCCAATACTCCCAAAGCCCTCACAACAAATAATCGAGCGTAACTGGTCTCCAGGAACGCTGTGTACAGTTCCAAACTCAACCAACCTCTGTGTGTTGATGGACCCAGCACAAAACCTGATCGCCGTCGTCTATTTCGATGATGAGGAGACATTATATGTCAACCTTAGAGCCTTGGATGACGATAGTTTTCACCCCAAAGCTGCTGGACCAACATTGTTTCTGTCGGAGCTTCCCGGATACGACAACGATGTGGATTCAGAGAGTGTGAAGCTCAAGGTTATGGGGAGGCATATCGCTCTGCAACGTGCTGCTTCAGACTGTGACATGTGGCAGGTGCAGATTTGGGACTGGCAGCACTCGACATCAGATGTGAGCTTTGGTCAGAAACTGTTGAAAGACTCCACAGCTGACTCTCAATTTAGATTATCCTCAGCGGCGATTATCCACACGAGGTTGATTTTTGTTTCCTCGGAAACGATAGATTGCTCGTTGTCGCTGACAATTTGAAGCTCTTTTCAATCGAGGATATGTCCAAGACACCAGAATTACTGGCGTCTTTTGTGCCGCCCGTTCAACTGTTGGAAACACGTCTCCTTCCCTCGGACGGTATTTCGTGTGGCTCACAACCGCAAATGCAAGCCCAACCAACGATGTACACCTCAGATCCGAAACACCAGCTACTCTGCATTACAACGTTCGTGAATGCGTCGTTTGTCGTCTATGTCATTTCTACCAGGATTTTCTTCGATCTTGTTGAAATGGCAGTAGCGATGCCAATACCGTGGAAATGCTGGGGTCCCTTAAACACTCGTATTTTCCGGTGCCCACTAGAACTCGACGAATGCAGAGTTCACCTTAACGGAAGTCGAGTTTTGCTGTTATTCCGAGTCCGCAAGTCACTCTCGAAACGCAAGCCAATATGGAATTGCAAATATAAGTTATGTATCATGGACTTCAGCCCGCTAGCTGTGACGAACAGGCGGGGTCTAGGGCAAGTGGTGACAAAGCCATCTACGCTAAACGTCACTGATCCAAAGTACAAGCGTAACGGTTGTGAGGAGCGCTTGATGACTTTCCTGCCTTACGTCAAGGTCGTATTGGACAGAAAGTTCAGTCTCGACGATTTAGAAAACATATGGTTAGATAAGGATAGGATTTATTTACTCTCGGACAAGCTCGAGGTCATTGACGTTTAGAACGGCCCATGATAGATCGTCGACATTGTTGAGACTATCTTCCATCGTCTATACCTGTCTAGGGGAGACCATAGTCTATGTGCTACTTATACGGATATCGGACTTCTCTGAGATCATGCCTTCTTGCGTTTTCCAGTCCACTCGGCGAATGCTCTGATAGGTGGTCTAAGGCAGTACATAGAGTCTAAAGGTTAAACGTTGAGTATTGAAACCTGGCAATGATCTATCTTCCCAACCAGCTACTAATTGTCCTGCTCTCACCCGACAGATATCCCGAGATTAATATCATAACTCAAGCTTTCAAGTAAGTAGTACCACTCGGGCTCACGGCATCACGAGAGTGACGAGACTACGTAATTGATCTCATCTTCGGACCACGAAAATTTTGACGACTAGGGGTTCGCGTTGCGAACTTCTGACAGCTTGCTCCGATATGCAGGCAATTGGGCGGTTCTGCAATTGCTACAGTTTTGAGTTTCTAGACTTTAGATCTAGGTCACTTGCAACGTGCCAACTGAAGTTCAACTTGAATGTTCTCACGTGACGCGGCTGGGCACACAACGTCGTGCGTGACTAACTTGGTCTTGTTGTTCTTCATCGTCCTTCGAGTCATTCACAGCTTCATTGATAACCGGCCGGTGACTGCGAGTGCTATCCTAGAGACTAGTACTGGAATGGAACTCCTCAATACATTTGGATGTACCTCGAGGTGGAGCTCTTTTAGGAAGTGTCTGTAGGCCCCTACCTTCCCATTCATAAGGCCTTCAGGTCTGAGCACTGAGTACTGAGCCATCCCCACATCGAGCAGGTAACCAGAAATTACCTAACAAGGTAAAAAATGAAAAGTGTTGAGACGCAATCGAACCTTCTTCCAACTCTTTTGCCTTCCTCGCTAACTGAGTGGCTCGTCCCTTATGCTCAGACCATCGCACACGATTGCTTCGTGTTTTTTTGCCTTTAAAGGCAGAAACGCGCGCCGCAGAAAAGCAATCGTACTCGATGTCCATAGCACCCCTGGTGCTTTAAAAGAAGCGCGCAAGATGTGTGGATTTGCCATAACGCACGCGCTATTCATTCACTTCAAGGATCTAATTCTACCCCGCAGATCATATATAACCGCTTCTCTCCTCTCAAATACTATCACATGATGCCTGCTGCAGGACGTAACACGGTACGTCTCCAGCCTACTTCACATCATGGTTCTTGTACTTATGACACTTTCTCTACAGACCCCTGTTGATTGCCCTGTCTGCCACAAGATCATAAGCCGCAAGGCAGATCTCCCTAGACACATGCGTACGCACGATGAACACAAGGAGGCTCTGTACGTACTCGTACCTTATTATACCAGACAGTTCCTGACCCGTTTACTATCTACATCAGTATGCACGCATGTCCATTCCCTGATTGCGATTACAAGACCCTCCAAAAGTCCAACGTGCAAACGCATATTAGGACCCACACCCGTGAACGCTCGAAGACGTGCCCTCACCCTGGGTGCGCGTTTGCTACCACCGATCCAGCAAGCTTGACGCGTCACCGCAAGCGCCTACACAGCCACGAGCCCAAGGCGCGTCGCAACCTCGGGGGCAAAGCTGCTCGACGGTCTGCTGCCGCACCTTACCCATCTACTCGGTTTATGAGGCCTGAGGGAGATATTCCTGCATCGCTAGATCTAAATGACATAACGTTTCCCGAACTCGCAGGTCTCATTCCCTGTAATGCGCTCTCACCTGCTGAGTCCAGCGACTCTGATATTCCCAAATTCTCTGGCGAGCCCGCCGAACTTTCCTGGGAGCAACTCTCCTGGGAGCGACTCTTCCCCGATTTGCCTGCCGAGAGCTTCGCCTCCGTTTATGAACAACCCTCTCGGCTCCCTATCCCCACCTCCAACCACTCCCAGCCCTCAACTGTCCCCGTCGATCTCCACATGCCGCAGTTCGACCCAGAGCTGTTCTCCGATGTCAACTATCAGCACTCTATTCCCGCCTTCGATGCGGACTTTCAGTGCCAGCCTGTCTCCGGAAACCATCTGAATAACTCCCTACCAGCTGAACTGGAGGAGTTTTTGCAGACATATGGCTCGGGGGTACTTTGAAGGCCGCTACGAGTACCCGGACGATGCAGCGTATTCCATGCCCCAGCCCTCGTTCACGAACGAATATAACGTCTAATGAAATCTTTCCTGACTATCATGTTTCATTTCGTTGTCATATCACCTGGATCATCATCGGCATCAGCATTACAATTGCATTTACAACCCGGCATTATCATTATTGTTCATTTATATCACACCACTTGCATCTTCTATACATATCTTCTTCCACACTCTTAGCATTGCAACCTTCAACTTGTAAATTACATTACATGCATCATTACACGAATCTCACGACTATGAATTGATCACCTCATTACCAACATGCCGCAGTCCAATTTCCATGTTTGCCACGGCACCATACAACTGTCACATACGCTTCAATTCCCGATATTCATATTTGAAAGCAATGTATCATGTGAAGGTTTGAACGTACCACTACTCGAGAGTTCGAGAGAACTTGAGGTTGGTATCAACAATAGGTCTAACGTTCGCGGGTACTCGAGACAACATTTTTCATAACAAGGGGTGAAATACATCATGCTATCCACTGCACTACAAGATACTACATTACCTGCTGGCGCTAGCGCCGGGCTGCGCGTCAACAGCTCAAGAGTCCAGACTGAAGATAAGAGAGAATCCCAAGGCGTCATGTCATGGATTGGACATGAGGCGGCATCAGTTGTGGCTACCTTGAATCGTTGAAATACACACCTCCACAAATTTCTGCCCTTCAGATAAGACGACAAGACAAGACTGCAGACCCTTCAAACACCACTCCATTTCCAGCCAGGGGGTGATATGATCGTTGCAAACAACCTGGAATATACGATTGAGCGTGTCATCCCATGGACGGGGAGCACGCGAGAGATGTACGGCCCAGTTGTGACAGGCGTACTTGAGAGCGTCGGAAGCTGATCAACTTCGTTCCTGTGCTTCGTTTGCGAACCTCTGAAAGGCATTCATAGCATGAATGATCTCCCTGTCCGGTAGAAGAAGACTTTGTGGCAATGCAGAGGTGGAATGATCCTGATGTCTTATGCCAGGAACACTGGAAACATCAAGAAATCTGGCAAGGTCTTGAATTGCCCGACGACTTGAAAAGCTGGCAGTAAAGGCACATCGCTGATAATGAAATACTCGCTGATTGTTTCCGATGTCCTCAAGAATTCTTCCATTGTCGCCTAGACGGAGGCCGCGGGAGTGGATTGCCACACTTGACCATAGGGAGTCTGCAGCCATTCTAGTCCTCCCTCGGTCTGCAGCCAGTCTCGTTCTCCCTGGGTCTGCAGCCACTTTCCTCCTTCCCAGTTCCGCAGCCATTCCCGTCCTTGCTGGGTCCGCAGCCACTCTCGTTCTCGCCAGTTCCGCAGCCCTCATGTCCTTCCCGGTTCTGCAGCCAGTCTCGTCCACCCTGAGTCTGCAGCCAGGCATGCCCGTCCACGGTCCCCAGCCAAGATTGTAAATCTGAAGTGCGATCTCCTCGAAGCCACAGCATATAGATGACATCTGACAGTGGTTCTGGTGGCTGAACAAGAAACGCCAATGAGTCCTTTAACCTATGGGGGTCCTCAGGTTGCATAGCTTTGCTTTGCTTCTTCAGTTCTGAGAGTGCATCCAAGAAAGCCGTGCTTGCTGGAATCGCGTTCATCAGCCGGAGAGAGGAATGTGCGAGTAAGGAGTGAGGTGATGCGATATGGTGTACTTGAGGGAGGTCGCAGTTTGAGGGGTCAGAAACGTAGTCGCGAATGGAGGAGTGGTAGATATTCACGGGGAGAGTGCTGTCTGTAGGGATATCCATGACAGACCGTAGCTGTATCAGCGTTGTCTGCACATCCCTTCCTATACCAGGGCCAAGAAGTGTTGAGATTTGCGAGATGGGAAGAGGGTCTGCGAGGGCGGCGACAATGGACAAGTGCATGTAAGCCCGCTTGGGGTCGGCACACGTGGAGAGGATACAATCGTATAGCTTGTACACCTCCATTCCTGCTAGCAGCTTGCTCGTGAGCTGTAACCGAACATGGGGATCACTGTCTTCATCGTCGATAATGAACTTCATCATCGTAGACGCCACGATGAAACGTCTGCCCGCTCGACTCGCCAGCTTCGCAAGGTCAACCTCCGATGGCTGCGGGAAATCGGGATGGCGACATTCCAGCCCTTTGAAGGAATGCCGCAAGAAAGTACAGATGTCGTTGTCGACGTCTGCGCCGTCTAACGAGATGATGCCACCCTAGAAGTTCTCACGGGTATCTCGCGCACCAACGAGCACACCTCTTCGTTCCGCATGACTTTGCTAATATGGGATTCCGAGCGACTGGTGAGCAGAATGTGGGTCACGGGCAGATCAAGGTCATGGAGTGCCTGTGCAAGGGAAAGGATGAGATCGGTAAGCTCGGGTTCGGATGTGCATTCATCAAGGGCATCGACCACAAACGACAAGGGCGGACATCCGGGCAATCTGAGTTGACGTTTCTGGAGGAGTTGGAGAAAGAGAGCCTCCATCTGGTCGCAGAGGTGTGTCTGGGTCTAGTAGAGCGGGATTTTCGCAGATAGCTCTCTTCACATCCTTCTGGATGCTGGGGAAATTGTTGGCGAGCTGGTAGACAAGTGTCACAAAAAAATATCCGGCCGTGCAACGTTTCGTGTTTTTGCGCGAGAAAAAGAACGTCCCCGCTAGCCGCTTTTCGACGTTCGTCTCTTCGGTCACTTTTAGACCTCTCATCCTCTCAGCCACTGTGAATGCATAGCAGACTTTCCGACGCCAGCCGTGCCGTGCAGCCAGACGAGCTGATTCTTTTCTGTGTCGTCCAGGAATCGGTGGATGTATTTGAGGAGATCCACCCGGGTCCCTTGCAGACATTTTGGGTGGGGCTAACGTTCACGGGAGTTATATTGAGCACCCTTGACAGTGACATCGGACAGCTTCATCCAAGCTCCTTCAAGGACTGTCAAAGAGGTCAGAGAGCATGCGAGAGATAAGAGATGGAAGTACTGACATTGATCGTCACTCATTGACGAAGGTTGTGATACACGAGATGCAATGAACTAATTGAAAGTACTAGCCGGATTCGAGGGTGTGAGTTAGAAATGATCTGGACGATAGTTATCTGGAGGGGCGACGTACGATAATTTGAATCAAAGCTTGTAAGTTGGGATTAAGTCGCGAAACGATCCAGTTGTCGATTGATGGAGAGTGCGAAGCGTGATGAAGATGGGATGGACGGATGAATGTTTCAATCTATTCTACTATGGAAAGCTCGCTGGATGGTTGTGGAATGCAGATCACGTCGGTAGTGCTCAGAGGTGAACTGAGAGAGATGTGCGCCTTTGTGTGACCCCCTAGACTATAATTGTGATCGATTGCATTAGTATTGTGAAACTCTGCGCTACGAAACGTTATAGTACTTGCTACCCGAGCAGACGCTGGAGATGTCAGAAACCCAGCCGCGTTGGACTTCAGTGAATGATGAATCGATGAATACTAGTACAGTAGTTGTAGTCAAGTTATGTTCTTTTATCTCACGTGATTAAAACAGATACGTTCATATCAGGTGACTGACAGATTATCTTCCATCCAACATGACCCTGCTCCGCAAGGTGAAATGAAGTCTAACACAGGGTTCCTCTCTCTCTCTGAAGAACTCCAGTTCTACATTCTATATTTCCTTCCCTACCGAGATATTATTCGTTGCACGTCTGTGAGCCACCAGTTTCTATGTTGATGTTATCATTGTCAAAGATGGAATTCTATTCTGACAATATTAATCCTCTTGCAGGTATGTAAGGCCCTTCGCCAGACATATGTGTCCTCCTCCGAGCTTCAGTACACCGTTGAACTCGGCGGCCAACATTTGATTCCCATCTCCAATACGGACTCAGACAACCACACACCTGTTTCCGAGCGCTTACAATACTTGAGGGACAGGGCTCACGCTTGGTTCAGAGTCGACATCCACTCTGCCAAAACAATTTCTATACCAAAGCCTTCCTATGTGGACAGTTTCATAGCCGATGGACATATTTACTGGTGGAACGAAGAAGATGACACGGCCACGATCAAACCAATACTCCCAAAGCCCTTACAACAAACAATCGAGCGTAACTGGTCTCCAGGAACATTATGTACAGTTACAAACTCAGCCATCATCCGTGTGTTGATGGACCCAGCACAGAACCTGATCGCCATCGTCTGTGTTGATGACGAGACACTCTTCGTCAGCCTTAGAGCCCTGGATGACGATAGTTTTCACCCCCAAGCTGCTGGACCAACATTGTCTCTGTCGGAGCTTCCCGGATACGACAACGAGGTGGATTCCGAGGGTATCGAGCTCAAGGTTATGGGGAGGCATATCGCTTTGCAGCGTGCTGCTTCGTACCATTGGACGTGGCAGCTGCAGATTTGGGACTGGCAGCACTCAACGACATCAGATGTGAGCTTTAGTCAGAAACCACTGAAAGACTCCACAGCTGACTCTCAATTTAGAGTGTCCTCAGCGAGGATTATTCACACGAGATTGATTTTTGTTTCCTCGGGAACGATAGATTGCTCGTTGTCACTGACAATTTGAAACTCTATTCAATCGAGGACATGTCCAAGACACCAGAACTACTAGCGTCTTTGTGTCCGTTCAACCGCTGAGAGCATGTCTCCTTCCGGCCGACGGTATTGCGTGTAGCTCAAAACCGCGGATGCAAGCCCAACCTATGATGTACACCTCAGATCCTAAACACCGACTACTCTGCATTACCGCGCACACGCATACGTCGTCTACCGTCTACATCATTTCTACTAGGATTTTCTTCGATCTTGCCGAAACGGCAGTAGCAATGCCAATACCGTGGAAATGCTGGGGTCCTTCAAACACTCGTATTTTCCAGTGCCCACTGGAACACAAAGTTCACGTTAGCGGGAATCGGGTTCTGCAGACATTCCCGGTCAGCACGTCGGACTCGGGCCCTAACGAATATGTGTTACATCTGATGGACTTCAGCCCGCTAGCTGTAACAAACAGGCGGGGTCTAGGACAAGTGGCGACAAAGCCATCTACATTAAACGTCGCTGATCTAGAGTGTATGCATGACAGTTGTGAGGAGCACTTGACGACCTTCCTGCCTTACGTCGAAGTCGTATTGGACAGGAAGTTCGCTATCAGCGATTTGGAGAACATATGGATAGATAAGGATAGGATTTATTTGCTCTCGGACAAGCTCGAGGTCATTGACGTTTAGAACGGCCCATGATAGATCGTCAACATTGTTTAGACTGTAATACCTATGTGCTAGAAGGAATGACTATCTTCGTCTATACCTGTCTAGGGCAGACCATAGTCTATATGTCACTCATGTGGATATCGGATTTCCCTGGGATCATGCCTTGTTGCGTTTTCCAGTCCACCCGGCTCATTTACACGGAATGCCCTGATAGATGGGTCTAAGGCGGTACATAGGGTCTAAAGGTTAAGTATTGAAGCCTGTCGATGATCTATCTTCATAACCGGTTACTAATTGTCCGCTCTAAACATCGATGACCTCAAGCGTGGTCAACGTACGCATCCAATCTGTGTTGAGTAAGTAAATTCTATCCTTATCGATCCACATGGCTTTTAACTTGTCAAAACTGAACTTCCGGTCAGATACGACCTCGACATAAGGTAGGGACGTTGAAATTGTCAAGCTCTCCATAAACTTGCCAGTGACATTAATGGTAGATGCCTCTTTCACCACGCGTCCTAGACCCCGCCTGTTCGTCACAGCTAGCGGGCTGAAATCCATGATATGCAACACATATTCGTTAGAGTTCGAGTCTGACGTGCCGACCGGGAATGCCTGCAGAACCCGATTCCCGCAAACGTGGACTTTGCATGAATAATGGTGCTCAAAAATACGAGCGTTTGAAGGGCCCCAGTGGTTCCACGGTATTGGTGTTGCCGCTGCCGTTTCGTCGACGTCGAAGAAAACCCTCGTGGAAATGATGAAGACTCGAGTGGGAAAGGATGCGATAAGGCATATTAGTCGATGTTTAGCGTCCGAGGTGTACACTGTTTGTTGGGTATGCGACAGCGAGTGGTGCTCAGTATCATCCATCGGAAGGAGACACTGTATGTACGACAATGGGAGGGGCGACAGGAAGGATGCCAGTAATCGTGGCGTCTGGGATATGTCCTCGATCGAATAAAGCTTCAAATTATTATTGGCGACAACCAGTATTCTATTGTTTCCGAGGAAACAAAACCCGATTCCATGTACTGTTGTGACGCCGAGGACGCTCTAGATAGAGAATCAACTGTCACGACTTCCAACAATTTCTAACCGAAGCTCACATTGGATGTCGTTGAATGTTGCCAGTCCCAAATCTGCAGCTGCCACATATTCTCGTGGTAAATCCCAGCTCCATGACCAACCGCAACCTCGACAGAGCGCTGCAAAGCAATATGCCTCCCGAAACCTCTGAGCTTCGCACTTGTTGTCTGAACGCGGTTGTCATCGTATCCAGGCGGCCCCGATAGATACAGTGTCCGTCCAGCAGCGTGGGGGTGAGCACTATCACGATCCAGTGCTTCAAGGTCGATGTAGAGTGTCTCATCACTCTCGTGATCAACCTTATACACGACGGCTTTCAGGTTTTGTGCTGGGTCCATGAATACATCGAGGTTGGTTGAGTTTGGAACTGAACACAACGTTCCTGGAGACCAGTTGCGCTGGATTGTTTGTTGTGAGGGTTTTGGCAATATTGGAACGATTGTGGCCAAGTCTTCCTCTTGGTCCCATAAGTAGAGATGTCCATCGGTGACATATCTTTGCTCAGAGTACGATTCTACAGTGACGGTTTCAAAAGAGTGAAAGTCGACATTGAACCATGCGTGAGCTTTGTCCCTCAAGAGTTGTAGGCGCCTGAAAATAGGACTGTGATTGTGCGTGTTCGGGACAGGGAGCAACCCTTGGCCGCTGAATTCAACGATGTACCGGAGCTCGGAGGAATACATGTACGTCTGGCGAAAGGCCTTGCATACCTGCATGAGGACTGTCAGTATATACTGTGTAAGTCCAAAATTATGACCCACGGATGCACAACGAAGAATATCTCGACAAGAAAGGAAGCTCATAATGTAAAATAGGAGTTCTTCAGCAAGAATCTGAACCCCTGCTTTAGGCTGCATTTCGTGGACCACCCTCTTCACCAGGTGAGATGGGCAAGTAGTCGTCTCGACCATCTGATACGAGTGAGAAGTCATGGAAACGATTCGAGCGCCCAGCATGAAAACTGCCTCTAGAATGCCGTAAATCGGTGTGACGAAAACATCCCGCTGGGGACTGGGCGCTAGTCGGTACTCTGAGTATGTCAGTCCTCATGCATGGGAGTACAGACTAGATCGTGGAACTACAATGCGGCTGTAAAAATAGTTTAACAGATACCGAAGACAGCCTGCAGAAGCACAAATATAAGATCCACATTGAAGATATAGTTTGATGATGAAGTAGAAAGGACAGTGCGTTACCATCAGTCCGATGTTCCGAGCATAGGAAAACTGCTTTGCGTGCCCTCCAGGTACTCGTACCTGTTCCTGGACAGTGAAGACAGGAGAGGATGCTGCCACGTTCGCACGCAAGAGAGGTCCAAAGGTTCAACATTCTGCAAGCTGAGATCAAACATAAACAGCATGTTGATACAAAAAAAGACTCACTGCTTTTCACTTTAAGGTGTATCATCCAGAGACGTTAAACAGTTAGGAGGAGATACACATAGATACACACCGTAACTTGGAAGTGCACATGTCGCCTTAGCTCTTGAGCTCACCGTTTTACATTACTGCCGAGCGTCGATTAGAAAGATGATTAGATAGGACAAGATCGATAGGGTCTGTCATCTCCGGATGTGTTATGCGGTGGCTCGAGAATTCTACATATAGATAACACTATTCTCGACGTTGACGATCAGCAAAGTGAATATGGGACTTCGGACGCGTGACCAGCGATACGGTGGGACGCACTCGATCTATGGCATGAGGCTAGTGTACTAGTCTACGCCTTAGTGTTAGCTTTTTGTGGACAGAAATAAAACCAAATGCATTATCGATCCGATGGTGATCTAATTTGCATATCGCAGTGACAGAACGTGACTGGTTGAAGCTGCTTGGGCAAAGTCTTCTTTTTATTCGAAATATCGACCCGAACCTAGCAGAAAGAGGGTTCGAGGATGATCTGTATGGCAGGTGGACCATAGCAGCTCACGGAACGAAATGGACGTCGAAGTTCTGCCGGTGAGAGAGGCGTCAAGCGGAAATGTGAAAGTGATTAACAAATCTTGCATTTATTAGAGCCTGAGCGAGATGCAATCCTGCTGAAAGAAGTGGTGGACGAGCACAACGAAAAAGAGCGTAATCAAGTAAAATTGACCTTGCAAGTCGTAGTACGAAGTAAGAAAGACGAGTTATGAAACTCAGGAACATAATGTAGGACTACAGATGTGGGACTAATACTCACATTATGATGGCCATCAAGAGTCAAGACTCCAGGAAGTATAGCTCCATGGTTCACGAAATATCTGAGTGACGGTGATCGATCCACGTATTAACACCGACTGAGCGAATGAGTTATCTAGACATGGGTTCAAGTTGATGAGCATGAGCTCAACCTTCGGTCCTTCAAGTTGTGCAGTAGGTTGGGATCTACTACGTAGCATCTCTTCGAATCACAGCAAGTTGTTAATGTCAGCAAGCGGACTTTGAAACCATTTGTCTCGAAAACTGCGATTCAAATCGTCAACACATAAGTACAGCTGTACAGGGTTGTTCCACGTATCCAAATTCCTGAGTGAGTCATTTTGTTATGGCAATGGAGCCTCCGAGGAGGGTGATAATGAAAGCGTTGTACTTGGGGTTCAATAGTCAGTCGTCGCCACTATCACTGACACGATCGCGAGTGCGCCTGTCAAGAAGGCGCTCTGGATTATCATAGGTGCACGCAGTGATGGATCCGTTGCCACTACTTGATTTGTAACTCTACCTGCGTGTAGCTAGCTAGCCTCCTTCAGCGAGTGTTTGGACTGTTTATGGGTGAAAGCTAACGACCTTGTGCATGAGAGGCGATCGATGATTGATCGTATCATTGTGTGATGGTTTGAGCCAAAGGGTCTGTTCGTTTCACCTGCATCAACTGTGGAGATCACGATAATCGAATTGATTCGGGACCTACAGTGATTATCATCTATAGTTAGGTAATTTTGGAACACACCGCGTCCAAACCACTTTCTAATCCGAATTCCAAGTGCGCCCATTTCCCGCGTAACTTAATCTGAAATCACCAACCAATCAACGGGTCTCAACGCTTGCCATTCATTGGTGGCCTAGTAAGCCCTCTACCTCACCTTCAGGTAAGTGTCGCTTGTTATCGCATGAGGGCTCAGAGAATTCACAATCAACTTGATCAGTCAGGTGCGGTATCTCGGTTCATGGTTTCTGGCCGCGCTGAGATGCTGACTGAGAAGCCCTTTCAGAAATATGAACGACACTTAGCGCCGAGTGCTCCTTGGCATCTGTCAAACGCCCCACGAGTTTCCTGAGTCTCCTAGCGTGATGTCTTTCTGTCCAAGTTCAGAGGACTCAAGGGAGTTAGTGTATAAGCCATTCAATTTTTTACCCACAGATCAGGTACGGATTCCCAGCCTCCATCACGAAGCCCATCAGGAACTTCGAAACATCGCTACCGTGATCATCTTTGCGCAACTATGACTGACGCGGCTGAATAAGGGGTTATAGCCACGTAAGCACTTCACCATATTAGGCGACGGGATTTGATGGTTTTGGCTGTGCATGCATTGTTTACGTGCCTCAAACAGGGTTAACCTTATCGGTTTGTCCAATGACGGATCCGACATCAACTGCCAGTGTCTTCCTGACACTCAAGCGTAAGATCGGGGGTCTGAAGTTATGGCACGCGTAAGCATAATATAAAGGTACTAATAGCCCCACTCAATTTGTAATTTTTTTCGTCCAGTTTATTTTGTTACGAGCAAATAGCGCTCGGGTGTCCACTGTCGCTAAAGTAATAACAGGTAACACTCAGCTCGTGTCTCTCTACTCATCGTAAGTCTAGCAGTTCGAAAGTCCTAGTGGGTTTCTCATCTTCAACTGACACTTTCAACAGGGATGGCCAGGATGCGCTGGAAGCTCCCAGTCACACAACAAGAAACCATCACTTGCTACGATGACTTGGGCAATCCAAAAACGCACGGTGTAGAGCAGAGATATGTCAGCCCTACCACTGGGATCTGTCGAAAGCTCGTCGTGCAAGCCGTCACTCCCTCCGGGCAAATCCGAAGTCGCCATCAGCAACCACACCAACCAGGCAAGCAAAATCGCCATATGGCTGCTAGCCAATTCCCCCATACGAGGGTGGATCATTTTTAAATGGATAGCCGTATGGCTTTGGTTCACGTTGAAGCTCTTCTGGTCAGTCGTCTGGCTACTTGCACAACTTTTCTTTCCTATCGATTTGGCGGATGACACTGGGGAGGATACGGACGTGTATAACAGTGGATACTACAAACCGTATGCTCGCGGGTTCCAGGGTCAGCTATGGGCAGCTCGTTCGCCTATGGAGTATTCTTCCCGCATTATCGAGGAGGGCGAGATGGATATCCCTACACATACCCTTTATCCTCGACTTCTTCTGATTCGCGACCCCATCCGAAATGAGTGGGTCTCATGTGCAGATCGCGACACCATCATCCGTACCAAATTTATTGCCATCTCTTACCGCGCCGTTGATGCCTTCACTCGAGGCCCAGATCAGGAGACAGAAAAGGCTCAGTTCATAGAGGAGGTTCGTGCAGCGGTGCTCGAACAGAAATACGATGCGTATTGGCTCGACTTGGAGTGTATAGGAGAGACGCCGTCGGAGAAGAATCTGGATTTGTACTGCATGGCGGATGTCTACCGTGGAGCAGAGGTGACTTTGATCATGCTTGGCAAATCTGCGGCTGGGGAGAACGAGTGCTGGAGAGGCTGGGGCGAACGGGTGTGGACTATGCCAGAAGCCCTCCTGAGCTCTCGCCTTTGCTACAAGTTCCGAGATCGAGAAGTGGTTACGCCGTTGTCGTTGTTTGAGCTGGCCAACCTGGCCTATACAAACTATGATATCGAACAGGCTATCATCAATGCATACAGCGGGAAGGATCCGCTTGAGAGGCTGGAGCGCTTGACGCTGTTAAAATCAGCTATATGGCGGCGCGGTACGGCAGCTCTAGCACCAGGTGTTGCTCCTCCACCACCAAAGCTGGATATGATAGGCGAGAAGTCTGTCACCAGTGGGGCGTACAAGGCTGAGCGTGTGTATGCGCTGATGGGCTTTTTTGAGCACCGTATTCAGCCAAACCGCTCGGAGGATGATTTGCACGCTCTTGTGAGGCTGTCAATGGCCAACGACAACGACCGTATCGCTGAGCGCATGGTATCCATGTTGCCCTCGACCATCACCAAGACGGCATGTTGGTACTCTGACGACGATATCTACAGTGCCAACCTTTGGGATATTCTACCGGAGATCCAGGTCGCTGGTATCACAGAGAATGGAGCTCTTGTGGTTGATGGGTGTCGGGCGGCATCCATCAGGTGGAAAGATTTCCCAGAGGTTGCGTTTGTGACCACAGATTCGTTGAGGAGGACTATTATCGGTTTCATTCCGTATCTCTCGTGGCCAACTCTTATCGTCGGGCTAGGTGTTCTTATGATCAGCCGAGCGGGAGCCATCGCGCTCATCGTAATCGGAATCGTGCTCCTCATTATTTCCCCTCGACTGTTCGTTTTCAGTCAATCTGGACGTATTGTCGACGCACAACCATGGTTCATCGGAGTGAAAGGGGTCGTCAGTATCAAAGAAGTGGAGAAGCACTTGTACGGTGGCGCGAGAGGACACTTCCCAAGAATGTATTTTACGCCGAGCGGATCACAGTTCTCGATTCCAGAACGAGGCATGGACCGGGGAGGTTCGCTCAGACAATACGACTATGCCAAACTAGCGGATACTGGACCAGATGCGGGACACATCTATACGCTCATCGACACGTACTCGTCGACGATGTACTATTTCCGTGCGGAGCGACCGCCGACGGTGTGTATATTCGCTGGACGGGAGGGAGGGCTTGGGAGGTTTGTGCTGTGTTCGGAGAAGTGTAATATCAATGAGCTGCATAAGGAGACCGTGTTGAGGATGCCGACGGAGATCAGTCAGAAAATGGAGTTGTCTGGATGGATCGCGCTTGGATGAGATTATTTTGCTAGAACCTTTCACTATCTTTTGCTGAGATCTTCCACTATCCTTGAACATGTACTTTACTGATACCCTTTATTATCTAGTTTTATAGCAACATATTATGCCGTGAAATGTTATCGCTTGATGTGACTCTTGTTAAGACCCATAATAATGAACACTTCGACTCAGATAATCCTCTGGCGTCTGGATTCGAGCGTTATAGGATCCTGACTGTTCCAGGGCTCACGCGCCACGTCTAAGACTCTGAATGTCGTGTAGAAAAACGCAGATTACGCCCGGGACGCCGATCTGACACCAATATAGACATTGGCGAGTACTAGGAGTACTCAGTACTCAGGAGTGCTGACCTAATTGGAAATTTGTTTCTTACCAGCTTCCCACTCACTGATCCGATGACGGTTGGCCGACTTGTCAAGGGAGTGGACCACGAAATGAGGCCTAAAACAGTATTCCTGTTTCTTGCTGAAGAACTCCTGGTTTACATTCTAAGTTTCCTTTCTTGCAGAGATATTCTTCGTTGCACATCAGATCTGTGAGTCGTTGTCGTTGCCCTAGACGAAATCCTATACTGAATCACTAGTTCTTCCAGGTATGTAAGACCTTTCGGCAGGCGTACATGTCCTCCTCTGAGCTCCAGTACATCGTCGAACTCAGCGGCCAACGCTTGCTCCCTGTCTCTAATTTGGACGATCACACCCCTATTTCCGAGCGCTTACAACGCTTGAGGGATCAAGCCCACGCATGGTTCAAGTTTAACGCCTATTCCTTCCAAACAGTTATCTCACCAGCATTCCGTTTTCCTGAGTCAAAATACGTCTCTGGTGAATATCTCTACTTGTGGAACCACTCTAGTGACTTGGTCACCATCAGCCCAATACCATCTAAACTCTCACAACAGGACAATCGAGCACGACTGGTCAGCAAGAACGATATGTCCATTTCCCCAGGCAGCGAAGCGTGATGTATTGATGGACCCAGCACAAAATCTGTTCGTCATCGTGTACGACGTTAACAACACTACCAACATTTACTTAGCGACTTTGGATGATGGTCGTGTTCACCCTCACGCTGCTGGACCGGCGTTGGTTCTTGGGCTGCCCGAATATCTGCCCGGATATTCAACGCGCGCGAAGCTCAAGTGTTATGGGAGGCATATTGCTTTGCGGCGCCGCTACTCTTACATCAATATAGCTGGGACGTCGACTGTGCAGTGGCAGCTGCAAATTTGGGACTGGCAGCACTCGACGACATCCAGCGTGAGTCTTTAAGTTTATAGTCAGAATTAGTTGAGAAATTGACAGTTAATTTTGAATTTAGAGCATCCTGTGCGGTATACTATACGAACCATTCTTCGACGAAGCTGGTTTTAATTTTCTCGGAAACGACAGGTTGCTCGTTGCCTCCGATGATCTGAAGCTGTATTCATTTGAGGATATGTCCAAGACACCACAATTACTGGCGTGTTTCCTGTTGCCTTTCCCAATGTTGGACATATTGTTCATCTCTTCGGTTGAGCATAGCTATAGCTCACAGCCGCAGACACAAGCCCAGTACACCGAAGACCCTGAACATAGATTGCTATGCCTTCGCTCGGTGACCGATAAACGAATGATCTTCTTCATCTCCACGAAGATTTTCTTCGATGTCGACGAAACGACGGCAATAACGCCAATACCGTGGAATGATTGGGGCCCTGCACATGTTCGCGTTTTGAAGCACAAAAATCATGCATTCAACGTTCACGTCCGCGGGAATCGAGTTTTGCTGGTGTCCAGGATGATGTTAGAGGCGCATGAATATGAGTTGCGTATGATGGACTTTAGCCCGCTGGCCGTGGCGAATAGGCGGGGTCTAGGACGAGTGGTGAAAGAGCGAACTACGATAGTCCAAAGTGGCCCCGATTCCGAGTGGCACTGAGAAATCAGGGGACGGGATAACTCACCACTGCTTGACGATTGAAACGTCTCTGCCTTACGTCGAGGTAGTATCGGATAGAAAGATTGGTGGTGGCCCTCATGGGTGGTTGGAGGATGCATGGATGGATAAGGATAAGATTTATTTGCTGCAAATCGTGGTGGGATACTGGAAGAAGTGTCCTAGACAACTTGAAGTTATTGACATTTAGAGGTACTAGGGCTGTATAAGTCTGTGCAGAATGTTATCAGGCGACGAAAAAGCGTGGGCATCGCCATTCATATCGGCGACGACTTTAAGATTCTGAAAGTTGAAGATCCAGAAACGAACCTCTGAGTAGCCTTTGAATCAAAGTGAGGCTGGTGCTTGGCAGTACTCAGGGGCGCTGACCCAATTGGAATTTCCATTTTTCAACTTAGCCGGTTTTAATTTTCTCGGAAACGACAGGTTGCTCGTTGTCGCCAATGATTTGAAGCTGTATCCATGTGAAGATATATCCGAGACGCCACAATTGCTGGCATGTTTCCTGTTGCCTTTCCCGTTGGTAGACATAGAGTCTATCACTCCGGCTGGGCAAAACTATAGCTCACAGCCGCAGCCACAGCTGCAAGCCCAGTATACCTCAGACCCTGAACATAGACTGCTATGCCTTGCCTCAACTAATGACCAAACTTTGACCTTGTTCATGTCCACGAAGATTTTCTTCGATGTCGACGAAGCAACAGCGATAACGCCAATACCGTGGAATGATTGGGGCCCTGCACATGTTCGCGTTTTGAAGCACAAAAATCATGCATTCAACGTTCACGTCCGCGGGAATCGAGTTTTGCTGGCGTCCAAGATGTCAGAGACACATGAATATGATGGACTTTAGCCCGTTGGCCGTGACGAATAGGCGGGGTCTAGGACGAGTGGTGAAAGCGAACTACTAGTACGATACTCCAAACTCGCTCCAATTCCGAGTGGTCAGGGATGACTCAGCAGTGCTTGACGGTTGAAACGTCTCTGCCTTACGTCGAGGTAGTATCGGGTAGGAAGATCAGTTGTAGGTGGTTGCAGGATGCATTGATGGATAAGGATAGGATTTATTTGCTGCTGACGTGGTGGGGTACTCGTGAAGAAGTGTTTAAACAGTTTGAGGTTATTGACATTTAGAGGTACTAGGGCTATGTAAGTCTGTGCAGAATGTTATCGGCGACGACAAGCAAACGTGGGCATCGCCATTCATATCGGCGACAAGTTTAGTACGCAGTAGCAGGAAGTGATAAGCAGCCGAAGCGAACAACACGAGCGCTTGATAGAGCCAGCTACTAGATCCAGTGAAAGGGAAACCCACGATTATATTGACTCGCATGACGTCCATATGGCCGATTATTACGCTTAAACTGCCTAAACCCTTCGGGCCTTCTGGTTCTGGCCCTTCTGGCACTTCTTTCATCTCCATTTATTTCAATTTTCTGACCGACTTGTTGTTTATTCCGACGTGAAACAGATTGAAACCTCTACAGGCCCTGTTTAGCCGCTGGCAGGGCTGGCACCTAGGAGAGGAGTTCTAGCAGCTTGTAGCTGTGCCACAGGAGGTCGGGGCCTCTATATCAACCTTGAACTGCTCTTCAAGTTCAGGTCGTCCTTTTCAACTGGTCCAACGTCGTCGGACTCGTTCGAAACTCATCTTACTATCACCACCATCTCAATATGGCACCGGCCGTGCCCAAGAAAGCCCAAAAACTTGGGCGTGCTCTTAAATCCGCAGCCCGTTTCCCGGGCCGTGGTAGCGGTCGAAACCACTACTCTCCCTCTCCAGGCGAGCAACCAGTCGTCTTCCTTCGCGTTCAAGTCATCGGCTGTCGTGGCCTCGCCAGGGCTCGAAACGGCGCACAGGCAAAGGAGGGCGACCTCAATCCGTGAGTCTGCTAGTCTCGCATCCATACACACGACCCTGATCTTTGCTATCATGTGATTATAGCTTGGTCGTCGTTTCCCTCCTGAATAATCGACACCACACTCCTGTCCTCAAACGCGCTCCTAACCCAGTCTATGCAGCTAAAGACGCAACCTTCGACTTTCCTATTTATCTCTCTCTTGCTGATAGGCTAGGGTCCGTTGAACTAGTTGTCTGGGACAAGGATACCTTGAAGTTGAAGAAGGAATACGTTGGCGAAGTCGCGCTCACTCTCGACTCCTGGTTTCGGGATGTCGACGGCGAACTGCTTGTCAATGACCTAAGTTTCTCAGCTCAAACTAATCAGGTGCGTTCCTTTCCGCTGTATTCATGAAGGCTTGGTATTGATATAAGGCTGCAGTCACGCTCTGTAAACCTCGTATCGACACGTGCAAATACGCATGCATCTGGAATGGCAGTAATCAAACTCGGCTTCGTTGCACCCCCTGGTGCACAATCCCCAATGGCTTTTGAGCGAGTCTTTGCTGAACTCGTAAAGCGATCCCGTCCGAGTCTCGTTTCTGCCCCTCCAGTACGTCTCGCGTGTTTCTTCTTCCTTTCCAGATTAACTCATTCATCTCCCATAGACAGAAGGTATCGGCACCCTACGATCTCATTTGACAGGCCCAGCATATGAAGACGATGGTGGAATTAGTTCTGACGAGGAAGAGCGTGACGACGACGTTGTAGAGGAAGGAGAGGAGGACGAGAACGAAGACCTCGTCCTCCACCTTTCCCGTCTTTACCTCTCCCCATCTCTCTTACAAGATCAGACTCACAAGAACGGAGAACCGGAGACAGCACATCCCACAGTGGCACCCTACGACCTCCCGCGTCTTTATCTTCCTTCCCCGACACTCTCTCACGTTGAACCCGAGGAACAGGAGCCTGGGACTGCACATCCGTTATCTCCTGTTCCGACCACTACACCTATCACAACTCCGCCTACGGCCAACACCACGTCTGCCTCGAAAAGCAGACTCCCAAAACTCTTCCCCCGCCGGCCTAATCTCCTCACTTCACCATCCTACGACACGAATGTTCCTCACACGGACCGCTCGCATCGACGGTCAGTGAGTGCGGGTGCTATTGTTCCCCTCCCCTCTCCCGTATCACCAGGTCCTTCTAGTGCCGTGTATCAGACACAGAAAAAGATCTTCCGAAAATCTTGGTCAAGCAAAAAGGTAGATTACAACTTTTCAACTGCAAACTCGAACGATATAGTCGGGATCGTGATGCTCGAGATACAAGGCGCGACTGACTTGCCTAAGTTGAAGAACAGTGCGTTTGAACTCATTATCGTTTACTTCCAGTGTTGACTCCTTGTTGCAGTGACCCGCACCGGCTTTGACATGGACCCCTTCGTAGTGATCTCTTTCTCCAAAAAGATTTTTCGTACGCGTATAATCCGACACTCCCTCAACCCCACCTGGGACGAGAAACTCCTCTTCCACGTCCGTCGATACGAGACATCATTCAAGGTCCAAATGACGGTCCTTGACTGGGATAAGCTATCGAGTAATGACCACGTGGGCGATGCATGGTTAGACGTCGGCGAATTGGTGAGAGACGCGCCGCAGCCTGATCCACGGACGGGGCTTCATGCAGATGTGTGTGGGGAGAATGATGCGAAAGGAAGTGGAGAAGGAAGGGAGATGAAGCAGTTTTGTTTGCCCCTAACGACGGCGAAGGAGATGCCTTGGGAGGCGAAGCATAATCCTACTATTTCCTTCCGGTACGTTTCGACTTATTGTCTACTGTCCTCGTCTTTTTAACTTTCGTGACAGAGCAAAGTTCCAGCCCTATGCCGAGCTTCGTCAGCGCTTCTGGGCACAGTATCTGAAGCAGTACGATACGGATGATACCGGTTCTATATCGCATGTGGAGCTCACATCCATGCTCGATTCTCTCGGCTCGACACTCTCTGCGCAGACTATCGACTCATTCTTCACTCGCCACCGCAAACGACCAGCAGAAGATGAACTAACGATCGAAGAATCGATCCAATGTCTAGAAACAGAGCTCGTACGACCAACATGCGAAAAGAAGAGGATCGATACCATAGACACCTTCATGGACAGAGATAACAGTGCATCTGCATCAGAATCTATCACACCTGGAGAAGAACTTGGATTACACCTAGCGTTTGGACGGCCGTTCTTGGGCAGCTTGGATTTCTCAGGTCCGCCATTGGGCGCGATATTGGGGGAAGAGTCGCCTACAGATTTAGGAAGGTCGCTGTTTGTGACGGAGTCGAACGATAGTCCGTTGTTGAGCGTTTGTGTCCCGGAGCCTTCGTCGGCGGCATCGACGCCTGATGGATCTAGATCCAATAACACGATGCAGGACTCTGCTTCGTCGTCTGACCCTGACGATGCGACTTCAGCCAAAGCGTCCTCCTTAGATACCTTTGAGCGGGTTATTAATATCAAGAATTGCCCGTTGTGCCATCGACCGAGGCTGAACTCGAAGGCGGAGATGGACATCATCACGCATCTGGCTATATGTGCGAGTCAGGATTGGGCCAAGGTTGATAGGATTGTGGTAGGAAATTTCGTGACTGCGAGTCAGGCGCAGAGGAAGTGGTATACGAAGGTTATTTCGAAGGTGTCGAATGGGAATTATAGGATTGGAGCTGTGAGTACTATAGCTTATTGTCTTGGTTGGGTCGTGCTGATGATGCATCTCTCAGAACTCGGCGAATATCATCGTGCAGAATCGGATGACGGGGCAGTTGCAGGAGGAGAAGATGCAGGTGTATGTTCGGCTTGGAATTCGGTTATTGTATAAGGGTGCCAGAGGGAGGATGGAGGGCGCACGAGGTTCGCATATTCATATTCATATCCGTCATTATTCCTAACTCGACTTGTTTTAGCTCGTCGCCTTCTCAAGTCGTTATCCATCAAACAAGGCGCCAAATACGACTCACCAGAATCAGTCCGCCATATCCCGAGTTTCATCGAGTTCCATGGACTTAAAGTCGAGGAGATTTTGGAGCCGATCAGTTCTTTCAGTATGTTTCTCACCTCTCCTAAGCATACCCCGCTAATCTCATTTTGATTTGTCAGAAACCTTCAACGATTTCTTCTACCGTAAACTCAAGCCTTCTGCCAGACCCGTCGAAAGCCCTGACGACCCCCGCCGCCTTGTCAGTGCCGCTGACTGCCGTCTCATGGTCTTTGAAACCGTATCCGAAGCTACAAAGCTCTGGATAAAGGGCCGCGAGTTCAGCATTGCGAGATTACTGGGCGATGTGTATCGCGATGAGGCGGAGAGATACGTAGGTGGGCCTCTGGCGATTTTCAGACTCGCACCACAGGATTATCATCGGTTCCATGTTCCTGTGGATGGGAGGATTGGGGAGATTAAGGATGTGAAGGGGGAGTATTATACCGTGAATGTGGGTGGTTTATCTTTGTTTTGATCGAGTGGGGACTAATGCATGGAAGGGTGGTTAGCCTCAAGCGATTCGGAGCGCGTTGGATGTCTATGGAGAAAATGTGAGAAAGATCGTACCTATTGATAGTCCACAGTTTGGACGGGTCATGGTGGTTTGCGTTGGTGCGATGATGGTGGGGAGTATCAAGACAACTGTTGAAGAGGGACAGGATGTCAAGCGCGGTCAAGAGCTTGGATATTTTGCCTTTGGTGCGCAATTTCTTTCTGTATTCCGTGTACTCGTTTTCTAAGTGAATGTATCATTACAGGGGGCTCGACGATCGTCGTTTTATTCGAGCGGGGAGCAGTGGAATGGGATGAAGATCTAGTGATTAATGGTAGAGCGTGTTTGGAGACGTTGGTTAGAGTGGGGATGGGGATTGGGACTTGTAGGCGGCATGGCCCAAGTAATATGCATCACAGTGGTAGGGTATGACCTTGCGTACATCGTATGGATATGACAGACGACAAGAGCGATACTAATATACATATATCATGATCACTAACTTAACTTATATTTCGTTGAGTATTCAATTGAAGTGTGGGGCATTGTTCTAGATATTTATAGCTTCGATAAACTTTATTTTGTATCCAATCTGAAACTGAAGCGGTGTGAGCATAGCCCCGATGTCATCATCACTACAGGCTATGTCAAGCTGTATCCTAAAACAGCCCCACACTTCCACCGCTTCTTATATTTAACGGTGAGCTCGAATTCTCCTTTCCACAATTTCCATTTTCTAGTACTCTGAGATCCTTCCAAACTTTGCCATGGTGAGTCGATTCTATATAAATCGTCTTCCCACTAAACCTCAATGGTCACTCTTAGTTTAAACCGCGATGGACGACACGAGGGGCATGGACTCGGAGAACGTCTGCATGATCGCCGCGAACAATTCGGGGAGCGTCTGAATGACCGCCGCGAAGCGCTCGAGGAGCGTCGATTTGGACATGGACGTCACAGAGAACATTCAGAAGAACGTCGACATGAACGTTTCGATGACCATCGCCGCGACCCAGATCAGCCTCAGTACCCGTCCCCGCCTGGAGGGCTCAGCAGGGCGGACTTCGTCTCTGATGAAGAATTCAATAGGATGATGCATGGAGGTGGGGAATTCGGAAGACCGCGCATGGGAGGTGATCATATCGGCCCTGAGGACTTTGGAGAATGGGATCGACAGAGGTAAGTTTATCTGATCTCTGTGGTGATTGCATCATGATGTGAGCTGATGATGGATGATTCCACTAGACCACCTCAGAACGCTGGCTACCAAGCATCATACATGCAGCAGTCCGAACCGTCGGGCCTGCGATTTCCTGGAGCACCTCTGCCACCCATTCCCCACGAACAGCGCACAGCTGGTTATGAGAGCGGCGCATATGCTCAGCCTTCTCACAATCAGTATTCTGTCCCAGAATCGCTGGAGCCACGTCATGGAAGCAACGTATACGTACCCCCTGCTGATGCCCCTGGGGCACCAATCAGTCATGCACCAGCGGGAGGTTATGCTCCACCTCCTGGGCCGCCTCCTCCAGATAGATCTTCATATGGATACGACGCTTCTCAAGGAGGATCGGGCCGAGGTGCTGCGAGTGATTATTACAATGGGCCTTCACCAGGTATGATTAGACTATCAAGCATCGCTTCTCTTTAATTAATGACGAAGTAGGTCAATCAGCACAGTCATACTCGCACACCCCAGATGACGCAGCCGCTTATGGCGATTCCCCTAACCCACCTCGCTACCAGTCAAACCCCTCGGGCGGGTTCGACGAAGAGAATTACAAGTCTCATTTCTCTGCTCACGCTCAGGCGTATGGGTAGGTTCTTCCTAATGAATGCCCTATCGAATTGAATGTCATTTCTTGTAGTTCCGGCCATGATGACAAGCCGATGGCGAATGATGCTATAGGCGCAGCTGCCGCTGTCGAGGCGCTGAAGATCGCAGCTGCAAATAACCAGTCGGGTGATAGGCCGCAACAGGGAGGCAGACCACAGGGTGGATTCCATTCCGACGCGGACGCTCCACATGCGAGACCATCTGCCGGCCTTTCTTCTGGTGCGCAGCATTCATCAGACATGGGTGGGAGACCGAGTGGTGGGAAGCCTCAGGGGCGGCCGCAGAATGCAGAGACTGAGCCTGACGACGAGGATAAGGAACCGGCTGCTAAATCACAGGCCCATGCGGGAGGTGGTGGCATGCAGGACAAGATCGTAGGTTTCTTCCCCATCTTTGTAGTCGATATGCTCAATCCTGCAGATCGCCCTGGCGATGGCCCAGGCAGGCAAGCTTTTCGACAAGAAGGGCGGGGGGGACAGCCAAGGAAAGTCGCAAGGTGAGTTTTTCCGCCTGATATATCATCACTTGCGCTAATGACGTGCTACCCATAGCTATGCAATCAGCTGCGGCGACTGCGATGCGCTTGATGGGAGAGTACAAGTCGACGGGTAAAGTAAACATGGAGCCAGGGGAGATGCAGAAGCTTATGGCGCTGGCAATGTCGCTATTCTGAGGTGAAAGGTAACATTGATGCGGCACAGAATTTGTAATTGATCTTGCAGTCATGTATTCACAATTCGAAGTCATTTGGTACGGTCTCTACGCGGTTTCCAAACCTATCTGATTATGCACGACGAGCTTCATGTTTTACATAGTCGTTGGTCTCTTGCTTGTTGGAATGCTCGTCTGATCACCATGATTGCGAGCACGATTTCGTTGTTTTGGAGTGTATGTGCTGAAGACGGAAGCCTGAATAACTGGTCATTGCGCTATTTTGAGACAGCCAAGAGAATTGTGTGGGCATAACTGATGCGGCTGGCAATAGGGGCACGCGTTAATGTCAGCGTCCCGCTACGTTCCACAGGAGTCCTTGGGTCTTGTCCTTTCACTTCATCTCACTCTCACCGTGCCAAGCACTATGGCGCCCCTATCTACGTTCCCACTTCCTCTCCGACCAAGTGGGCCGCCCGCTGGATATGATTGGGAAGAACGCGATATGGAGTGGCCATTATCGGCGACTACTGCATTCAACACCGGGATAGACAGGCGGGACACGTTCCTTGGTCAGCGTCGATGTGTCGTCTGTGGGGAGCGCGGTGCTCCAGTCCAGCGTTGTCACATTTCGAGGGATTCAGATCCGCAACTTGTTTTCCATCGACCTAAGTAAGGCTTCTGTTAATAGACTTATGATCAACAATCAGAGTATCGCACACGCCAGTGCCAAAGCTGGAACAATCTGGCTCGAGCAAGACACCAATCGCAACTTAACCAGTTGGAAGGTAACATCCTCTTGTGTATCTTGATATCTGAACGTTCTTCATGGTCTGTTGAAATAGTCAGTAGATTCTTATGTGGAGAACTTCCAACAACTGTATGGACGTGCTCAGGCTATTCTCAGCACAGACGGAATCATCGATATCATGATTCCATCGTTACGTTGGCACTCCTCCGAGCTGTCTGTGGCCTTGCGGATTGCTCACAACCTATGAACTTACCATTTGCTTGATGCGTGAATATTTTGTGCACATGAAGCAGAAAATGGTCTGGCATGCGGGGGTAATATGGTTGCCACTGGTTGCGCAGACTCTTTGCTTGTTCAAGGTCTTCTAAGGCGCAGTCAGAGTGAATGGTCCCACAAAGGAGGAGCTTGGGTTTTGAATGACAAAAAGTTCGACAACTCCACTTCTGGTGGGTCGGGTCGAGGTGGCAAGCTTGAGAGACACTCAAAGTTGCTTTGTAGGTTTACTTTTCCTTGTCAAGAGAACATCAAATTCCGCGAACACTGTGTTGTTCCTGCAATCATCTGACCCTAGTGTACTCGACCATGCGCTACGAGTATTCCCCATCCGCACAGGAGTCTTGGCGCCCGGCTAATTGGTAGTTGATGGGAGGGTAGATAGGATCGGGGCAGGTGGTGCAGAGGGAGCCAGGTAAGTTCTGGTTCATATATAGGACTTTTGACTGAGACATGCTTCAAGTTGCGGTGTTTGGGGATCAGCTAGTAGCCATTACACCGATGTCGAACATTATTGCTCGAAAGATTTCGGACGTCGAACTCGATGTGTGATGTGGCAACAAGATCAGCTTATCTGCGGCACCTGGCACGATCATGATGTTGCTGAGCCATAATTAGATCATGTTCAGTAGTAATCTTACTGCATCAAAAATATATATTTGCGTTCAGTGTTCGGATGCGTTCGAATCAAGACAGACCAAGCAGCGTCAAACAGAGAACGGAACCAAGGGTTCGGTTCACCAGGGTCCGCGAACATTGAATTGAACTTTTGCATGACTATGGTACATGGTACATAAAATTTGAAAATGGCTGGAACTGTTCTTAAACTGAACCTACTTTCTAGAAAAACCCAGTATAACATACCAAACTCAGATTTCATATGAAACTGGTCTGATTCAAACAAAGAGAGTGAGACTGAAGTGATAGAACCCCCTACAGCCTAGGCTACAGCAGAGGAAGGAGCAGAAGACTTATTTTCATGGCAGATGGACAAGTCACCAAAGACCGGACAAGCCTAAGAAAATGAATGAACCAGCACTTGGTTCAAATAGGCAGGTGCCCGCTTATTTAGTACACAGCCAGCAAATGATTTCAGATAGGCGGGCACCCACTTATTTAGTCAGGTACACACAGCCAGCAGATGGCTTCAGATAGGCGGGCGCCCGCTTATTTAGTCAGGTACACACAGCCAGCAGATGGCTTCAGATGGCTTCAGATAGGTGGGCGCCTGCTTATTCAGTCAGGTACACACAACCATCAAATGGTTTCAGATAGGTGGGCGCCCATTATTTAGTCAGGTACACACAACCACCAAATGGTTTCAGATAGACCATGGCTATGCATGTAAGGCCTCATTAAATACAGATTACTAAGCAGGCTGACTAATTTATTTGTGCATGTTTGCATCTCAGCTTATATACATGATTCAACAGAGTGGCTGTATCAAACAGTATCTCTTTCTGCAATCTGTACCTTCTAAATTAAGGGCAAACACAAACAACACCAAATAACCACTATGTGAGCATTTGGATCTAACCAAGAGAAAACAAGAGCCTGAGCTCTTATTTTCACTCTTTACAGGCTAACACCAAGCAGAGTGTGAGAAAATTGCATCTATTTAGAGACAAGCTTTTGAGCTCTCATTCACCACAACAGATCTCATTTAGGTCCACCACCAGACCATCTGGAAGATTCAAGGCTGCTGCACTGGTCATGGTAAGTATAAGTGTAGACTGCATCAGTGTCAAATAAGCAGGTGCCCGCTTAACTGAAACCATTTCTCCCCACAGACCAAGAAAAGTGTGAAGCAGGTCTATGCCACCAAACAGAGGAAGGACAAGGTGGGCAGCAATCCTGAATGGTCTCTGTCTGCCTTTATTCAGGTATGTTAAAGATCAAAGAATCAAAGATTAAGGAAGTGACTCAGTCAGCTGTTCAAACAACCATAGAGAAGATCAATGACAGGTTACTGAAAGCATCCCTAGGCTACACAATGACAGATGTCATGTCAGAGAACAACTTTGGAAAGGGCCCAAAGATGATTGCTCAGACCATCAATATCAGAGGCATCAATGATTCCTTCCTCAAGGAATTTGGCTTGCAGGTCCAATGCCAGGGCCTTCATAACAAGGACATGCACAATGCCATCACCATAGGCATCAACAAGAAGTATGTAAAGCTGAGCTCTCTGGAGCCTATGAAGCCCAGGCACTACACAGATGTCATAAAGTAGTCCTCTGAGGTCCAGAAGGATAAAAAAGCAGTCATGCTGCTGTATAACGGAAATCATTGCAGGACCTACATGCAAACCCTGAGCAGCATTGCTGCTACATACTGACAGTATCTTTGTGCCAAGATGGAGCTGGGGCAACCTCAGACTGAGGAAATGAATGCATCTTTGAAGAAAGCAGAGGAAGTGGCTTTGAAGGAGGTGCAAATACATGGCAAGTTGCTGGTGCATTTCATCAATCAAGGCAAGTGAAAATAAGTGGGCGCCCACTTATTCTTTCAGATGAGGGACTGCATTTCAGAGAGGATTGGAAAACCTGGCAGCTGTGCCCTGATAGAGCATACTTTGGCAAGCAACTCTCCTCTCATCAACATGTCTGACAATGAAGATGATCAGTTAGCTCAGATCCTCACCATCCTCCAGCACACCCCCAAGAGCAAACATGACAAATACATAAAGGAGCTGCTCAAGAGAGAGGGCATAACATCAAGCCATTAACATCATGTAGAGTTCCATGTCCCCAATATGATGGGGATTCTGAATGCCTTTGATGTCAACCTCTCTCTCTTTAGCAGCTCCTTGATATATTTGTCATGTTTGTCCTTTGGTGTGTACAGGAGGATGGTCAGAATTTGTGCCAGCTGGTCATCCTCATTGTCAGGCCTGTTGATGAGTGAAGAGTTGCTAGCTAATGTGTGCTCCAGCAGGGCACAGCTGCCTGATTTTGCAATTCTCTCTGAAATGCAGTCCCTGGTCAGAAAGAATAAGCGGGCGCCCGCTTATTTTCACTTGCCTTGATCAACAAAATGCACCAGCCACTTGCTATGTGTTTGCACCTCCATTAAAGCTGCTTCCTCTGCTTTCCTCAAGGATGCTTTCATTGCCTCAGTCTGAGGTTTATCCAGCTCCATCTTGGCACAAAGATATTGCTGGTATGAAGCAGCAACACTGCACAGGGTTCACATGTAAGTCCTGCAATGATTGCCATTATACAGGAGCATGTCCGCTGATTTGTTCTTCTGGACTATGGAGGACCACTCTACAACATTTGTATAGTTCCTGGGCTTCATGGGCTCCAGAGAGCTCAGCTTGACATATCTAGGATTGATGCCAATGATGATGGCATTATGGATGTCCCTGTTGTGAAGGCCCTGGTATTGGACCTGCAAGCCAAATTCCTTGAGGAAGGACTCATTGATGCCTCTGATGTTGATTGTCTGAGCAATCATCTTTGGGCCCTTCCCAAAGTTGTTCTTGGACATGACATCCATCATTGCATAGCCAAGGGACACTTTCAGTAGTCTGTTGTTGATCTTTTCTATAGTGGTCTGAACAGCCGACTGAGTTACTTCCTTGATCTTTGGTTCTTTGATCTTCAAAATACCTGAATAAAGGCAGACAGAGACCATTCAGGATTGCTGCCCACTTTGTCCTTCTTCTGTTTAGTGGCATGGACCTGCTTTCTACTTTTCTTGGTCAGTGGGGAGAGAGACAGTTTCAGATAAGCGGGCGCCCGCTTGTTTGGGACAAAAGTTTTACCTTCACAGCTGGTTTGGCTTAACCTTTTCTTCCTAGTTGCTCACAATATCATCCTATTCTATGTGGGCTGCCATCTTTACATGTGGGTGGGACTTCCACTTGCCCCTTGTCCTGGCCCAGGTGCTGGCACTGTCAGTCTGGGATTTATAGATTAGCAGACACCTGTGTAAGGATACCATATCCACTACACACCAACCAATGCTTCAGATAAAGGCACAAGCCATCCTTGTGTTTCATTGATGCAAAGAGCTTCACTCTTTGCATTTGAGACATGTGGATACATCCTTTCTTATCTTTCTACATCATCCTACCCTTGTACTCAAACTTAATGCCTTGTTTTCTTGTATTATTTCACATAGTAGTTACATCATGCAGATCACAAGTCTTCTCAATAAATAATATTGTCATCTTTGTCTTCGATGTTCCCTTTCATCCTTTCACACAATCTTTTGAGCCACTTGTAAATGTATGCAGGATGTCATATACTCTTGCAGCGCTATCAGAATTCACTGCTTTGATCCAACATATTCAGTCTTAAACATAGCACACGATGATACTCTCGAATCTCGATAAAGTGTTGATATCAAAGACTTGTACATAGCTATATAGTGAAAACAATGGAGAGGACCACATGAGTGAGGATTCGGGGGGACCATATATCTTTTCGGAGGATTGCAAGCTGGGCATCGTGATGACGAGGCCGCAGTTATACGAGAGCGCCGCTCATCGAAACGATCCTTTGAGTTGCAGTCAGTCAATAACAAAGTTTGATCTAGAACACAAAACATACCAGTTGATGCGCTGTTCATCAGCCGAACTTTTGAGCTTTGCAAAAGTCGAAAAGCCCAAGTCCCAACTCGCTAAGGGATTGAAGTATTCTCAGACTCTAGATCATACTTGACAGTGAGTACACGATTGCGACGACGTGACATGTGTAAAAGACTATTTTTGCAGCGAATCAGTGCCTCCTCGCATAGTTCATTATTCCTGACAGTAGGAAGGCACGCAAGGAAACGGAGGTAATACTTGCATGAAGTTCGGGCATAAATTGAGCAACATGAGTGTCCGTTCTTTACCTCGAGAGCGAGTTCACCGATGAGGATAAGCGTTGGACTAGCTGGTCGAACAGAGGCACGTCGAGTGTACGGGCGAGCGGGTTTGCGTCGTAGAGGTGTGCCGTGAACGTAACTCTTCAGTTAATTCGAGTGGGAACTTCGTCGATGATAATCTGGAAATAATTAATAAGTATTGAGGAATAGGATTGATGGAGCAGTAAATCACTCGACCGTCACTGTATGCAGACAACGGGTCATATTAGGAGAACATATGTTCGGAATTCATAAGCACCGTCGCATCATGGTCCCTGGCAAGAAGTAGGCACACTCCCGTAATTTCCACATCGCTTGAAGGTATGGCGAGCACACAAATGAGTAACCAAGTTGCTATATTCCAGTTGATATCAAGCAACAATGAATTCCAAAGATCGAAGTAAAAAATGAACAGGTCCATCGTTGCATATCACAACAATCGTCTCAGTAAATGCAAAATAAAAACCTATCGCTATCATGAATGTCAGTGTACAGAGGTAGGTATATTAGTATATGCAAGGCTAAATGATAGTCAATGGCACACTGGATTCATGAGAGGAAGATCATTGCGAAAAGGGTACCGGTGACACCGGCAAGGGTGGAAACGGCGAGAGCACCTGCACCGCTGCTCTGGGTTGCAGCAGCACCGCCAGCTGTGTTCGTGCCAGTCGAAGAGGCTTTAGCGGTACCTGTAGCGCCGCTAGATGAAGCGGAGACGCCGGTAGGGGTGACAGTGGCGAGGCCCGTGTAGAGGGCAGCACTGGCGTAAGTCACGCAGTTAGATGAGGCGGGAGTGAAAGCTGTGTAGGGTGGGTCGACGACACCAGAAGCTGGCTGAGAGTAGGTCATGGTGACGCCGCCGGTACCGACGTAAAGACCAGCAGGGATCTTGAGGTCAGAGTCGCAAACCTCGAAGGTACCGTTCTGAGCATTGTTGGGCATGTTGTAACTGCAGCCCATGCGGTCATAGATGTTTTGGCAGTAAGCGGACTGGTTTGCAGCGCTAGAAGCAGGATCGCATATTGTGATACAGAAGGCATCACCACCCATGAAGCTGCGGTGCATGAGAAGGAGAACGGGAATTGACTTGAGTTCAATGACTTACTTTGTCCAGTCGATAACCTGCTGGTAGGAGTCGTTGTTGCCACCGTTGCTTGGGAACGCGTTAGAGTACATCAAACCTCCAAGAGGATTCCCACGCTGGATAAAAAGTCAATTCGACACTAAGCGAAAAGGGTAGGAGACTAACAAGGTCAGCACCGTGGGGGTCGAGTTCTCCTCCGTAGTCTTGAGCATTCATGTTAATCTGAGTCTGGTCGATGAAACCAGCGATTTGAATGTAGTCGGATGTGATGAGATACTGCACACCCTGGAGGGCACCATTGGGAATGAGACGAGTGCCGTGGCCAGGCTTTGTGCACCATGCAACCTCCTCCGCCTCAGTATCACCGATAGTAGAGTTGGGAATGGGGGGTGCCCACAAGCAAAAATCTGAAAACATTATGAACATTATAAACGAACCACACGTGCGGAGTTGTTAACAAGAGACGCACCATCAATGTGATTGACCATTGAGGTTTGGCAATAGGAATTCTGGTTCTCTGTGGTGGAGTTACAGATGTTGTAACCGACCTGAGGACCACGGATAGCATTGGTGACATAGTCGACTTGATAGGGCTTAAAATTTGATGCTACATGAACACGGTGCACAACGAAAGAGTGAACTGCAGCTTACAATTCCTGACGGGTAGGCATAAGTCTTGTCGACAAGTGGTGTTGGGTCAGCTGGGTCAGGTTGAGCAAGGGCGAATTTCGAAGTTGCAGCGATGGCTAAAAGCACGGAAAGAGTGGAACGAGACATGTCTCAAAGTTTAGTGGTGAAAGGAAACAAAGAACGCTCTGGTTTTTGATGGGTGAGGAAGCGAGGAAAAAAAAATGAGGCAAATTACAATCGGACCAAAGGCTCAAATAGGTTTATAAAAATAATTTCAGACACCGGAAATAGAACGGCGACTGTTATATTTATATCACAATCACCATGACATGTTGCAGCATGTTGCTAAAATCCACGCTTGTCAGAGGTATATGTGGTAAATGTTCGACTGCGCTTGCCACATACGTAGTCCTGCATTGTCTTCATCAGGATCAAGTTGAAGGACCGTGAACCCTCACGCGTTATGATCCCTATACGGTTGCCAATGTGTCGCCTATCACTCAGCTATGGCATGGTAGAGCAATGAAAGAGTATTTCTTGAACAATGAAAATCAGCGAGTTACTCCAGTGTTGCATCATACTCGTCGTCATTGTACCAGTCACACCATGTGCGTCATTCTTACCAGTACTCCTTTCCTCTTACGAGCCCCTATAAAAAGTGGGTCTTTATACCGCTCCACTCCCCCTCACCATCATGTCAACTTCACGACAACACACCATGGACAAATTCTCTTCTGTTATTGCTGCTCTCGACGCAGGCAAGCTCCCCACCCAGAAGCAGGTGGATACCACAATCGACTGGATACTTCCAGAATATCGTCACAAGCGTCGAATCTCCTGATACGGCAAAGCTCAGCGATACAGGCAAAGTCCTTGCGCGCAGCATAGAAGACCTCCTCATTGCGTACAAGAAACTTGGGGACAACAAAAATCGTGAGCCTATCTCAACGTCCCTCAAAGTTAAAATCTAATCGCGATACAGATGACAATCTCTTGCAAGAAGTCCTCTGGCACCTCTCTGAGGGAGATTTCGCAGACACGCGTGTAGAGGCAATCGATACAGATGAGGCTTCCGCCGATCTCCAATCTATCCGCTCCGCCATCCACACTCTTATACACATCCTTTGGACCAACGTCAGCGGTGAAGGAAACGTCCTCCTGAACGACTTTGCGTCATTTACACGTCTTGCGATGGCTGACCTCGCAGGGGCCATTGAAACCGGAGCTGCTTTTACCAAGGAAAGTCTACGCCAACTCGATACGCAGGTGCAGCAGGGTGAGCGGGATAACCTGGGGCGGAAGCGAAAGACCCCGGAAGAAATTGAACAGGAGCGCGAGGAAGATACGAAGGTCAAATTCGAGAAGACGATGGATACTACGAAAGAGACCGGATCCAAGGCTATAGGCGTCGGGCAGGAGGTGAAAGCATCCGCTGAAGAAATGGTTGAGCGCACGAGTATTCGCCTGCAGGAGACTTATTATAATGTTCGTTTTTTTTCTTTTGTCAGACCTTGCGGTGCTGACAATGTTTTACGCAGATCTGTGATCGCGCGCAGAAGGACGAGAACTATCACCACGCCCTCTCCACACTTTTCAACACTGTGTCGAAGTGGATTAACAAATCTCTTGATACTGCTACTGACATCAACCAGTCTACTTCGCTTGAGTCCTTCATTGACGATCCATCTAAAGAGAAGCATGTCCTCAAAGCTCTTCGTGGCATCAGCATTCTCGTCGAGCGCGCCGCTGGTGGCAAGTCCTTGGATGACGTCTTCGCCAAGGCCCGCCTGTGCGCCGTACACGTCAGGAATGACGAAGACCTAAAGAAGTGGTTCAACGATTTCTTCGCTCACGTCCGGAAGAGCCTCGACGAGCCTGGCTATGCACGATCAGAAGATGCTTATCACATGCACCAACGGCTAAGCGAGCGCTGGAAGTATCTTCTTGACCAAGATTCAGATGCGAGGCGCAAGTGGAAAGAGGATGTGCGAGCTCTCAGGGATGAATTTCGTGATTTCCAGCAGGCGATTGCAAGGGATGCAGACTTGCAGCGCGTGCGGAAGGCTCATGCTACGTTTGGTAAAGACTTGGCCCAGAGCGTCGTCACGGGTGGACAGATTGGCATGCAGTTTGCCTTCGATCAAGCCTCGTGGTTCTGGCAGGACGTGTTCAACGTCTATGCGTCACGCCTCTTGCACGTTATCAAGAACATTCCGATTCCAAGGTGAGTTCCTGAGTCAACCGCGCATTTTCAGCATCCGCTGACGAGCCTGATAGAACCGAGTATGTTGATAGGGAGATCGAATTTGTGCTCGAGAATCTAGACATCTCGTCGTTAAACTTACTTCCTGGGCACGTCTATATCCGCAATATCACTGACGTCGACATCACCGCTCCCGCCGGGTCGCAGTCAACCACCACTTCCATTGGCACACTCACGCACATCCGGATGCAAGCAGTCCAGCTCGCGCTCAAGGAGGTCTCATTCTTCTACAGGGATAAGGTTGCTACCATCGGGCCCAAGGACTTCACAGGTCTCATGGAGTTCGGTCTCCCGCAAAAGGGCATCGACATCGATCTCAAGTTCCGCTTGATCCCAAACACGCCCCAAGGTCTTATGGAGCGCGAGAGTCTCGGACGGTTCTTCAAGATCGAGCGCGTCGAGGTGAATGTGGCGGAAGATATCGACATGCAAGTTAAGCAGTCCAACCACCCCATCCTTGCGTCCGTCTTCCGGCCTGTCATCATGCTTTATTTCCGCGAGGCGATTTCACGCACCCTGGAGGAGCAGATCCGGGGATTGTTCGACACTGCCGATGCTCTGGCATTTGATATTGGGCGGCGCTCAGAGGTGTTCAGGGATGCTGGACTTGGAACTACGTCGTCTGTCGTTGCTGCAATGTGGAGCGAGATAGGGAAGCTCCGGCGGATGGAGGGTGGCTTGCTGTCTGGTTGGAGAGCAACTGGAACAGGAATTGTCAAGGATGATTTGGGCGGCAATGCAAAGATTGCGATGGGCGCGGAACCACAGATTCTTCCAGGAGAGAAGAGAGGTCCTTTGGGAACTCACGCAGAGCCGCTTGCAGAAAGGATCTCGGGTGCGGACGTTGGAGGTGCCCTGGAAGGCGCGACGACTGCCGTTGAACGTGTAGAACAGGCCGGAAAGGAAGGCCTAAAGCAGGTGCAGAGTTTCAAGCAAAGCGTTGAGCACAAGAAGAGGGAGGAAGAGAAGCGGAGGGGATGGCAGAGCCCAGCATTCGATATTTAATCATTCAATGGTTGTATGCTCCTTATTTTTCTCGGTCTTTATCACGATGTTTATAAGCACATGAATAAACGGACAGGTGTACAAGACGCTGGGATGATCGACTATTCTCGCTTCCTCTTGAGGTTACTACGAGCGTTTGTAACCTGTACAGCACACAACGGTCCCTTCTCGAGTGTCTTGTGTTCTGTAGTATCGAACTCGATCCCTAGATCTTCGAGGAGCATCTCGGCCTCTTGGGGTGGGAGTGAATCTGTCGCAAGCTGCCAAAAACTACCCTGATAGTTAGCATCAAGTCTGCATGCATTGGATGCGTTGATGTTCTAGAAGGGTCAGTGGGTGGGCAAAGAACTGACGTCATGAAGACTTTTCTTCGGCGAATCCATTCCGCTCGCCATCTTGCCCAGTCGGCATCGATCTTGACGAGTTCCTCAGCAGAAATGAGCGGTGCACCAGAGCGAAGCGGGACGAGTCTGTCGGTGAGTTGCATTATCTTTGTTGGGACAAAAATATGTCATATTGGTTCACTCAAAGCAGGTGAGAGTTGTGTACTTACCCCCTTTTTCGTGCTCGCAATCTGCGCCTCGAGTTCTTCGTCCGTTGGACAATTTTTGAGTTTTGACAGTTCTTTCGCGATTGAGATTAGATAAGGGTGTTTCATTTATGGCTTACCTGCTGTTATAGCCTTCACCTCTACCGCAAGTACGTTGTTACTGTCCTCGACCGTCTTGCACTCGACCTCAAGTTCTGTAAGTTTGTCAGCAGGAACCGCGTCGATGCTGGCCTGATTGGCGACGAAGAAGCTCGTTTTCCCTCGATTTGTCGTAAGGGCAAGAAGTTCTGTTGCTTGTGAAGCTATACGCACCATATGTTTTCTGTACGATCTCCCCCTTTTCCGCTAGAGCGACGAGGATCTTCTGCGTTGCAGCCTTCGGCACTGCGCCTTTCAGGTTGGCAGAAACATCTACAGCACCAAATGGACGGTTCATCTGTTGCATGTCATGTCAGTATAGTAGCGCATATATGCGCCTTTTTCTGGGTCACTCTTTTCAGATATTGCAATATTGCATCTTCGGCTAATGCGAAATGAGAAAGGCATGAAAGAGTAGCAATTAGGCCTCAGACCTCACCTTCTTGACCTTTGAGGACCTTTACATCTGAGTTTTTCGCTTTGCTTGCCATTGTCAGTGTGAAAGCGATGATGGGCCAGTGGACGCGCCGAGATATTTGTACGCGCTTTGGAATCACGTGTGACGGAAGTCGAATCTTGTGATTGTCCGTTTCCGTTTCGGCTTTGCTTCGGGTGATACTAATAGTCATCCTCCGCTCCCTACATGAGTGTGTCGTCCAGTACATAGCGACAGCTGGGGTATTCATGAGTTCTACTGTCTCTCACCAGCGAGACAAACGTTCATTCGACTATGCTATTCGATCTGGAATTGCTGGTGGCTTGGCAGGATGCATCGTATGCTTCGTTTTTCTTATGCTTTCTGCGGTTAATTGACCCCCGCATCTATAGGCAAAAACAGCAGTGGCCCCACTTGACAGAGTCAAGATTCTCTTCCAAGCCTCAAACCCTGATTTCCAAAAGTATGCTGGTATGTATACGTAGCGTATCTCCGCATCTACCTCCAGACTGACTTCACACCCCCAAAGGAACCTGGACTGGAGCGTATCGAGCCGGACTCGCAATATACAGAGATGGAGGTGCCAGAGGATTACTTCAAGGCCACTCTGCGACTCTTCTGCGCATATTTCCGTACGCAGCCATAAAGTTTATGGTCTATGACCAATGGAGAGCGGCACGTCCCCCATGCCAAAGTGCCTGTGTACACACTTACTTACTGTGCAATTCAGGTTTTGATGCCGAATAGGGATAAAGAAACGAATTTTAGACGGTTTACTGCTGGCGCTCTTGCAGGTGAGCCGGGCCCTCACTCATGTCCTTTCATTCAATCGTATTCGCCGCAGGTATGACCTCCGTTACTTTCACCTATCCCCTCGAGTTGGTCCGCGTACGCATGGCGTTTTATAGTCAACCGTCTAGTCATTCTGCCGGCCAAACGCGTCCGTCCTTCCTCCGAGCAATGCGCGTCATATATAACGAAGGCTCCACGCCTTCCCCTGCAACGGGGACCACAACGACGCAAATCTTTGAGCGCTTTCCCGTTCTTAAATTTTACCGTGGCTTCACCGTGACCATGGTGGGCATGATTCCCTATGCCGGCACGGCATTTCTCACTTGGGATTTCTTGCGGGCGCATTTCTTCCCAGTCATAGATGACAACTCCAAGCGACCTCACCCCTTGGCAAATCTCGCCTTCGGTGCTGTTTCTGGTGCAATTTCGCAAACTGTGTCATATCCCTTTGAGGTCGTTCGTCGGCGAATGCAAGTCGGAGGTTTGACTAGACCAGATAGGTGGCTGCGGTGGGGAGAGACTGTGCGTGCTGTGTACGCAAGTGGGGGGTGGAGAGGTTTCTACGTCGGATTAGGTATAGGTTACTTAAAGATCATACCCATGACTGCCATCAGTTTTGCCGTTTGGCAAGGAGGCAAAGGTCTGTTGGGTGCTTAGCTCTACGTCAGGCTATTCATCCGTCAAAAAATCACATTTTTCCGTGCAAACATTGAAGAGCTGTTGTCCCCCTGGCCAAAAAACGCAAACTTTGTGTAAGCACGCTTGCTTACCAGTTCCCACAATCTACTTGGATATTGTCACGCGCTACTGAAAGGTATCACTGTCTTTTGGCGTAACAGCTAAGTAGACGACAGTATAGGCTTAGTTACACTATGGTACTGACATCGAACGAATAACACGCAAATCAAACTACATGAGGACGAAAGCAAGGCTACACATACGTAGGTAAAAATACACTGAGCTCATGAAGACTCGGGGTGAACAACAGCACCTCGTCCCCTTCCTCGGTAACCTCTTCCTCTCCCGCGATCAAGATGCGGTACAAACCCCCGTCCTCGGGAACCACCTCTGGGATGTAGATAAGGGTGATGAACCACACCGCCTCTGCTTGGTGCACCATTGTCATGAGAAGGAGGTTGGTTGCTAGCGTTCATGGCAAATTGCGATGTCGATCCAGAAGCTTCGCCTCCCGAGGTGCCTTCTGTTGGTGCAGGATGACCGTTTGTTGTGTGTCCACCACGCCCATTTGGTGGTCCTGCGTGACCGTTGAAAGGAGAACCTCCACGGGCACGAGGGACAAGCCCTCCACGAGCACGAGCGACAGGCCCTCCACGACCCCGGTTCGGATTGGACATAATTGCTACAGGTGGTTGGTGTTGGCTGGGCGGAAGTCAGTACTGTATACAACCTGTGAGCACAAGAACTTCACCTCTGTGCAGCAGAACGGAATCCAGTAACAGCTTGATGCCCAGGAGCGGGCTGGATGGCTGGATACGCGCCAAATCGAGGTTTGAAAGGAACATTTGGGCGAGAACGATAAGTTGAGCCAGGGGAGGTAGAAGCGATGAATTGCGGGTTGCTTAAGTTTAGGCATGAATTGAATTCCACAGTCGAACCTCGATACTGAGAACATCTACAAATCGCAAGTTTAAGTGTATCAGGCCAGAAAAAGCCTTCCCACTTACCTGTCCCCAAGCGTCGTACCAGACATAAATGGCACATCCCACACGACATCCATCGACTTTGTGTTCAACCCAACGACGACACCCTTCGCAGACAACGGCACTCCGCCTGAATCTTGAACCATAGTAACCCTGTCTCCCAAGGCAAAGTGCTGGTTCTGGAGTCGATAAATAGCGTGTGATGGTTTCAGAACTGCGTGGCGAGGGATGTTCTTCACAATGGCTTTCTTGATTGTCGCTTTGGACCTGTTCTTATTGATGTCATCGGCAACCTGTTCGATTTCTTTGACGGTACTCTAAAGGCAACTTTGAGTGAAACATGACTCGGGATAGACGACGATTCTGATATACCTTCGCTAGGTTGTCCGAGAAGAGGGAAACTGGCTCAAGATCTCGGACCCCCTTCGATTTGAGCCACGACTTTACTTCTTTGACCCTGGTATCAGCGTCAGAGTCAAAGACGTCCGTAGCGCGGGCCATATCTATCATCCTGGAGATGAGATCAAGGAATTGTTAGGCTAGTCCAACAGCTTACCGTCGCCCCCTTGGTCCAGAATGGCGAAAATTTCTGGGAATTTAACCTGCAAAGGACTGAGTTCAAATTCAGGTGCGATTTGGATAGGACCTACTTTATATTCATAAATGAGGTCAATTGCCTTCTCGCTAAATTCCCAATAGCGACCAGCCTTCCGCGAGTAGTCAATAACCTTTAAGCTCTTGGCCTCAAACTTGATGCTTAGTCCGAGATTGTTCTTTTGATGATCGGAGGTGAGAACCATGAAGCTCGATGTGATCTTGGAGAGCGCTCTGGGTGACATTCCGATTCCGGAAGCTGCTTTGAACGATGGCGAATAATGCTGGGAAACACGACTGTCAACAATAGTCATGAACTTCTTATTGTCCGTTTTATCCGAAGGGAAGAACTACGAGGTCATTTAGAAAGATAAACCGTGGTAGGGCATTGTGACATACTGCCAAGACAACAGACAAAGCGCTGTCGGTAGTTGAAGACACCTGGGCAGCCACACCATATGCGTGTTCGCCCAGGAAGAAAATATTCGTTCCATCAGGAAATTCCTCCGATAGAGGTGGCGCATCCTTCTCGAGGAACCTGGGATCTTCAGATGCAACTTCTGAGATGACCATCTGGACGGCTTGTTCAAGTTCTTTTTCGGGTCCTTCGTAGTCCTTGACCAATGCGCCTGATTCCAAGCGTTTTAAACCTGCATGAATGAATGTATAAGAACGAATGTCCGTAAAGTACCGGCACGCACCTTTTAGCGGACGGACGTGCACCAGGACATCGACGTCACCAGTAATCACTGCACATCTCTTTGAATATACCGACTCGATCCGCTCAGCTTTGCCCTTCCAATGACTCAAGCCCTGCTGGAAATGCGGATTGGAAACAACCTTTGCCGGGGGTACCAGGCACAACTACCAACTTCTCGTATTTGAACATCGAATCGGATACGGCAGTCACTAGTCCCTCTTGCAAGAAGGGCCAACCGATGAAAGTGCGCTTGCCAACCATTTCCTTGGCGATATCCTCTACCTTCCGGTTTTCGTGAGGATTTTCTACGTGAACTACCATTGACTTGTTGCGGCTTTCGGAACCGTGTACATTGACACCGTGAATTCCTAGTTGTGCTGTGTGGGGTAATGTATCCAGCGAGGGGAATCCAGCGAGGGCTTTTGCACCGAGGCATACACCTTCGCATAGTCCAGGCACGAGATGGAGTCCGTCAAGGGTTGGTAGGTCGAAGGGTTCCATCTTGCATGTGCAACGATATATGGGAGGGAAGAAGTCTGGCAACGATGAAGGATAGACTGTGGACTCTTCAGGATTGAAGAGAAATTTGGTACTGGTTCCGAAGCCATTGCGGCGGCGTTCGTCTGGAGTTAACCTATGTTCTCGGGCTGCACACATGGAACGATGATGAACTACAGCCGAAAAGTAGAACTTGCCACTCACATTTCATTGCTCGTAACAGCCGTTGCTCATCAATGAAGGGAATCTTAACGATCGCTTCCCATTCTTGCTTCTTCCCATTTAGGTCTTGCTCGAATTCGAGGGGGTAGAAGTCCAATATCGGTGAATTTGGGTCGTACATCAGATCCTACGGGTGATTAGTCTAATGCATGACATGGGCCACTGAGCGTACTTGATATGCTATCGGAACATGATCCATGCTTGCGGACGGGAGGACGCCCATCAGTTGTTCGAAAGGACGGAAAGGTTTACCCAACTCGAATACGAACGACATGTCGCCAAGACCGCGCAAATCTTGAAGAAATGTGAACAAAGCGTAATGAGGACAGGGAATGCAAAAAGTACCAGATATCCGTGGCGCGTAATGGTAATTGTAAAACCAGCCCCAGGAGGCGATCCCACTGTAATAGTAGTGCATAACCCATTGTAGGCCCTCTGTGTAGCGGTATATCAAGTCGTGCATCTCTTCGGGGCGGTCATAGGAGATCCCAAGTTTCTCCTGCCAAACAAACGGTTGGTCTAGCGAATGGTATACGAGGCGGGAACGCACCCTGTAATATCCTCTCTTCCACTCCGCCATTTTGTCATTGATGG